TAAGAACGGACCTCCGGAACGAATTAAGTACTTAACCTGAGGAACCACTGTAATGTGCGCACACCCTTTGTCAAGTACATTAATTCCAGTGTGCGTATTCTTGAGTATGACCCAGCTGAATACAACTCTTTTAATATATAGCTGTTTAGGCTAGAATTGGTGAATAAATTCATTTGTTTTCTCATTAACTAACAAAGTCTTTCACTAAGGCCACTTGGAATTCAGGAATGTATGCAGCCAACAGCTTTCTGTAATCTCAAGTATTTTATAATACAGACCCTCCAAGTGTCCCTATTTTTCAGGGATGTCCCTTTTTTGAGAAGCTGTCCTGGTTTCTGATTTGATCCCAGGCTATCCCGCTTTTCCTTAGGGTGTCCCTATTTTCATGGGAGAAATGTTGGAGGGTATGGAGTTATCCGATCCACAAGCCATTTGCAGGCAATCCTGTATAGGAAAGGTGTTTGGGTTTTTTAAAATGTTTTGTAATATTATTATAGGGACACGGGTGGCGCTGTGGGTTAAACCACAGAGGCTAGGACAGGGGTCTGCAACCTTTAAGACAAAAAGAGCCACTTGGACCGAAGAAGAAAAAACTGGGAGCCGCAAAACCATTGCGACATTTAAAACAGTGGGGAGTGTCGGGGCACACAGTGCGCCTCCTCCCCTCACTAGTATCTGCCCCGGAGCCGCGGCAAAGGTGTAAAAGAGCCACATGCGGCTCTGGAGCCGCGGGTTGCTGACCCCTGGCCTAGGACTTGCCGATCAGAAGGTCAGCGGTTCGAATCCCCGTGATGGGGTGAGCTCCTGTTGCTCAGTCCCTGCTCCTGCCAACCTAGCAGTTTGAAAGCACGTCAAAGTGCAAGTAGATAAATAGGTACCGCTCTGGCGGGAAGGTAAACGGAGTTTCTGTGCGCTGCTCTGGTTCGCCAGAAGCAGCTTAGTCCTGCTGGCCACATCACCCAGAAGCTGTACGCCGGCTCCCTCGGCCAGTAAAGCGAGATGAGCGCCGCAACCCCAGAGTCGGCCACGACTGGACTTAATGGTCAGAGGTCCCTTTACCTTTAATATTATTATACATGTTGGAAGCTGCCCAGGGTGGCTGGGGCAACCCAGTAAGATGTGTGGGGTATAAGGTAAATAGTAAAATTATCATTATGGAATGGGATGTCCCTGTTTTCATCAGAGAAATGTTGGAAGGAATGTATAATATCTTTTTGGATCTGAGACATTTAGGTGTCATGGCTCCCTGTTGGATGGTGCTTGTGACCCGATGAAGTGAAGGCAACTCTAATGGAGCACTCAGCCACGCCTTGGGGCTTTTGTTGTGTTTTTAAGGAAGAACTGCAAGCTTACCTGCTCCTCTTGCAGTGTTCTGCGATTTCAGGAACCTCTTGAAACTGACTGTGGATAGTGGTGATGGCCTTTTGACTGAGAGAAAGGTAAGTTTCAAAGAGGCAATGTCCTCTTCTGTTAATGTAAAGGCAGTACGATTTCCTCCACACGGAAAAGCTGTGCTTTGCAGCTTGTCTGCAGCGAAGCTACCTCTTTCGCATCATCTGGGCATCGTTCTGTATTGAATGGCTTCAATTTAGTGCTTCATATAAAATTCCTTTCCTATGGTGATGGCCAGTATGCTTGCTGGTACAGTCATACCTCGGAATAAATGTGCTTCAAGTTAAGTATTTTCGGGTTGCGCTCCGTGGCAACCCGGAAGTAATGGAGTGAGCTACTTTCGGGTTTCGCAGCGCGCACATGCGCAGATGGTCAAAATGACGTCACGGGCATGCGCAGAAGCGGCGAGATGCGACCCGCGCATGTGGGTTGCGTTCACTTCAGGATGCGAACGGGGCTCTGGAACGGATTCTGTTCGCATCCCGAGGTACCACTGTACAGTGGTACCTCGGGTTACATACGCTTCACGTTACATACGCTTCAGGTTACAGACTCCGCTAACCCAGAAATAGTGCTTCAGGTTAAGAACTTTGCTTCAGGATGAGAACAGAAATCGTGCTCTGGCGGCGCGGTGGCAGCAGGAGGCTCCATTAGCTAAAGTGGTGCTTCGGGTTAAGAATAGTTTCAGGTTAAGTACGGATCTCCGGAACGAATTAAGTACTTAATCCGAGGTACCACTGTACCTCCTATGGTGCCAGAGAGAGGTCTCAGTAAGCATCCTCTCAAAAACCCTTAATGTGGGAGAGATTGTTTGCTTTTCCTGCACAATTGATATGTACACTGGCTCGGCCCTGCCTACATTGAATGTGCTCCCTTAAACATGCCCAGATTCCATGCTGAACAGTGGAAAGATGCAAAGAGCTTCTGTGAACAACTGAGGCAATGAGTCATGTAGCTGCCCCGCCTTCCCCCATTGATAGGAAGGCATGCCCACACCATTATATGGTCCTGAATATATTTCTGGTATTTTAGATGTGGCTGCCATTTCATGTCATGCCATGTCCCGGGGGCAGCCATTTTGCTAGGCCACACGCCCCACACCGGCCATTTTGTGACAGGTGACCATGGCACTTTTGGGAGTGCAGGAAAGGAGTGGATTTTAGGTTAGGAAAGCATCCAGGAGAGGTGAACCACCGCTTTGAAGACTTCCATGTAGGAAGAAGTGCTTAAGGGCGAACAAATTTAGTCTTAATAGTTATGGTAATTCTGTTGCCTTGTGCATAAAATCTATTGTGACTGGTCATCCTGGACCATCAATGTCACGTAAAAAGGACTTGGACACCAACCGCAAAGCAATGCTTTCGGAAGACCAATGCGAAGAGCTGCAATCTTCATTGTGAAGTTTCATTGCAATCCCACCACAAAGTGTGTGCATTTTTGGGGCCTTTGCCCTCAGTAACATGAGGGCTAATTTTAGGTTAGAATACCTCTCATCTCCTCTTTCCTAGGGCATATCCTCTTGGCACTGGCAAGTGTCCAAAACCTGATTCTCATCTCGATCAAAAAACTTCTGCCCTCTTTCCTTCAGGTCCAAAGCTTCCTTTTGCTTCTCTAAGAAGCAAAAGGAAGCAAAGCAGAAAAGGAATGGAGGCTGGGTGACCCTAAGTGATCCTATTTCCATCAGAGACATGCAAAGCCTCTTTATTTAATCCTTCCCAGGATTTATTTTAGGGGCGCAAGGCTTTATGTTTTTTGGGGGGGAGTAGAAAGTTATCTGCTATGCAAATAGTCAGTTTGTTGTTGTTGTTTAGTCGTTTAGTCGTGTCCGACTCTTCGTGACCCCATGGACCAGAGCACGCCAGGCACTCCTGTCTTCCACTGCCTCCCGCAGTTTGTCAAACTCATGCCGGTAGCTTCGAGAACACTGACCAACCATCTCGTCCTCTGTCGTCCCCTTCTCCTTGTGCCCTCCATCTTTCCCAACATCAGGGTCTTTTCCAGGGAGTCTTCTCGTCTCATGAGGTGGCCAAAGTATTGGAGCCTCAGCTTCAGGATCTGTCCTTCCAGTGAGCACTCAGGGCTGATTTCCTTCAGAATGGATAGGTTTGATCTTCTTGCAGCCCATGGGACTCTCAAGAGTCTCCTCCAGCACCATAATTCAAAAGCATCAATTCTTTGGCGATCAGCCTTCTTTATGGTCCAGCTCTCACTTCCATACATCACTAACTCAGAGAAGCTATGAACTATGCTGTGCAGGACCACCCAAGATGGACAGGTCATAGTGGAGAGTTTTGACCAAACGTGATCCACCTGGAGCAGGAACCGGCAAGCCACTCCAGTATCCCTGCCAAGAAAACGCCATGGACAAAGAAAACAAGTCAGTTAGTTGGGCATTTTTATTTATTTACTTGACTGTTGGGGCGGTTGTCCCCCCCCCAGGTAAAACAACACCCAAAGCTTATGAGGGCCTTCTCGGTAGTGGCACCTGCCCTGTGGAACGCCCTCCCTTCAGATGTGAAGGAAATAAGCAGCTATCTTCTTTTTAAAAGACATCTGAAGGCAGCCCTTTTTAGGGAAGTTTTTAATATTTAATACTGTATTGTTTTTAACACTTGATTGGAAGCCGCCCAGAGTGGCTGGGGAAACTCAGCCAGATGGGCGGGGTATAGATAATAAATAATAATAATAATAATTATTATTATTATATGATGACATTATAACGAAGCGCTCCTGCGCAAGTGCAGAGTGCTTCTGATGTGTCGCTAATAACGGCAGGGAGCAATTGGGCGGGAAAGCGCGTTGGCTCGTTTACTATTAGAAACCTTTACTGAAATAATATACTGTAATGAATATAATGGAAAAAACAGATTAAAGAAAATGAATACGGAATATTTGTTAAAGAGAAGCATTGAAGCCGCAAAGAGATAGAGGGAAGTCAGCTAATATAATAGGGATCCAGACTCGTTTTCCGCAGCAGAAATAAAGTGACCGTAAAGAAAGAAAAGAAGGATTGAAAATGTATTTCTTTCTGAGAACCTGCTGTATAGAACATTCAAATTAGTGTTTGTGTCCTTTGAACAATTTTATGTACTTGACTAATTCCTTTTCGTTTTTCCTTTTAATTTATTATTTATCAATTTTCTTTTTCCCCCTCTCATTTTTTTCATTTTCATTTTCGGATGTTTGGGTGTAATGTTTAATTTATGCTTTCTTTGTAATTCTTTTTAAAATGCAATAAAGATAATTAAAAAGAAAAGAAAAAAGGAACTATTACTATTCTCTTCTTATGCCGGCGGAATATATAAGCGCGGCCCCTTTAAGCGCCGACCCTGCCAAGAAACTCTCCCCCTCCCCTCCGCCCCAAGTATTGCCCGCCCTCCGGGAATCCCAACATGGCGCCTAATCCGGCCCTCATCCGACCTTCCAAACATGGCGATGGGCCCACCTTCCCGCCCTTCCTCTTTACGCTTCGAAGCCGGCCCCGCCCCTGGCCCCGCCCCCAAGAGCTTTGCCCCGCCCCCACGCGGGGCGTCTGTGTGTAGCCCAGGGAGGCGAACCTGGGGAAGGAAGCGGAGGGAGACCCGGCGAGCGGAGACGCGGCGGGCGGCATGTGGCTGGAGGCGGGCAAGGTCCCCGGAGCCGCGGCGGTCTTCTACGGGGCTCTGGCGGCGCTGGTCCTGCTGGGCGTCCGGGACGTGCTCTTCCAGTACGAGGAGAACCGGTGCAGCATGACCTACATGTTCGAGTACCCCGAGTATTTGGTGAGGGGCCGGTCGGAGAGGGACCGGCGGGGCCGGTTAGCGGGGTTGGGGGGGGGAGTCGCTTTCTCCTCAGAAAGGGCGGCCGGTGCTTCGCCGGGAACAAGACACTGGACGGTTTCAGGGCGGGGGGGGGGAGGCAGGACCTCGGTTGACGCCTTCCACCCCCCTGCTTCAATAATAATAATAATAATGATGATTTTGTTATTTATACCCCGCCCGCCCATCTGGCTGGGTTTCCCCAGCCACTCTGGGGCGGAGAACTGGGCGAAAGAAACGGTCTGACTTTTTAGAAGGCAGCCCCCCCTGTGTCGGGAGCTTTTTAATGTTTGATGATTTACTATGTTCGCATATGTACTGTAAGCCAGCCCAGAGTGAGCTGGATAATAATAATAATAATAATAATAATAATAGATTTGTAAGCATACACTTCCCTCTCTGTTTGTGTGAGAGAAGTACGTACTATGATGCCACCTTCCTGCATTTAGGGGGCACACCTTATTATTCGGATTTTGAGACGCACTAAGATGTCACTGTATGTATATCAACTTTTATTTCCATTTTTGGGTGTGCCTTTCCTGTTGTTATTATTATTATTATTATTATATCAACTTTTGTTTCCATTTTTGGGTGTGCCTTTCCTATTATTATTATTATTATTATTATCATCATCATCATCATCATTATCATTATTAGCACTAAGATCCCACTGTCTGTAAATCAACCTTTTCCCATTTTTTTGGTGTCCCTTTCCTATTATTATTATTATTAGTTGTAGTAGTAGTACTAAGATGCCACTGTCTGTTCATCAACTTTTTTTCCAGTTTTTTGGCATGCCTTTCCTGTTATTATTATTGTGAGAAGCCCTAAGACTCCACTGTCTATGCATGACTGTTTTTCCATTTTTTTGGTGTGCCTTTCCTATTATTATTCTTATAATTATGAGAAGTACTAAGATGCCACTGTCTGTATATCAACCTTCTTGCATTTTTGTACAAGGAACATGAATCATGTTCAATAACATCAAAGGGAACTGTGAGCAGGGGTGTGGGTGGGTGGGTGTGTCAATCTGAAGTTATTGTATGGTTTATCTCTGCAGATCATAGCATAAGTATAAAGATGGACCTAACTGAAATATGACAGGGGGCCCTTCTTGATGAGCTCTGGCGACCTTGGTACAAGTCTGGTTCCAGCCTCATGTCCTGAAAGGCATTCAGGCATATCTTGAGTTCCTCACATGTTGCATAAAGGTCAACACATGCAGATTTAGTTACCAAGTACAGTCTACAAGATAATTTGAGGGCAGGCAAATGATAGCCAGTTCAAGTCACAGCCCACCAGGGTGATTTTCATTCAATTCCATTATTCTTTCTAGTTGAGATTCCTGCATTGCAGGGGGTTGGACTAGATGACCCTTGGGTTTCCTCCCAGCTCTACAGTTCTTTGATTCTTATCATGAGAAGTACTAAGATGCTACTGGCTATATATTAACCTTCTTGCATTTTTGTGGCACAACTTTCTTTTAATTCCTCACTTCCAATATATCCTCTCCTTGATTTGGTGTGGTCTCAGTTGCCACAATCCCAGACATGGCTGTTCAGAAGTGGGCTCCATTGATTTCAGTGGGGACTTCCTCCCTAGGATGCATGTGTTGGATCTCAGCCCGAAACATCCATTCATGTTGGAGTCCTAAACATGCTTGCCAGTCTTGATTCCGGGGTGCTAAACCTGCCGAGATTTTCCTCTTCTTCTTCTTCATAATATTTTATTAAAGCTTTTTCATAATACAATAATATAAAAGAAACTAATCTAAAATGAAAACAAGAACCAAGAAAGAAAGAGAAAACAGAGTTCTCTCTCAAAGGTAGCTGTTAACCAGTGTCACGTACAGAAAGTGGTGGACCCTCCCAGTCTCTCACCCTGGGAGAACTTCCCTTCCTTGTGTCTCACTCATGGTCTTTCCACCAACCATCCACCACATTCATGGGTGTGTCAGGGATTTTCTTCAAAGGGTGTTTTGAATTGCACTGCAAGGCTGCATCCCTGAAAGCTCTTGCTTGTAAGTTTCATTGAACTCAGTGGTACTTCAAAGTAAACATAAATGGGGCCTTCTCATTTTGCACACAAGTATGTGTCCATCTACTCTGTTTGGAGTGTAGTTTGGATGGTTTTTAAAACCAAAATTCACCTGTGTAACCTGTTCCAAGGTTGTTCAATTCAACACATGGAATTCAACAATTAGCTTCTGTCTGTGAAAAGATAGCAGGCTCTACCTGCCACAGTTCCCAGACAACATGTCTCCAAGGTTTTATTGAACCCTGCCATCTCTCCAACCAGAAACTGAATGCTCCATTTACCACTTTGTAGCTTCCTTCCTACCAGAACAGACTTTGCTCGTGTGCTCAAGACATCGATTCCATAAACCATATTTTGTTGCATTGTGCAAAATATGAGCAAGCCAGGGCTGAACTGATACTACCCTTGCTGGTACCTTTCCCGGGCAAATCAGAGGCTCACTATGTCAGGTTCCTACTGGAAGACCAGACAAATGTTAGAACATAAGCAGTGGCAAAGTTTTTATCAGTGGTTGCAAGATCAAATGAGCTCTATATTCTAAACAAAATGCTTGTTTAACCTGGAGGTAGGCTGTATGAATTGTGTATTGTTTTGTAATGATTTGTTGGGTCTCTGGACCGTAATAAAGATGGATGATGATGATTATGAGGGTGCAGGGTTCTTAAAGGCATGAATGTTGATAAAAGCATATTCTTTGCTCCCAGAGTGTACTCCAACATTCTACTTCTGGTACAACAGGCTTTTCCAGTGTTGGCATTGCTGAAAACGATCACATTTTTTCACACCCAGTTGCATCCTGAGATCTGCTACTGATGGTTAGTGCTACACGGCATTGCTATTTAACAACTACATGAACCCACTTAGGAAATTTGAAGCGTAGTGTTGTCTGTACACTAATGACACACAACTCTTCTTCTCTGCGATATCTGAATCTGGAGGTGCTGTGCAGGGTCTGGACCCATATTGGACTGAATGAGGGCCAACAAATTGAAACTGAATCATATATAGACAAGGGCCCCCGTGTGGATGTGTGGATTCCAGGTTTGGGAAATTGGTCAGTTACCTGCACTTCCTCTGAAGTATCAGGTGCTTTGCTTGAAGGGTGCTCCTTGATCCAGCATTGTCACTGTAGACTCAAGTTTCTTGGAGTGCCTTTTATCAGCTTTGGCTGATAGGCCATTTTATGAGTGTTGCTGGACAGAGTACGTACATGGGTAAACTCTAGACCTGATTATTATAATATGTGGGGCTGCACTTGAATTTGGTGCAGAAGACGCAGCTCGTACAAAACGCTGCTGCCGGGTTTTTCTCTGCGGCAGCTTCTTGACAAAGCGTGACACGTCTGTTGCGCCCCCTGGCATTCTCTTTCATTTAGAATTGAAGCAGTCCCAATATGGTTAGGTTTTCAATGTTTGTTGAAGACTTCTTTCAGGCCCCACACCCATCTAGTCTTGCTTCCTGTTCTCACAAGCAGCCAAACGGATGCCTCTGAGAAGTCTGTAAGCAGAAGCTAAGTGTAACAGCACTCTCCCCACTTGTGATTCCCAGCAACTTGGTATACAGAGTTATATTGCCTCTGACAGTGAAGGTAGAATGTAGCTGCCTGGCTGGTAGCCATTGTATAATGTAAAGGTAAAGGGACCCCTGACCATTAGGTCCAGTCGTGGCCGACTCTGGGGTTGCGACACTCATTTCCCTTTATTGGCCGAGGGAGCTGGCGTACAGCTTCCAGGTCATGTGGCCAGCATGACTAAGCTGCTTCTGGCAAACCAGAGCAGCTGACCAAAACGCCGTTTACCTTCCCGCCAGAGCAGTACCTATTTATCTACTTGCACTTTGACGTGCTTTCGAATTGCTAGGTTGGCAGGAGCAGGGACCGAGCAACGGGAGCTCACCCCGTCGCGGGGATTCGAACCGCCGACCTTCTGATCGGCAAGTCCTAGCCTCTGTGGTTTAACCCACAGCGCCACCCGCGTCCCATTGTATAATGTAGAGTGGTCTATAAATTATGATACAAAGCCATGGTAAAATATTGTGCCAGTTTGCACACAGTGATAAACTACATTTAATGGCTTATCAGCTGTGTGCTAAGTGCTATCTCCTTGATTGCTTCTGTTTTGCTCTTTCCCCCTTTCTTTAGTGCAGGCAGGAGCAGTGAGCCACGAAGCCGTGACTTGGTGTTACACACAAACTGAGATTGTGCTTTGTTTCTCCCTAGCAGACAATGGTTAGCAAGTGAGCAGCCTTCATGTCGACTTCCTCGTTGCGTTTTGTTAGGGAGAAGCAAACTGTGATTCCGGTTCGAATATCTTGTTGCTTGCTCCAGCAGAGGAGCAACTCACAAGCCATCAGGCATCCTGAATTAGCATGCTGTTCTGTCTCAAAAATCCTGGCTTTCCGTTATGTGGAAACAAGACCATCGTTCATTAATATCTAGATCAGCCCATCTCTCCCAGTCACTCTTTCTGCCGGCCTTTCCCCTTCGGTCTTCAGAAAATGGCTGTGGCGCTAGCAATCTGACCTGTTGTAGGTAAGATCATGCTCCCATTTGTGGACCAAGATCTACCCAATGGAGACAGTTGCTGCAGAGGATAGCACTCCTGAACCTTGGAAAGAGAGAATTTTGCAGCTTGCTATTGCATAACATGGCAAGCACGAGAAAAGCCGAACCTGTCAACATTTTCTCCTCCACAGCAATCTTAGGGATTGGGTCATATTAGGGATAAGAGGTCACCTATTTTACTTACATTTCAGCCGCCAGTTTATTCTGGAGTGCTGATTGTTTCTCAGATGTGCGTTAGGTTTCCATTCTGTCTGCTTACATACCTCTGTTTCAATAAGGATTCGGGGACAGGGAACTAGCTTCAGCATAGAGTAGGGAGAACCATGAGAATTTTAATAGGCTTGAGAAAGGACACCCACACAGTTTTCTGCACCTGACTTGGGTTGCAATTTGGGTGTTGAAATCTGTTTTATCCTCAGGATATTCAGTGCAATAATAGCTAGGTTTCATGTGCAACGGGTGTGGGAGTGCCAACTATAAATACAGTATTTGCTGCGTGTTGGAGATGAAGGGGAGCGGGGACTGGTTATCTGACGGTTTAAGCGTATCTCTGCATTCCTAAAACCCTTCAAATAGTGGATGTAATAATAATAATAAATTTTATTTATATCCCGCCCTCCCCAGCCAAAGCCGGGCTCAGGGCGGCTAACAACAATAAAATAGTGCAACATTCTAAAAACATTTCATTATAAAAATTAATTAAAATCAAGTTGATGGCAACCATAAGCTTAAGTTCTGTAAAGATTGCCAAAGGAGGGAGTCAGGCTGCGCCCTGACCAAAGGCCTGGTGGAACAGCTCTGTCTTGCAGGCCCTGCGGAAAGATGTCAAATCCCGCAGGGCCCTAGTCTCTTGTGACAGAGCGTTCCACCAGATTGGAGCCGCAGCCGAAAAAGCCCTGGCTCTAGTTGAAGCCAGCCTAACCTCTCTGTGGCCTGGGACCTTGAGGATGTTTTTATTTGAAGACCGTAAGTTCCTCTGTGGGACATACCAGGAGAGGCGGTCCCGTAGGTACGAGGGTCCTAAGCCGTATAGGGCTTTAAAGGTTAAAACCAGCACCTTAAACCTGATCCTGTACTCCACCGGGAGCCAGTGCAGCTGGTATAGCAGTCTCGCCACAGCATTCTGCACCCGCTGGAGTTTCTGGGTCAGTCTCAAGTACTGAAATAAAGTAAAAGATAACAGCTGTCTTAATATAGAACGGGCTGATCCTTAACTTTCACATTGCTGTGATTTTGCTGATTTTGTTGGGTTGGAGGGGAAAAAAATTGTTACAACTTCTTTTAGGTGTGCAATAGGATCACATCTTGTGTAGCAATGGCATGCATATGCAAAACCGTGTACAGTGGTACCTCAGGTTACATACGCTTCAGGTTACAGATTCCACTAACCCAGAAATAGTACCTCGGGTTAAGAACTTTGCTTCAGGATGAGAACAGAAATCGCACGGCGGCAGTGAGAGGCCCCATTAGCTAAAGTGGTACCTCAGGTTAAGAACAGTTTCAGGTTAAGAACGGACCTCCAGAACGAATCAAGCACTGTATTTTTTGCTCTATAAGACGCACCAGACCATAAGACGCACCTAGGTTTTGGAGGAGGAAAACGAGAAAAAAAATATTCCGAATCTCAGAAGCCAGAACACCAAGAGGGATCGCTGCGCAGCGAAAGCAGCGATCCCTCTTGCTGTTCTGGCTTCTGGGATAGCTGCGCAGCCTGCATTCGCTCCATAAGACGCACACACATTTCCCCTTACTTTTTAGGAGGGAAAAAGTGAGTCTTATAGAGCAAAAAATATGGTACTTAACCCGAGGTACCACTGTATACTCTAATCGCCCCCACGGAAGCATCCTTACCTCTGGAGCTGGCACACCAGGTGGGCCTTACCCCCCAAAAGCTTGCTGGGCAAGTCCTGCTCAGCACATGGGCGCTGGAATGCTATCGCAAGTTCTCAGAAATAACAGAAATAAGACTATCCTACATTGAGGTTAGGGACGCGGGTTGTGCTGTGGGTTAAACCACAGAGCCTAGGACTTGCTGATCGGAAGGTCGGCGGTTCGAATCCCCGCGACAGGGTGAGCTCCCGTTGCTCGGTCCCAGCTCCTGCCAACCTAGCAGTTTTAAAGCACGTCAAAGTGCAAGTAGATAAATAGGGACCGCTCTCCGGCGGGAAGGTAAACGGCGTTTCCGTGCGCTGCGCTGGTTCGCCAGAAGCGGCTTAGTCATGCTGGCCACATGACCCGGAAGCTGTCTGCGGACAGGCGCCGGCTCCCGGCCTCTTGAGCGAGATGAGCGCGCAACCCCAGCGTCGGTCACGACTGGACCTGATGGTCAGGGGTACCTTTACCTTTACACTGAGGTTAGCAGAGTATCTAAGTCAAAAGCCCCTAAAACCTGAGAAGCTTAGGGTCTAACAAATATAAATATGTCTTGTACAGAATAACCATCTTGTCCAGGGGCTTTCCCGGACGTCATAAGTAACACCCCTTATTTCTTTGACCTGTAGTGGTTTTGTGAGAATTTCATTTTGAGAAATCTCACAACTGATGGAAAAGCAGCTGCAGGGGAAGAAAATTCAATGTCACAGCTCATAGGATCCTTAACCTTCTTCTATAATTTAGAATAATACTTTGGGAAATGTAAATTTATTTCTTTTGATGTTGTCTATACCATATTATACCCACCAATAATCAAAGGAATAAAATTCTGACTTTTTTCTTTGCTTTAAGCAATAAGACCAAATTTTACCCTGCCTCTGTCCACTCTCCCAATAGCTGTGGTGCAAAAATACCAGAGTAAATTCAGCTCTAGCAGAACGTAGATTATCCAATTCATATTTAATGTGTTGCAAACACAGGTAAATTCCTGTTGTGTCCCATGTAATGCATGCCAAACACCAACCAATCCAGATTCAGCCATACATCCCTTCAACAATCCTATCTAAAACTGGATCTAATTAACACAATTTAGGGCCATAATATATATCTACTGGTATACCCAAAACCTTCAGGACACCTTTTAGGGCCTCAGCTAAAAACAACAGCCACCCCCATATAAGTCATATTCCCCCTCCCAAATATATTTGTAGGCACCCATAAGAATGTGTAAATTGGCTCTATGATATATAAAGATTCTTAAATCAGGAATATTTTCTTTTGTTTTATGCCGCTGTACCTGGCTACTTATTGCACATCCCAGAACAGCTTGGTTTGTTGTTGTTGGTTTTTTTTAAAAAATAAATCCATTTGTCTATCGGCTGTTCTCCATTTTATATGATTATGATTTAGCAGGTTATTTAATCATTCTAATCTTGTGGCATGAAATAAATGGTAAACTTTGCTCATTATTTTAAAGCTGGGACCTCCCCCCTGTTTTGTAGTGCCTTGAAAGTATAAAGCTTATCTCATATCAAGGGTATAACTGTAAAGGCTAATTGCTGGAGAGCTTATCTTCATTAAACAAAACCATTCAGGTGATTAGGCTATACAAAAATACACAATGCTACGAAAGGGGAATACTACTGATATCTCAAAAGCTGAAGTGTCTAATTTCATTTACATCAGAATAATTGTAAATTGAATCTGACATTTCTTAACATTCAGTACAGTATCTTTTAAGCAAATCTGACCATACTCAAATAAAAACTCATAGTTTGAAATTTCTTATTTTGCATTAATTGGTAAATTATCATTAGTATTCATATAGATATTGTTCAAGTTTCATAACTTGCTAATCCTTATCTGCTTCGTGAAGCAAAAACCTGCTTCATATCTTGCTAATCGCTTTGTAAGGTGGGCAAATACCGTATTTTTCGCTCTATAAGACGCACCAGACCACAAGACGCACCTAGTTTTTGGAGGAGGAAAACAAGAAAAAAATATTCTGAATCCCAGAAGCCAGAACAGCAAGAGGGATTGCTGCGCAGCGAAAGCAGCAATCCCTCTTGCTGTTCTGGCTTCTGGGATAGCTGCGCAGCCTGCATTCGCTCCATAAGACGCACACACATTTCCCCTTACTTTTTAGGAGAGAAAAAGTGAGTCTTATAGAGCAAAAAATACGGTATTCTCCGTACGAGGCTAGAGTCTGGAAGACAATTGTGTGAGCTTAGACAAGGCACTCAGTTGATAGCTGAACTGGGATTCCAGTTCATAGCTTATGCTTTAAACCATTGATTCACAAAGTAAGCCCCCTTGGGAGGCATGGGACAGTGAGACCTTCCTTCCTTCCTTCCTAGCCAAGACCTGAGTTGATTGTATCTCACTTGCCAATGGACTCTCACTCGTTTGGGGAAGAAAAACAGCTGCTGTTCATAGCTAGTTTAGGATGAGGCCAGAAAGATCCTGTACAGCTTTCTGTTAATTCTCTTCAGGGCATCACATGCAGCAGCAGGCTGTATTCTGTATTCTGGGGAGGAATCCCTAGAAAATAGAAGAATTGTAGGTGAGGGACAAGTTCAAAAGGGTTGAGAAACCTTTCCAAACTAAACCGCCCCTGCTTATACTTTTGCGGCTTCTGAAAAGTGATTCATTTGGTAGAGAATTTAAGCATATACAGTGGTACCTTGGGTTACATACGCTTCAGGTTACAGATGCTTCAGGTTACAGACTCCGCTAACCCAGAAATAGTATCTCAGGTTAAGAACTTTGCTTCAGGATGAAAACAGAAATCGTGCTCCGGCGGTGCGGCTGCAGCGGGAGGCCCCATTAGCTAAAGTGGTGCTTCAGGTTAAGAACAGTTTCAGGTTAAGAACGGACCTCCAGAACAAATTAAGTACTTAACCCGAGGTACCACTGTACTCCTTTCTACCCCACCTTTCTACAAAAATATTCAAGGAGGCTTCCAATCAAAGTGGTAAAATAGAACAGAAAACAAAGCTAAAAGAGACTGAAATGTTAGCAACAGCAGTCACCCAAGTTAATGACAAAATTCTAACAAAGGTCACTGAAATTGCATTGTCTGCTGTTCACCTAAAGGCAAGCAGTAACAGCGCCAACCAGGTGTACCCCTCATTGGAAGCTATTCTAGAATTTAGGGGTCACAGCTGAGAGGGGTTTCTTGGGTAGCTGCCAACTGTAATTCCCACTGAAGGGAGACCTCAGGAAGGAACTCCAAAGTAAGTTTCTGGACACGTTTGCATGGGAAAAAGCAATGTGATTCTTGAGATGTTGTACAGAGAGTTAAGAGTAACATAAGCGTTTTAGCCAGAAGAAATGAGTTATATCTGGCTAGGCTCCTAAGACTCAAGATAGAATTACAAGGCCATGACAGGTTATCTAAGCCAGAGGTGGGCAGAAGATTAAGAACAATCTAATGGTTGGCCACTGACCAGTTTCTGAGTTTCTCACAAAGAATGCTGGACTAGCTGAACCACAGTTCTTAACCAAGAGTGCGCATTCAAGATCATATAACCATAGCTGTCATCTTACAGATTTGAAAATAAGGGACCAGCAGCCTCGAAAATAAGGGATCAGCAGCCAAAATAAGGGATTTTCAGAGCACATGTATGTTCAATTTCTGAGCCCCTCTGAGCCAAAGGCAGAAAGCCCAGCCAGCAGCCAAACGAAGCCTCAAGCGCAGCAACCCGGCAAAGGGGATGCAGCAAGGAAAACCACCATCACCTCTCCGCTGGGAAGTGCTGAGCAAAGGCGAGTCCCCAGGCAACATGGCTGATTTGATTGGCACAAGGCATGCAAGCTCCACCCCCCAGTCGTTCTTAAGACTCCTTATTGGGTGAGCAACGCAGCCAAGCAACACAGTTGGAGCCTCCCTCCTCCCTGGCCGGCAGCTCGGGAGGGAGAGGAGCTGCTTCCTTTGAAACCCAGGAAATTTAAGGGACATCATCAATAAGGGACAGCAGTGGGACACTGCGCTGGGATAAGGGACTTTCCCGCCAAATAAGCGACGGTTGACGGCTATGCATATAACACATGCTATGGCTTAAAATATCCTGACAGTACCTCTTGCATTTAAAACACATTGGTTAACCATGAAGATTCTAACAAATCGAAAAGGTAGACTACACACAGATAAGCAAACCCCAGCCTAATTGATTCCTTTTTCTTCTTATTTTAACCATAGGTACCGCTATCATAAAAAGTAGCAAAAGTTTACTCTAAAAAACATAGAAATCAAATTGTTTAGAACATTAGTGTAACTGTCCAATGAAAGATTAATCCATAGGCTGTTGTTTTGTTCCTGATCTGATCTTGCACATGTGGATGTGTTATATGTATATACGCACACGTGTCCTTGCCATCTGTAAACATGACCAAACAGCAACAGTTACACTGCTGTATTTAGAACACGGTTCTTACTCTAATATCTAAGTAACTGCTAATATCCATTGAGAGGATTTGAAGTGGAAATAAGGTCTCCTTCCTTTACTGTACCAGGAATTCTTGTACTATACTGGTGCATGTTCGCTGTACATGTCTGTTTTAGCCTTGGGTGGGACAGATATGAAAGGTGCTTGTCTTATAGTGAAATCCTAACCATATATTCTCAGAAGTGGCGTTTGTTCCTAGAGTAGGTGGGGTTAGGATTGTAGCTTTAGTTGCTACCTTTTAAAGAAATTCTAGCTAGAACCTCTTAAACCTGTTAAAGCCTTACAGTGTCTAAGATCCAGGTGTTTATTGGTCCACCTCAAACAAAGGTGATTATCTGAGTCTTTCTTCTGGGTGCCCTCATCTTCTGGAGTGTGATGGGTAGTGACCAAAGAGAGGGCTTTTAAAATATAATGGCACATTGCTTCTGGAATGCCCTTACATTTTTCCATGACCTGGAAAAGAACTTATTTTCCCTGACTACTTAGATATTTTTAATTGGAATGTGTAACACTCCTTGACTAACTGATTTTGTTTTTCCACTTATGTCTTTTTTTATTGATTGTATTGATTACTTTGGAAGGTGCCCTGAGAGCTCCTATTCCTGAAATTCTGGGGTATAAATTTAATGATAGCTAAAGAAAATAAGCAAAAACCCTATGGTACTTCGGCTATATTTATTGGCTTTCAAATATAATAACTTACCCATCTGCCCTTTTTCAGACAAACAATCCATTGCAAGGTTCAGATTGTCCCATTTGGTTTCCATGTCTGCTACTTCCGCATCTGATACTAAATATTTTATTTGAAAAATAAGCTAAGAGATAAAGAAGGAGTAGTGCATATGCCAAGCAGATTGGGCTTTTAGCCGAAAAGCATCATGAAAGGAAGCCAAAAACGAGATGCATAACAAAACAACTTCAACGTAAAACTGTTATGGAGGAAACAAAAACATGCAGCAGCTTTCCTGATTGCAGTGCAGAACTGAAAGTAAACTGCACAGAACCTGAGAGCTGATCTGGCAGTTCCTGGTTTGGCAAGCCAGGTGGGCCAATGCACAGCATCACCTGTGCAATTGGTGAACAGAATTTAGTTGCTTTACTTTTACATCTTTCAGGCTTGGATTCCCCCCCCAAATTATGGCTTTCTCCATAAGAATTTATTGCTTATATTTGGTATGCTGCGCTTATTGTGCTCAGATGTATCACTAGAGTAGGGCTGAGAAACCTCAGGGTCTGGATCTCTCCCGAGCCACACCCCAGACACACACACACACACACACACACACGCGTACGTATTTGCACCCTCCATGATTGCTTTAGCTTGGCTGGAATGTGACCTTGAACTCTGTTAATGACTTGCTTGCCTAGCGGAAGGATTGAGTGGGGTGTGTGAGTGTTACTAGAAATTACCCTTCCGTACAAAGGCAAAATGCCATATAGTGGTTCCCTGGCCAGGGAATAAACCTGACTCTGTTTAAGCACATGTAAGAATGTGTACAGCTAAACCCAGGGGTCACCAACTTGGCAGGCACCAAGGTGCCTGAGAAGGCTTTTGTTGGCATCCCCAGGCAGGAGCCTTACTCTGAAGTTTCATTTTTAAAAAAGTAAGTTTCTGGCCCTCCTAGAAAGCATGTTATGGAGCAAAATGTGCAGATACCCTTCTAAGTGATTTCTGTGAAATGAGCAAGCCTGGCTGCTTCCCCTGGTAGTATGTTTAAGCAATGAATGAAGTCAGGGCTGTGATTGGTAAGCGAGTTGTTCTGACACTAGGCCAGGGGTAGGCAACCTAAGGTCCGGGGGCCGGATGCGGCCCAATCGCCTTCTAAATCCGGCCTGTGGATGGTCCCGGAATCAGCGTGTTTTTACATGAGTAGAATGTGTCCTTTTATTTAAAATGCATCTCTGGGTTGTTTGTGGGGCATAGGAATTCGTTCATTCCTCCCCCAAAAAAATATAGTCCGGCCCACCACACGGTCTGAGGACAGTGGACCGGTCCACGGCTGAAAAAGGTTGCTGAACCCTGCACTAGGCAATGGAAGCCCCCTGTGTTCCAAAGAGCTGCTTTCCCCATTCCCCTTTAATGTACTTTTTCTGCTTCAAATTTCCTCGGCTGAAATTCAGTAGGTTAAGCCTTTTCTCATATGGAAATGCAGTTCTGGGGAAAGCGTTACAGAGACTTAAATCTCTAATTTTGTGTTGTGCCGCGCCTCCCTTGGCACCCATTTTGTAACTGGTGCCTCCAGCACTCTCAAAATTCAAAATGCATCCTCTCGTCCAAAAAGGTTTGCGGCCCCTGACCTAATTTTTGAGAAGTATATTACTTTGATTTTCACACACATATCGCCGTCACCCTTTTATAGTCTATAAAATTCAGGGGTTGACGGCAACCTTTAGCATTTTTAGAGCAAATGCCTTTCAAGCTAGCTGCTAAGTTACGATGTGCTTGTATTGCAAGAAGAAGCTGAAAGGCTGCGTCCTGAATTGTTATACGTGTTTGAATTCATCTGCAATTCATGTGTTGGCCGGTATTTATCTGGCTGATGACGTATGATTGACTGGTGCCAAAGCAGCAAATTTTAAATGAATTCAATTTCACCTCCCCTGACATTTTATTCATTATGATGTAAGCCTATTAAGTTAGTCAGACAAAATTACATTCTCAAAGGCAACACTTTTTTGTATTCCTTCTGGCATGCAAAATGCTTTTGGATTTTTATTTCACTCATTGTTGCAACAACTTCCAAGTAGGCCACCTGTATTTCTTATATATATATACATACATACGTGTGTGTGTACGTTCGTGTACACACACACACACACACACACACACATACAGAGACTCAGATATAAATAGAAGTGATTTGCTGGTCCAGGACACATGGGGTTGAAATGGGGCTTCTTATCTAGATTTCCTACATAAGAGAACCAGAATATCTTCCTTTTCAGCAAGATACTGTATTTTTCACTCTATAAGACGCACCAGACCACAAGACGCACCTAGTTTTTGGAGGACGAAAACAAGAAAAAAAATATTCTGAATCTCAGAAGCCAGAACAGCAAGAGGGATCGCTGCACAGTGAAAGCAGCAATCCCTCTTGCTCTTCTGGGATAGCTGCGCAGCCTGCATTCGCTCCATAAGACGCACACACATTTCCCCTTACTTTTTAGGAGGGAAAAAGTGAGTCTTATAGAGCAAAAAATACAGTAAGTACTGCATTGAAACTGTTGGATAAACTGATGACGGTGGAAATAACTTTCCTGGCTTCTAATGCTATTTTATCTTTTATTAGTAGGTTCAGTTTCTTGTGTGTAGTTGAGCTGAAATGGGATGGAGGGGTTGAGAGCAAGATAGTTTAGGGTGATGGAAAAGCATCTGCATCATTTCAAAACTCCCAAAGCTCTCTCTGCTGAATACAAATATACCCCAACTTGAAGTTGCCCAGCTACCTCCTTTTGCAGTTTACCGTTTCTGTACTTAACATGTACATTTCAGATTTGAACAATAAATTATTACCTCTGGCATACATAAAATATTATTTAAGTATAATTGTATTTTAGAATTATAATTGTATGCAAAATTGTATTTTACAGAAAATAAAACTTCCTAGGAAAGTATCCAGGCGTTATCCAGCCTACGAGCTCTATCTTTACGGGGAAGGAAGTTATGCAGAAGAAAATAGAAATCTGCTCTTAACTGGGATTCCAGTACTCTTCCTCCCTGGCAATGCTGGGAGTTACAAACAAGGTAAGCTATATCTGAAGCAATACTGATGTGTGTATTATAATCTTTCATAAAGCAGGAAATGTATGAAGATCTGTAGAATGTTACCTTTTTTTAACATAGGTCTTTGTGGAAGTATGTATTCTGAATATTTTGTTTATATGTAATTGTTAACAGAATTACCAACTTTCTTTGTTGATGTATTTGCATCATTTAATAGCGTAGGGTAGAATGTGTGAACAGTTAGAATACCCAAATTATGCAAAATCGCATAAGATAAGCTAAAAACAATCAAAACTACAAATCAACAAAATATATTGCGACTGAGCACTATTTTTACACTATATCTTGATTGGCATTTATTTTATTGTACATCAAGCATGTAAAAGAGTTGTCAAAGAAAGTGGCGTTGGGCAAGGTTTTAGAGATTTATCAGGAAGCGATCCTTAGCCCTGGGCTTCTAAATAGATTGAGAGCTAGGCAAACCAGCTCTGCTACAGGCGTCAAAGAGGATTATTCAAATAATCACAGAAGATACCATATGGGCATCTGGAAAATGAACAAAATCCCATGTGAATCATGCTCCCAACTGCCATTTGGAGAAACAGAATGTGATTTCAACCTGCAAAAAATGGAATTTTCTCTGAGAACTGGGGAAATATATTTTACAAGCGGAATACTAAAATTAGTGGTACAGGCAACTCCTGCTTTAGGCATGTGTGCGCAATTGCACAGATGCGCACAGCGCTGAACCCAGAAACATAATAAAGATGTCACTCAAAGGGGCAGGGCAGGGAGTTTGCAGGCTTTTTCAATGGGTTTCCGATTTCGCGCAAATGCACAGTGACCCCGGAATGCAAACCCCACGTAAATGGGAGTTGCGTGCACTTGACTTAGCTTTCTTTTATGTAAGTGGCATGCATGAATGAATGAATGAATGAAATCTTTGTTGCTAAAAGCTATAATCCGCCACAATTGGTCACAATGCGTAGAATACAAATAATTGATTTAAAACTGAACAACAACAGCAGCTAAGCAAACATACAAAAATGCGAAAATCACAGCTGTGTAAGTTAAGCACTCCACATCTCACACTCCCCCTTATGATACTTATCTTGTTGCCTAGCTCTCAACTTACTTGCAGCCAAGGCAAATTTTGCAACCAGTTCAGTAATAAATGTAAGTGGCTTGACCACCCAGTGCCAGAGGGCCATGAGCAACTATGTTGATATGTACATTGCGATGTCTCAGAAGTGCCACATGAAACCAAGAGGCTATAGCAGTCAATTTGGAGGATGGGCAAATATAAACTTGGACCACCCTCTGACTGCATATCATCAAGAGATCTACCAGTCAAGTTCAAATACTACAAGGTGTAAGATCTGTATTCCTTACTGTTTGTGTTATTTTTGCCCTCATAATCCATAAATACATTAAAGGAGTGCTGTCCATTCATAATTCAGTTTCCGTAATAAAAGCTAGGGCAGGTATAGCAAACATGATGCCCTCCAGCTGCAGTTATCACTGGCAATAGGCCATGCTAGCTCAGGGTAATAGAAGTTGTAGTCCAAAAACATCTAGAAGCACCACTCCTGATCTAGAATAATTAAATCTTGACCATGGATTCCGCCCCCCCTCCCATTCTGGGTAAGGGTTAAACTCTTTAGAATTTGTCTGTCTTCCAAGAACATGTTTGTGTTTTAATATGATGGACCAGTACCCTGTTAATTATGCTGTTTTAAATGTGTATTTTGTATTTGATTTCATTTAGCAGTGGGTTTTTTTTTCTTTTTGAAATGTTTAAGATTTTTTTTTGTTAACTCTGTTTTAATTATGTATTCTGTAGTTGACCTCCTTTGTAATATTATCTTTAGGATAATAGTTTAGTTTTCTGTTAATTATGTTGTTTTGACTGTATACTCTATATTTGACTTTCTTCAGAAATGTTTGATTCTGGATTGTTTTATTGATGTTTTAATATGCTGTAAACTGCTTTGAGATTTTTCTAAATAAATAATCTCTACTATTTATAAGAATTTCCGAAGTAGCTGCTGTGACGAGAGCCTCTTGCCATTAGTTCTTGTCTTCATGGAAGTAAATGCCGATCAGCAGCTATGTTGTGATTTTTTATCAAACCAGCTATAGATCGGTATAGGGTTATGAAAATAAATGGGTATCAGAATGCATTTGAGAATGGTGCAGATCTCTGTGGTGGAGAAACACCTTTCCCATGCTTCTGTATTGTTGAGCAATCTAGATACAGAAGCAGCCAGGCCTTATCATGATCTGTTCCAAAGCTCCTTGCATAAATCATATCTTTCTCAGGTAATACCTCCATACTGCATGTTAGGCCATGGTTTCTCTAGCATAGAGTTTGGTGACACCAAATTACAACCAGTTGCATATTCCATTCCACTTTAACAATAGATCTGTATCTTTTCTGTCCCCTGAGGTCAAATTTTAGTGCTCCGCCCTAGCATCAAAATCTAGAGATATTAAACTACTTTCTTCTAATAATTCCTGTGTGCTTTTTCAGTACGTTCCCTTGGGTCAATAGCACTCAGAAAGGCAGAAGATGCTGACTTCAAGTATCATTTTGATGTCTTCAGCGTCAACTTCAATGAGGAACTTGTTGCACTCTATGGTGGAAGTCTACAAAGGCAAACTAGATTTGTGCATGAGTGTATTAAAGTTATTCTTAAATTGTATAAGGTATGGAGATAAGCATTATGCACTTATTTAATTCTGTCAAATTATTAGCTGTATTGGATATGACAGCTGCAGGTTGGGAGAGAAATACTGTTGCTTTGTGTTTTATGGTTGGGATACCTATCATCCATCTATCTATCTATCTATCTATCTATCTCCATGATTTGGTATAGGGTCGTGTTTTCCAAACTTGGGTCCCCAGCTTTTTCTTCTTCTTCTTTCAAACTACAATTCCCATCATCCCTGACCACTGGTCCTGATCAGGGATGGTAGAAGTTGTAGTCCAAAAACAACTGGAGACCCAAGTTTGGGAAACACAGTGTTTGAAATTGTCTCTCTCTCTCGACTACATTCAGTAGCATTATTTGAAAGTTGGGTCCTTTGAAAGTTGGGTCCTTGTCTACCTATACTAAAGTGATACCTCAGGTTAAGAGCAGTTTCAGGTTAAGAACGGACCTCCAGAATGAATTAAGTTCTTAACCCGAGGTACCACTGTATTATGCTGAGCACCCTCAATATAGAAATGTCTTACTGATTTAGATTCAAAATCCAATTAACTGTACTTGAATTGCAGTCTTAGTCTTTGTAGTAACTTGATTTTCGGCGAATGACAATAAAGTACATCAGAATTCAAATACATCAGCTATTAAGCAGGAGGGTGCCTGTGATTTCATACGATCTCAGTGTGTTTGATGTCAAATCATTTCTTCCTTATGCTTCCTTTCTCTTTTTTTTAAGGGCCAGGGGTTTGCTCCACGTAGCGTTGCAATAGTAGGTCATTCGATGGGCGGCCTTGTTGCAAGAGCACTGCTGACGCTTAAAAACTTCAAGGTGGAACTCCTCAATGTCCTCGTTACTCAGGCCACACCTCACATTGCACCTGTAATGCCTTTAGACCGATATCTTACTGGTAAGTTTACTCCTAATATGACCACTTGGTAGACATCAGCAAGATTGTTGTTGTTGTTTAGTCGTTTAGTCGTGTCCGACTCTTCGTGACCCCCTGGACCAGAGCACGCCAGGCACTCCTGTCTTCCACTGCCTCCCGCAGTTTGGTCAAACTCATGCTGGCAGCTTCGAGAACACTATCCAACCATCTCGTCCTCTGTCGTCCCCTTCTCGTTGTGCCCTCCATCTTTCCCAACATCAGGGTCTTTTCCAGGGAGTCTTCTCTTCTCATGAGGTGGCCAAAGTATTGGAGCCTCAGCTTCATGATCTGTCCTTCTATACCTTAAAGTGCTATAAAAATTTTGTTAATGTGAATCAATATCCTTTTTCTGTCATAATAATTTTCAAAGGGTACTAGATAACCCCAATATTAGTCCTCCTAATGCTTTTTAATGTCAGTTCAGGCAAAAATATCTTGCAGTGCTCCTGACAAAGCTCTGATGAACTCCCAAGGGAAGGTTTCTTTCAGTGTAAGAGGGGTAAGGTGCCAAGAATGTCTCTACTTGCCTTTGTTGTTTGATCATGACCTAGAAGTGGAGCTGGTGGGTCTTCTTTTTAAAAATTTAACTAAGAAAAGAAATGGCAGTCTTTAGTTTGGGAAGGCCCAGTCCATTCAGGGTTTCATAGGTCAAAACCCTGCATTGTACCTGGAGCAGCCAAGGAAAGCTGTACAGGCCACACAATGTTTCATACAAAATGCTTTTGGAACTTGGCAGTCCTAGGAGGTGAGGTATTGCCTTCAACATCAGCCACCAAGCGTTTTCCTACAGCAGTTCTGTGCGTCTTGCGCTTGCCATCCTTTCTTAAATTATAAGTGGTGACAGTAATATCTTAACCCAAGAAGGAGAGCAGAGAGCATTGCTTTAGATCAGGGGTCAGCAAACTTTTTCAGCAGGGGACCGGTCCACTGTCCCTCAGACCTTGTGGGGGGCCGGACAGTATTTTGGGAAAAATAATAATAATGAATTCCTGTGCCCCACAAATAACCCAGAGATGCATTTTAAATAAAAGGGCACATTCTACTCATGTAAAAACACGCTGATTCCTGGACTGTCTGTGGGCCGGATTTAGAAGGTGATTGGGCTGGATCTGGCCCCCGGGCCTTAGTTTGCCTAAACATGCTTTAGATGGAGCTGGTAAAAAGCTTTCCCAGATTCTGCTATTACTTGGACACTGGGGTGGACAAGGAGTGCACCGTCCAAGGGAGTTGTCTCTCTTTTCTCTGGCTCACTGTGTTTGTCGGTCATAAATACTTCGGTCTTCTCTAGATTTGGCTTCCTTGATTTGCCTGCAGCCTAGGGCTTGCTGATCGGAAGGTCGGCAGTTCGAATCCCTGCGACGGGGCGAGCTCCCGTTGCTCGGTCCCTGCTCCTGCCCACCTAGCAGTTTGAAAGCACGTCAAAGTGCAAGTAGATAAATAGGTACTGCTCCGGCAGGAAGGTAAACGGCGTTTCAGTGCGCTGCTCTGGTTCGCCAGAAGCGGCTTAGTCATGCTGGCCACATGACCCGGAAGCTGTCTGCGGACAAACGCTGGCTCCCTTGGCCTATAGAGTGAGATGAGCGCCGCAACCCCAGAGTAGTCTGCAACTGGACCTAACGATCAGGGGTACCTTTACTTTAGCTTTGAGCTTTGAGCTAGGCACTGGAGGCAGGACTGGGGTTAAGATGAGAAGGGAGACACAGGATGGAGTGGTATCAGCATATGGGTGGAATCTTGCTCCAAATCTGTTAGTTTCAGCTGGTAGCTTCTTGCACCTTAAACAGGAGCAGGGGCAAACAAGAGAAGCAATCGGTGGCATCCACCTTGCCAAGAACAAGGGAAGCAGTCCAAGAATTTTCCTGTGAGCAGCCCTCCTTACAGTTCATAACAAAGTTTCTAAAATATCAGCAGCTTGCCGTTCTGATTTCTAAGCATATAAATTATCAACCAGGATCGCATTCAGTGTCAGGCCTACGAAGCCGGCGTAATTTACGCGGGGGTAAATTGTGCCAGTATGGGACACGGGTGGCGCTGTGGGTTAAACCACAGAGCCTAGGACTTGCTGATCAGAAGGTTGGCGGTTCGAATCCCCGCGACGGAGTGAGCTCCCGTTGCTCGGTCCCAGCTCCTGCCAACCTAGCAGTTCGAAAGCACATCAAAGTGCAAGTAGATAAATAGGTACCGCTCTGGCAGGAAGGTAAACGGTGTTTCCGTGCGCTGCTCTGGTTTGCCAGAAGCGGCTTAGTCATGCTGGCCACATTACCCGGAAGCTGTACGCCGGCTCCCTCGGCCAATAAAGCGAGATGAGCGCCACAACCCCAGAGTCGGTCACGACTGGACCTAATGGTCAGGGGTCCCTTTACATTTACCTTAAATTGTGCCAGTGCAACTTAACCCTATTCCAAACATTTCAGGAGTGTGGCTACTGACAACTGAGCCAGCCCAGACTTGGCAGAAGGAAAAGAAGCCTTTACTGTAGAACATTGCTTTTAGAAGGCGGCATTTAAATGCGGGCATTAAACAGCTATAGTTTAGCTTCCCTTTAGAAACCCGTATTTCCTGTACAGTACCGTGTTCTTATTAGGTTTTGCTCCAAGCCTTTGGAATGAGTTCAGTCAATGTGTAATAACTGAAATGTTTTGGCTGCAGGCTACACTGGCAATGGGCCTGAGAATCCCAATGTGTCCAGGCGCAGCTTAAACATTAAGCTTAATTGTCGGTTTCATTTTGGGGAAGTGTTGGTGAGCCGTTGGTAACTGGCAGACTTAGACACAAGGGTTGGTTATTTGGTTATTTGTGACAAGTTGGTTATCTTAGTTTTCTCATATAAGTGTGGATGCTCTGATTATTCTATTATCCTGATGCCTGAGCTTTGACAGAACTGGGACACTTGAGAGAATCCCTTGAATATCAAAGTCTAAAGGAATGACTTGCAGCTTTCTAAACTGAGATTCTTGACTAATGGAAGTATTACAAGAAAATGAAGGACTTTGAAATCTAGGCCACTTGAAGGTTTTACCGAGTGTTTTTGATGCAGTTTCCTCTGTGCAGGATTCTTTTGTGTTAGACTTCTGATGACCAAGACCTCTGTCACCTTGACTAATCCTGTGCATTGTTTTTCATGAGCTTACCCCTCATGCCCTAAGCAGCTTGAAAGTTAGGCAATAGCCAATACAGTGGTACCTCGGGTTACATACGCTTCAGGTTACAGACTCCGCTAACCCAGAAATAGTGCTTCAGGTTAAGAACTTTGCTTCAGGATGAAAACAGAAATCGTGCTCCGGCGGCGCAGCGGCAGTAGGAGGCCCCATGAGCTAAAGTGGTGCTTCAGGTTAAGAGCAGTTTCATGTTAACAACGGACCTCCGGAACGAATTAAGTACTTAACCCGAGGTACCACTGTATGCATAATTGCTAGCATCAAGTTAACTGCAGCATGAGTGTAAACGAAAGACTCCGAATGGAGCAGGAGTCCGTTAGTATGGTTGCCATGGTGACAATGAATTTAATTCTCACAATCAGAATTTGGAAGCAGCATCCAACAAGAAGCAGCTGTTCTATTTTGCCCTTTAAAAAATAAAAACAATCTGCCAGCATTTTCTTTTTCTCTCTTTTTTTAATAACTTTTTTATTCAAAATTAAAATGAAACATATTATCCAGAAACATATCATCCTTATTTTCCCCCCATTTTTCCTCCCCCCTCCCTCCCCCCACAGAACCCACCCACCCACACCCCCTGACTCCCCTCAGTTCCAGTCTTTGATTTCTCTAAAAGTGCTGTTTTCGGTATGTTACACAGTTGTGTAGATCCTCAAACTATTTAGCTGATTATTATCAATAAAAAGTTTGTGAATGTTTATTCAAAACCAGCCAAGGAGTCCAGTTCACTTTGTTGCGTCTTCAGATACTTTGTAAAGGGTTCCCATTCATCTTTAAAGTCACAGTTATCCTTGTCCCGTAGCTTGTATGTCAGTTTTGCCAGTTCTGCATAGTCCATCATTTTTTCCTTCCATGATTCTTTAGTTGAGGTTTCTTCAGTCTTCCATCCTTGTGCTATTAAAACTCTTGCGGTCGTTGCCGCATACATGAAGATGTTTTTCAGCTTTTTTGGCAGCTCTTTCCCTAGAACTGCCAGCATTTTCTCGATTGAGCAGGTAACCCCCAGGCTGCCAGCAGTGGCGGAGGGGCGGTCTGCCCTGGGTGCCACCTCTAAGGGGGGGGGACAAGAAGGCACCCCATGGAGGGCTCACCCCGCCGCCCCCGGGCGCGGCGGCGTAAGCTGCCACCATCGCACAGCCGCATGCAGAGGATCCTCTGCTCACGGCGGCAGCGGTGAGATCCTGCAACTGTCCATACGGCGCTCAAGCGGCACCATCAGCAAACCGCCCAGCTGCGCATGCACTGTCCGTAGCGGTGCTGTGCATGCGCCATATGTAGCGGTCCCTCGCATGCACCGTGGGGCGGTTTGCTGGCATTTGAGTTCCGTACGGATGTAGGTGGGATCCCTCCGACGCCACTGCAGCTGTGAGCAGAGGATCCCACTGCCGTCCGTACGTCGCTCGAGTGGCGCTCTCAGCAAATGGCCCCGTGGCGCTTGTGCAGTGCTGCTACGTACGGCGCATGCGCTGAGGCACTGAGGTCCAGCGCCGAGGGCCTTCTGGCGGTTCCCTCGCTGCGAGAAGCCAAGTTACAGGGAACCAGGCAGAGGGCCTTCTCGGTAGTGGCACCCGCCCTGTGGAACGCCCTCCCACTAGATGTCAAAGAGAAAAAGAACTACCAAACTTTTAGAAGACATCTAAAGGCAGCCCTGTTTAGGGAAGCTTTTCATGTTTAATAGGTTATTGTATTTTAGTGTTTTGTTGGAAGGTGCCCAGAGTGGCTGGGGGGGACCCAGCCAGATGAGCAGGGTATAAATAATAAATAATTATAATTATTATTATTATTATTACTGCTACGTACGGCGCATGCGCCGCCGAGCAGTTTGCCCCGACACCCTGCACCAAGTGTCGGTTAGCCTTCCCTCGCCCCTGGCTGCTAGGCCAGTCTCTGCCATTGTGTCATTAATGCTGCCACACCTTACAGTCCTCTGACTGTTGGAGTGGGAACTGTTTGCATCATTTCTAAAGTCTTTTTTGTTTAATGACATCTATGCCCTTTTTCGCCCTTTTTCTCTCCCTCCTGTCACTTCATTTCAGCAGTCCTCTCCTCCTCCTTCAAGTCTCCTTTTCTTTCTCCCGGACTTTTGCCTGCAGCCACAAGGGAAGAGTTGCCTCAGCGGTTGGCCTCTTTCCCAACCTCTCATTTATGTCTGAGAAAATGGAAGGTTTTTTGTACTCCCAAAAAAGAGAAATAAAATTCCCCAAAAGGAGAAGTAAAACATAGCATGCTGGTTTTATTACTTAAATATACTTAAATATACAGTCATACTTTGGGTTACAGACGCTACAGGTTGCGTTTTTTCAGGATGTGGACCGCCGAAACCTGGAAGAACCGGAACAGGTTATAGTGGTACCTCGGGTTAAGTACTTAATTCGTTCCGGAGGTCTGTTCTTAACCTGAAACTGTTCTTAACCTGAAGCACCACTTTAGCTAATGGGGCCTCCCACTGCCGCCGCTGCCACTGCAAGATTTCTGTTCTCATCCTGAAGCAAAGTTCTTAACCCGAGGTACTATTTCTGGGTTACGGGAGTCTGTAACCTGAAGCGTATGTAATCCGAGGAACCACTGTACTTCCAGGTTTTGGCGGTCGCGCATGCGCAGAAGCTCTAAATTGCAACCCGCGGTGCACAGACAGGCCACTGCAGGTTGCGAATGTGCATCCCGCACGGATCACGTTCGCAACCTGAGTGTCCGCTCTACTGCTCTTGTTTGTTTTTTAAAAAAAACCTGCTTGACATTTACAATTTCTGAAATTGTGTTGGAAAGTCTTTGCAGCCTGATTCTAAACACATTCCCTCCGAGCTAATACTGATTTTAGTTGGGACTGCTAAAGCTGCTGCCTTAATTTGCATTGTGCGGGCTGATTCACATGTCATCTGTGGATGGTTTTGCATAAGTGGGAGCCAGCCTCGTCTCTGCATTACCAGAAAAAAGGTACTGTTTGAGGTGGTAATATATGGATCTCACTTTTGGATAGATTCCTATCCATTACTGAGTATGTGGGCCTGATCAGGAGTGAGAGAGTTGTACTGAAACCTCAATTATTATTTTCTTTCCAAGTATGCAGACGTGAGAGTGACTCTCATTTGTGCTAACCAAGAAGAATGCCGTGTCTGAATCAGCCGTGAGACTCAAAAATAAGTTGTGCTCATTTCGTTTGAGTAGCTCGCCTTCCTTTGCCTTTTACTGTGTAGCATTTAGCTGGTGGTTTTGATACATATCTTTTTGATGTTGCTGTCCTCAGATGATTCTTAATACCCAGTATGAAAGTATAGCTTTTAATGTACGTTGTGGTTGATCACTTCAGTTATTCCAGATTCAGAATTTGGATTTCTCTAAACAAATGCTGCTAAACTAATGTTTAAAACAATTTTTTCCCCTCTGGAAGATTTTTACAGGGCGGTAAACCAGAAATGGATTCAGAAGGCTAAAGAAATAAAGAATCTAACAACTCTTTCCGTGGCGGGAGGATTTCGAGATTATCAAGTTCGTTCAGGATTGGCTTTTCTGCCCCAAACAAGTCATCAAAGCAGTGCCTTATGTGTTGTGGTAAACTAAGCACCCATTCTTTTAAAATTAAAGTAATATTTACAGATTTGGGGATAAGTAATTTGCAACCCTAGGGCTCTTGTACACACTGAAGGATTCTTGTTAAAGGTATTGCATATTTAATCCTTGCCCTGGCATTTACCGTATTTTTTGCTCTATAAGACTCACTTTTTCCCTCCTAAAAAGTAAGGGGAAATGTGTGTGCGTCTTATGGAGCGAATACAGGCTGTGCAGCTATCCCAGAAGCCAGAACAGCAAGAGGGATTGCTGCTTTCACTGCGCAGTGATCTCTCTTGCTGTTCTGGCTTCTGAGATTCAGAATATTTTTTTTCTTGTTTTCCTCCTCCAAAAACTAGGTGCGTCTTGTGGTCTGGTGCGTCTTATAGAGCAAAAAATACGGTACTTTAACCGGAGTAATTAAAGTTGTATTCTAGATTCAGCTCTCGGTCCCAGTGGAAACAGTGACACTTGTTACCAAACAAATGTGGATTCCCTATAAGATTAGAAGTGTAATGCTTGGGCCAGTATATAAACGTTTTTCTCCCAAATTCCTTTTCTGATAAAAGGGCCTAGCAGGAAGAAATAAGAAGTCCTACTGGACATGACTAAGAGATGGGGCTTGCCTAATTAAAGAAAATTTTTGGATTCTGTCTAAAGACTGCAGTCCTGCATTCAGCTGGCTGAACAGAAGGATCCAAAGAATCACACATCAAATTTTTACATATCCAAAGACACTTTTAACATTCCCCTTCCCGAACAGCCGCTCTCCGTGCTACATAGCTGTCAACCGTCCCTTATTTGGCGGGAAAGTCCCTTATCCCAGCGCCATGTCCCGCTGCTGTCCCTTATTGATGATGTCCCTTAAATTTCCTGGGTTTCAAAGGAAGCAGCTCCTCTACCTCCCTCCCTGCCGCCCAGGGAGGAGGGAGGCTCCAACTGTGTTGCTTGGCTGCGTTGCTCCCCCAATAAGGAGTCTTAAGAACGACTGGGGGGCGGAGCTTGCATGCCTTGTGCCGATCAAATCGGCCACGTTGCCTGGGGACTCGCCTTTGCTCAGTGCTTCCCAGCGGAGAGGTGATGGTGGTTTTCCTTGCTGCATCCCCTTTGCTGGGTTGCTGTGCTTGAGGCTTCGTTTGGCTGTTGGCTGGGCTTTCTGCCTTTGGCTCAGAGGGGCTCAGAAATTGAACATACATGTGCTCTGAAAATCCCTTATTTTGGCTGCTGATCCCTTATTTTCGAGGCTGCTGGTCCCTTATTTTCAAATCTGTAAGTTGACAGCTATGCCGTGCTACATGCCAAACCAATTTTGACACTGAGTTGCAGTTCTGAGGCATAGTCATCTGCTATTACAGGGCGAAAGGCAGAACTTCTGCTGTTCTGTGCATGTCTAAACTAGCCCTTTGAATCCCTGCCGTTGGGATTTTAGCTGTGGGCAGGATTTCAGCAATGTGATTTCTTCATTAAGATAATATTAAATGTTTCTCATTAGTAATTTTTGAAAAGAAGTAACAGAAATCTCTTCTTAAATAGACTTCAGCCATTCCTCGTGTCTGGGCTTCAACAGACCATCTCTCCATAGTTTGGTAAGCAGCTAGAACCAGATTAGGTACCCGAATTGACTCTTCTTTTGTTGCTTGATTTCATTTTTATCTGTAGTTTTTATAACTAGCCTTTTCCCCTTACACTCTTTTTATAGGTGTAAAGAATTGATCTTGGCTACCATCCGAGCATTTTTTGACCTTATTGATGAAAACACTAAGCAGGTTTGTATTTCTGTTGTAAATAGTGATGGTATTAATGTTAATTTGAATCCATATTCTGTCTTGGGTTTAGTATAAATATGCTTCATTGCGACCAAACTTAAGTTAAAATTCTTCTGAAATCACGTGTTAATTCTTAGATAACAGAAGATCCACAGAAGAGAATGCTAGTGTTAAATCATCACTTTCTGAGGCACCCTGCAAAATTATATGAAGAGAGCCCTGAATCTGTTGCTGAACTAACAGGTTAGCTTATTTTTTTTTTAATACAAGATCAGGGTTGGTAGTGAGTCTAAGCAAAATGGGTTTGAAATAAGCTGTGTTTTCTGGTGAAACTAAACACTGGGAGCTCCTTTTCCTACCTGATGCTTTACTTGGGCTTTTCCCATTTGTGCACATAGCACCAAACCATGGTTTAGCATTGTATATGCCAGGCTCCTAGGTCTCGGCTTCCTCCCCCCATTTGGCTGTAGATAAGCAGGACAAAGCGAAAAGAGTCCCTTACCATGTAATGATCACAGCAAATGAACAAAGCATCCATTCTCGGAATGAAGGTGTTCCCAGTTAAGGATTCCACCCACTTCCTTCCTAGTCACTTCCGCATCTTGCAACCTGATCTCGCAACCACCCTTCTTGTTGTGTAGCCACCTTATCTGCTCTACGTGACCTTGGACTGATAGGCTGAAAACTTTCCAGGGAGAGAGTGCCTGTTAGCTCTCTCTCTTCCTGTTCTTCACTTTGTTGTTCACCCCCCAGTTCTTCCCAACTTTTGTCTTCAGAACTATGCCCCTCTGTAAACCGCTGTTCCAAATCTATACTGCTCCACTGCTCTTGGGCACCTCAGAATCCTGGTCGGGGGAGGGGGAGGCTCCCACCATTCCCCATCAGAGCAGTACTCCTCAGCCTGGTCTCTGACAGTATATGAACATGGCCTGTGTGTGGCTTCTCTAACTTCTTGAACCAACTTCATACTGCACCATCACCACCACATTATTTTAGGGGGAGAGTTCACAGAACGAACTAGTTCTAAGTTGGTGCTATACTTTCATGTCATTAAATCTTGGGTGGTTTAGTACAACACCATCAGGGAAATGGATCTTTGTATATTCTTAAGCTTATTCCTTATTTGTATGAAGTCCGGTCCTCGGCAGATATCATGGCTTGATACTATTTGAAGTTAGAAAGTGAAAAAACCAAAACAGTGGTGGTAATTTTGTAGGAAGTGAGGAAGAATTTTATTCCTGGATGTGTGAAGAGTGATGTTGCTTGATTGCAGGAGAAGTAAACTGGATCCAGATTAAAACTTCAAAATGGTCCTATACAGTGTACAATGTGAGTTGCGTTGATTTCTTCTTTTAACTGTAACTTGTTTAATTTCGGATAGATGACATGGGAAGCTGCCCAGGAGGCAAATGCAGCAACTTAAGGCCTGCTTATTTGATCCCTGGAACTCTTCACGGGCCACAACTCCACTCCACCAGCCAAACTCTTCACTGGCCCTGGTCCACACTCACGTGTATTTTGCCTGCCTGAAATGCTTGTTGGGCTGGAGAATAGGTGTATGTGTGTGTGTGTGTGTGTGTGTGTGTGTGTGTGTAGAATGCAGCCTACTGTTGTGCTGCCCATTTTTGCCTCTGGCCCCACTCGCCTCTAGCATACGGCCCTTGTAAGGTGGCCCAGAAGGGAGTTCAGCCTTGGGCTGCTTTGATGAGATCTGCAACCCTAAGGTAAAGGGACCCCTGACCATTAGGTCCAGTCGTGACCGACTCTGGGGTTGCGGCGCTCATCTTGTTTTATTGGCCAAGGGAGCCGGTGTACAGCTTCCGGGTCATGTGGCCAGCATGACTAAGCCGCTTCTGGGGAACCAGAGCAGCACACGGAAACTCTGTTTACCTTCCCACTGGAGTGGTACCTATTTATCTACTTGCACTTTGACGTGCTTTCGAACTGCTAGGTGGGCAGGAGCAGGGACCGAGCAACGGGAGCTCACCCCGTCGTGGGGATTCGAACCACCGACCTTCTGATCGGCAAGTCCTAGGCTCTGTGGTTTAACCCACAGTGCCACCCGCGTCTCCAAACCTACCTTATACCAAATCAGACTCTCCAGGGTTTCAGACGGGTCTTGTTTCCCAGTCGTACCTGGAGATGCCAAGTATTGATCCTGAGACCTTCTGCCTGCAAAGTATGTGCTCTGCTTCTGAGCTTTTGGCCCACCCCCAGTAGACTGTCCAGGACTGTACATGGCTAATGGTGATTGGAAACCATGTCTGCTCAATCCCATTCCAGCAGTTCTCCAAACTACTACAGTTTCAATTCAGCATGTTTTTGTCCTTTTCTGAACAGGAATCGGATGGAAAATACTTTACTTTCCCTCTCTCAGGCCATCGAAAACCATACAGTCATGTCTACTGTCAAAGCAGTATGTTGGTGAGAAATTGCTTTCCTTTGTGGCTTGACTTAACTTATGTATTTATAGTAAGAAAATGATTTAAATACTTTCACTATTTTGTATGCCAAGCTATAATGTGTATTCTTACCTCTCTTTCTCCCCCACATACCTGTTTTATCTATCAGGACACAAATAGTTGGATATATGGCTGTATAAACAGTTCCTCACCTGTGTGGTAAATATATTTTACATTTCATAAACAAGTAAAATAGAACTGTTTGCAGAAGATACTTCTGCAAATTACTGCTGTTTTTAATGTTCATTTAAAAATAAGGTTTGGTTTTGTATTTGCTTAAAACGAGTGGTTCTTAGTTCTGTTTTGTTTTCATTTTTGTGTTATATTTTCTGGCCTCTTCCGACTGTTGTGACATACTAGGAATTTAAGCCACCCTTAAACCTGCCTTAATCCACTTCTTGGATTAGGAGAATCCCTATAATCCCATGGTTAGCTGTGTATTTGGCTTTAATGAATAGGATTCCCCTGGGGACTGGTGGATTTTGAACATATTCAAAATTAGCTTAAGCACCCTGCAGTTATATTTAAATACTGAAGAAAGAACATTAATATAGCCATATTATATCACATTTAGCACTGTAACACTTTCATATGGTTTATCTAGTACATGAGAAAGCATTTTCAGTGTTCAAAATACCGGTAGTTCTTGCTCAAGGAAAGGCCTTTCAGTATTTGTTTGCAATATGCCAATTTATACATTAACAGTCTTCCATGTATTCCTTAGCCATTATTTTATTGTTTCCACTGACCGGTGACCAAAATGTTTGCACAAAATGGCAAGTTAAGAATTTTTAAATTTTTGGTTTTTTGGTAAAACATCCTTTAACTTTCTCTAAGAGGATGACAACAATATATAGAGGGAGTTTATGTCTGCTTGCTGCCTTCCCTTTATAACTTCCATGTAGAAATCTGCAGAACAGCTTATTTGCTAATTAGCTGTTGTGCAGGAACATCAGACACAGTAAATATCTGGACCAGTGGTAAAGGATAGTTTCTGCAGAGAAGGAAGGGAATAAAAGCTTGGGGGGGGGGAGGCAAAGTTGTTGTGTTTGTTTTAGTTTTGCCAAAAGTTATTGAGCTTTTTGGGCAAAATTGGAAAAAAACAGACATTTTTGAGCTTTTTAAAAAGTAAAGGTAAAGGTAAAGGGACCCCTGACCATTAGGTCCAGTCGTGACCGACTCTGGGGTTGTGGTGCTCATCTCACTTTATTGGCCAAGAGAGCCAGCATACAGCTTCTGGGTCATGTGGCCAGCATGACTAAGCCGTTTCTGGCAAACCAGAGCAGTGCATGGAAACGCCGTTTACCTTCCCACCGGAGCGGTACCTATTTATCTACTTGCACTTTGTGCTTTCAAACTGCTAGCTTGGCAGGAGCAGGGACCGAGCAACGGGAGCTCACCCCGTCGCGGGGATTCAAACCACTGACCTTCTGATCGGCAACCCACAGCGCCACCCGCGTTTTAAAAAGTAAAATTGCTCAAAACAACACTGCTGACATGAGGTGCCATACACCCGCATTTTTCTGGACATTTTGCCGATTTCCACCTAGACACTGCTTCCAACAGCAGTATTCCAGTTATGTCTGGGAAATTCCAAACGTATGGCAACCCTGTTCACTATGGTTTGCTGAAACAAGCCAACTTCACAAATTACAGTTGGAAGGTGGCTTATTTCAACCAAGTACAGTTAAAATTAACCACAGTTTGTCGAGATTAAAAAATTGCAACATGCTACAGTGAATCTGAATTGATGCTTTTGAATTATGGTGCTGGAGGAGACTCTTGAGAGTCCCATGGACTGCAAGAAGATCAAACCTCTCCATTCTGAAGGAAATCAGCCCTGAGTGCTCACTGGAAGGACAGATCCTGAAGCTGAGGCTCCAATACTTTGGCCACCTCATGAGAAGAGAAGACTCCCTGGAGAAAAGCCTGATGTTGGGAAAGATGAAGGGGACAAGGAGAAGGGGACGGCAGAGGACGAGATGGTTGGACAGTGTTCTCGAAGCTACCAGCATGAGTTTGACCAAACTGGGGGAGACAGTGGAAGACAGGAGTGCCTGGCGTGCTCTGGTCCATGGGGTCACGAAGAGTCAGACATGACTAAACGACTAAACAACAACAGTGAATCCAAAATGGAAGTGAAAGCTTCTAAACACTTCAGAATTGTGGCCAGAGTCAAACTTTTTGTGTCTTATCTCCATAATTTTAGAATGTGGTTATTGTGTTACAGTTTCTTGCCTGAGGGCATTTACACCTACATTTCCACAAAGGCCTAATTTGACACTCTGGCCACTACACCACATTAGCTATAGGTATCAATAATAGTGATATTAGAGTTGCTTTCTAAACTTGCTTACCAATTAAAATATACCATTGTGCATAAGAAACTTGAAATAAATATTCATGAACAACATCTAGCATGGTTCTCTAATCTCTAATAATTTTTATCTTAATTTTCTACAGTCTGCGAGGTGTTGATTTGAGTTGGAAAACTGAATTACTGCCAACAGTTAAGGTAAAAATTGTACCATTTCCTTGAAAACTAAACACTTGTTTGTTTATTCATTATTTAAGAGAATATAAATGTTCTGTGCACTTAAACACTAATGAATCCACTTAAACACATTTTGAAGAGCTTCTGTGATAAAATTAACAGTTCCAGTTTTTCCTTGTGGTTTAAGTGCTCTGCTGGAGACTTGGAAATTATTTTCACCATGATTTTTTTAAAAGACTCAAAATACACTTTGCAGGCCAGTTAAACATTACTTTTGCATGTATTGTCTTTCTAGACTGTGACTCTGAAACTTCAAGAATATCCTTCTTTGTCTCATCTTGTGCTTCATGTACCAGCCGTCAATGGTAATAAGGTAATAGAGAGGAGTGTCTAGTTTGTGTGTGTTTAAAACCAATACCACCTGAGTATTTTACATAACTTTTCCTGAAATGTTGTGTTTTTTAGCGCATGCTATAGCTTGTGATGAGAACTGTTGCTTTCTTTTAACAAATGACCCAAGTCTTTGCTGTTAGACCAGGCATGGGCAAACTTGGCCCTCCAGATGTTTTTAAGACAACAATTCCCATCATCCCTGACCACTGGTTCTGTTAGCCAGGGATGATGGGAATTGTAGTCCCAAAACATCTGGAGGGCCAAGTTTGCCTGTGCCTGTGTTAGACTATTGATGGATTGACTGCAAGAGTTGTTTGCCTCTGTAGTATCTGGGGTAAAGCACAAACCATGCTTTAGGCTCCACAAGAGAGCCTAAAATATGCCTTAGTTCCAAATGACACGTTTGAGAATCTGCAGAACATTTGCAGGTGATGCAGAAATGACCACTATGCTTATTTCTGTTTACTAATACAGTGGTACCTCGGGTTAAGTACTTAATTCGTTCCAGACATCCGTACTTAACCTGAAACTGATCTTAACCTGAAGCACCACTTTAGCTAATGTGGCCGCCGCGCTGCCGGAGCATGATTTCTGTTCTCATCCTGAAGCAAAGTTCTTAACCCGAGGTAATATTTCTGGGTTAGCGGAGTCTGTAACCTGAAGCATATGTAACCCGAGGTAGCACTGTAAGGTGATTTGTTAAGTTTATGGTTGAGTCAGCTCTCGAACCCAGTTCTCCTGGTGTGAAGTTTAATACAGTGGAACCTCAGTTGCCGAACATAATCCGTTCCAGAAGACCGTTCGACTTCCTAAACGTTCGACAACCAAGGCGCAATTGCCAGTCGGTAAAATCCATTGAAAAAATGGAGAAACGCACCTCGGAAGCCGTTCGACTTCCGAGGCGTGTTCAAAAATGGAAGCATTCACTTCCGGGTTGTCAGCGTTCAAAAGCCGAAACATTCAACTTCCGAAGCGTTCGACAATTGAGGTTCCACTGTACCTTGTCTTGGTTTTCAACTTTGTGAGGATGAAATGCTATGTGGACCACTGCCAGAAATTCTAGAAATCACTTTGTATTTCTTTGTTGCAGTTTACTTTGGACTGCGAGTTCTTTAACGAAGCTTCAAGAACAGTACAGCTTCCTGTGACCCACCTTTTTTCATTTGGTAGGCCTCCTTCGCTGCATTTGGCAAATTCATGATTCTGGTTTCCGTGTATTTAAATAATTATTTCTTGTTAATTGTGACTCTAAAGACTGAAATCTTTAAGATAATATTTTAGTTTTCTGTTGATTACGTTGCTTTGACTGTATACTCTATCTTTGACTTTCCTCAGATTGTTTTATTGATGTTTTAATATTCTGTACACCACTTTGAGATTTTTCTTAAAAATATAAAGCGGTATAGAAATGAAATAAGTAATAATAATAATTTACTGACTACTTCTGACATGAGGCATTACTTTCTACAGGGCTTTCTTCAAGCAAAATTGTATTAAATTCAACTGGTCTTATTCACAAGGTTCAGCTTCAACATTTTGGTCAGGTATAAATACTGATTTATAATTATTATTATTATTTCAGGTACATATGTTTTCTGTTTTGGGTTAGTTCTTTTGGGGAGTTCTAGTAAACTAACATGTATTGCATTGTTACATTTGTTTAGATATACCAAGCTTTTAACATCCTTATAGAGAGCCGCTGCCAGTCACTTAAAGGTAAATTTATTTCCAGAAATCACTTTTAAACCAGTGTTGGGGGGGGGAGGGAATCCTTTGATGTACCTCATTACTTGCATGCTCTTATTTTTGTAATGTCATTCGTTCTGTAGTCTTCATTTCTAAGTTCATTTTGTAGTCTGACTTGCTGTAAAATTAACCTTATTTGATTATTATTTTTTGGCTTTGTTTACTGATGTGGGTAGTTGACAGCACAATTCCATGTACTGTATTGAAACCTACTGATTCACATTTGAGCAAGGCACATCCAATATTAAGGCCCACCTTCCTCTTCCCTGCTTTTAAAATCTCCCAATTTTTGTTCGTTTTTCTTCAGTTTTGCTGAGATTTCATAACAGTCTTCTTCTTTTCTTGAAGTATAGTTTCAGTAGCTGAGCTTGCCAGTTCATTACAAAGCACTCTACAATTCAGATCATTTTTTCTGCAGTACCCCAGCTTGATTTCATATTATGTTAACTCTTTTAGCTGATAGATATATATCAGGTATGAAAGGTCTGTTAATCTAGAAGATTTGATCTGAACTACTATCTCAAGTTTAGCAGGTGAACTAGTGAACTACAAATAAGCTAAGGTATCAGCATGTGGAGATATTTGCTTAAATCAGCCAATTGGAGTGTGTGTTTCAGAATCCATTATTTTTTGTTTGCTCTTATCATGGGTAAGGGGGGAAAGGACTGTTACAAGAACTTTTTTTTTTAAACGGTTGATTTAAAAATTGATGGGTACTTGGGAGGCAAATTTAAGCTTACTTTTAATGCAAAGGCAAAATTCATTTTAGTCCATAGATTTTAATATTCTTAATCCCTTATTTATTGGGGTATTTCCTGAGCATCACAAGATTGGGCTGAAATGTTTGAAAGAAAATAAAGTGTGTGTGTGTGTGTGTGTGTGTGTGTGTGTGTGTGTGTGTTTCTTCCCCTCAAATGGAGCTAAAATATTTTCTAATGTAAGTGATAACTGAGATGTGACAGTAGATTCAGGACTCTGCTTCATTAATGGGGTGTGGACTGAGAATTTTATTTGATGATTTTATCACTGGTGAGCACCTGGTGTGTCCTGGTAAACCAGCTAAATGTGTGTTGCCACTGAGCTAAGTTTTATTCTAAACTCTGTTCTGATCGTTTAGATTTGGTATACAGTGGTACGTCTGGTTATGTACTTAATTCGTTCTGGAGGTCTGTACTTAACCTGAAACTGTTCTTAACCTGAAGCACCACTTCAGCTAATGGGGCCTCCCGCTGCTGCCGCACGATTTCTGTTCTCATCCTGAAGCAAAGTTCTTAACCCGAAGTATTATTTCTGGGTTAGCGGAGTCTGTAACCTGAAGTGTATGTAACCTGAAGCATATGTAACCCGAGGTACCCCTGTATATAGATCCCTGTGTGGGCGAGAGAGGAATTAAATGTGTGCAAATGTAGTTGGTATCCCTAAGATGCCTAAATTTGTTTTCTAATCTGTTTATGTTTCAGAGGGAAGCTTTCAGTTCATATGTATGAGATGGTATATGTGCTGTGTGTTTGTGTGTGTGTGTGTGTGTGTGTGTGTGTGAGAGAGAGAGAGAGAGAGAGAGAGAGACCCATTGGAAACATGGTGATGTGGATAGGATGCAAATATTATTCCTTTCATTAAAGTCAGCAGCTTTCAGGGTTCACAGTGGTAAAATGACTGGTTCATTATGCTGCAGGCACACAACATTTAAAATGAACCTGGTTTGCTCTTGAGGTTCTCCTCTTGCCCCCGCCCCAGAACTTGCAGGTTAGCATTAATAACAAGGCATGGTCTTTCGTTGTCCGTTGTGTTAGCAGACTGCCAGTTTGTTACTTGATCTTTTGTAGTTATCCTTTCCCTAATCCAAACTGATTCGCTTTGTCTTGGGTAGTACTTGGATGTTAGGCATTACAAAGGCAGATTTATGTGGCTGGGCTTTTTCACTTATGATCACACAGCAATCACACAGCAGCTTGGCATCTTGAAATCTCCCGTTTATGCCAGCAAGGATGTGTAGAACCTTATCATCCTCATGCCCAAGAAGTGCGTGTCAGTGCAGAGAGGAAGCTTATGCATCGTAAGCCTGGCACTTTTAAATTGCCACTTGAACTGGGTGGACGGCACTCTCCTTAATGTTGGCAATCTAATGCCACTTAAGAGTGGAAACGGATGAAGTGAACATACATTTTCTGTTCTGTGAATGACCTTCCCATTTATCTTGCTGAGTGGCACAGTTGCCATTTCTCTTTGCTCTTGTTGTACTTCATAAGCCTCTTTCTATTTCTTTCACTGTGCCTGCCTGCAGAGTTGGAATTGGGTAAATGATGATACCACACAGCCCTAATATTAAGTCTGCCGTGCTGCTTGAGTCTGCAGTGTGACGTGAATAATGAGAAGTGTGGCTCAATGCAAAATTATCTCAATAATAAAAGACACATTGGCAAAGAAGCAAAAAAATTAAAATGCCGATCATTAGAGATTGTGAGCAACTGGGAGATGGTTATTGGAATAAGAGAATTACACATTACAGTGGTACCTCGGGTTAAGTACTTAATTTGTTCCGGAGGTCCGCTCTTAACCTGAAACTGTTCTTAACCTGAAGCACCACTTTAGCTAATGGGGCCTCCTGCTGCCGCTGCGCCGCCAGAGCACGATTTATGTTCTCATCCTGAAGCAAAGTTCTTAACAGGAGGTAATATTTCTGGATTAGCGGAGTCTGTAACCTGAAGCATATGTAACCCGAGGTACCACTGTATTGTTATTTCAGTTGTTGTTACATTTCATTACAATTCTACAACCATACATTCTAGCTGTTTTATGACTATTTTTTAAGTGTTAAGATTTAAAGAAACAAAAAGAGAGTCAAATGACATTTGGGCGTCATTCTTGGTCTCTCATGTCACAGCAGAACCTAAGGTGTTGTAAAACACTCCTTGGACTTGCTTTTTGATAGCGTGATACGTTTTGAAAAGTTTATTTGTTTGTTGTAGCAGAGTCCTTTTGTAGTGGCCTGATTTAAACTGTATTTCATCACGTGCTTGGCTCTTTGTTTTATTATGTACTTTCATTTGCTTCTTTCAGAAAGGAAAGCTACTGTGTACCAGCTTCATATACCATGGTCCTATGAAGACTCTTTAACTTTGTCACAGTAAGAGTTTATTTGATTTCTTTATGTCACTGAAAAGTCTCACACCTTAGGACTTCCATATATGATATGAATGCGTTCTCACAATATGCAGGTGAATAGGACCACAAAATTTGGTATAGCAAATGATCTTAACGTCAGAGTTTTTAAGGAAGGGTGAAGGTTTTGTGTGTAACAACAAAACACCGAATAATAGTTAAGTAGCCAGAAGATTCCTACTAATGCCCGTTTCTTCCCAAGTCCACATGAGACATGGCTTTGTCATGATGCTTCCATGTGTATGCCTCTCCTAGAATCTTTCCAAAAAGGTATCATCAGTTGGAAGAGGCTTGAGCAGTGAATATGTTGCTGGTCACTTATTCATAGGTTCAAGCAGTCCCTTTACTTTAATAAATTATTCCTCCTTGCTGGCAGTGTTATCTCCACTGGTTAAAACCATGGCTTCTACCCTAATCAGAGTTTGCAAACTAGCTTCAACCATAGTTTCAAATGATATGGAAACTTTGATAAGCGGTAGGTAATGCCACTTCTTAAATGAATGACAGCTCTGAATGTCTCGTTTTTAGCTCGTCATTAAAAAACAACAACCAGTGGAACCTGCAGCAAAAGCTAGCACTGTATCCTCCTGCACAAAATGAGTTCTCCTGTCTCATAATGCCATGCACACTTAAAAGGATCACATCAGACTTTATTTTAGATTGGACAAGTGTTCATTGCAGATCATTATTAAAAAAAAATAACCTAACCACCACAGGGTTCCATCTTCGACTGAGATTTCTGCAAAGCTGCATATTGCCCAGCCTGAAAATGACACTGCTGTTCCATCGTTGAACATTTATTCATCTTCAGATTGCCAATATGAAGTAAGTAAAAGCCTATATGAAGTAAGTATAAAAAAGAGAGTTACATTTCCCCTACTTCCCTTCAAAACAAGGCGGCCCATTTTCTGTATTGTAGTAAAAGACAGACAGTGGAAGTCTTTTGATGCACAACTGAAGTGAAGTTCCCTTGGTTGTATTTAAGCCAACTGATTTTTGTTATATGTCAGAGTAGGAGAGGGCCTTCTTGGTAATGGCACCCCAGTTTTGGAATTCTTTATTTTCCCTGGTCTTTGCTCAGTAATTAGTGCCTGGGCTAATCAGTGTTTCCTTATGATTGCAAATGGACTGCTTTGTTTTACCAGATATGGTTGCATCATTTTACATGGATCTGATTTTTAAATTGTAACCCGCTCTGGGATTGCTTTGCAGTGAAACGCTGGTAATAAAATATTTTAAATAAGATCAACCGAGCTTTCACCTTTTGTGAAGTGAGCATTTTAAGAGTGCTGTATTTATTTATTTTCCACTAAAATGCACATTTTGCTATTGTTAATAATTCTGAGGATAAAAAATAACAAAAAATAAAGTATAGTTGCCTGTCACTAAAAAACCCCACATAAAATGACACTTAACTAGGTGACGCTTAACAAAGGCCTGGGAAAACATTCTGTGCTGGAAAAAAATCTTACCATGCTACTGAAAAGGCATAATGATTGTACTAAGTGGACTTTGCTGGGAGGGACATTTCTACATGCACAATGCTGGTAATCCCCCACCAGACCTCCAATACTTGGGCACAAACATGTGGTAATTGGGCAAGCTTTCAGGTTCCTGAGTCCTAAACTGTTTAGGTCTTACCCATTAACACCAGAAGTTTGAATTATGCTTGGAAATGGATTGGCAGTTGGTGTATGTTTAAGAACTAACAAAATATGATCTTGATGGTCTGTCCACATAGGAGCTTAGCATCTGTATTTTAAGTTTCCAGTCTTCCAAGGCTGAACAGTACATTGCAGCAGCCTGAACTGGAGCCCATAAGAGCATGGTTCCCTGTGGCCCAGCAGTCAGTGTCTAGGAGGGATTGCAGTTGGTTCACCAGCTGAAAATAATGCAAGGCACTTTGTACAAACCAGGGCTTTTTGGGCCTCCAGGGACGCTGCTGGATTGTTAAACTGCACACCTTATTTTATCATAGTAACTGAGAGTATTCTCATTATTTTGTTCTTATGCTATATTATTGTTTTGTGTAAAAAAAAAAGCTACTTTTTAAAATGTGTGTTGCAACTAGGTAATCATCAAGACCTCTTTTCTGCAAGTCCTTGGTCAGGTAAGAAAGTTTTGTTTCACTTAACCTTAAGCTGATAATGCGTAAAGATAACAAAACAAAAATAACGTGTCTGGATCTGATAAAATGTATTCTGTGAGTGTAGCATGCATCTATAAAAATGGGGTGTAGTTCATAAAAGATAGTCCCAACTGCTCTAACGGATGCCTCCCCAAAATAGGGGTGTGGTGTCTACATTGCCAAATAATTCCCATCCATAGAGCCTGGTCGGTCGGGTTGGATGGGTGGAAGCAGAAAATGCTTTGCTCATAAGAGGTCCAGCTATTGCATGTGTTTACAGGTTTCCTGCCGCCAGGCAATACCATCCACGCATCACGTCAAGAACAAACAGTACTGTCTACATCTGTGGGAATTTCTTGGGAAGCAAGAAATAACTTGAATGTAGACCAAACAAATGACTTGCTCAAGGCCATATGCTCAATTCAGTTCCCAGAATATGAGACCGCACCTCTCAGCCAGCACTTGCTGCTACTGCACGGTGCCTTTTTTAAAAGAAGACAAAGCAGTTATGAAAAATCGGAAGCAGACTGAAAAGCCTTAAATAGCTGTCTCTAAAGCAGGGCAGGTGGGACATGGGTGGCGCTGTGGGTTAAACCACAGAGCCTAGGACTTGCCGATCAGAAGGTTGGCGGTTTGAATCCCCGCGACGGGGTGAGCTCCTGTTGCTCAGTCCCTGCTCCTGCCCACCTAGCAGTTCGAAAGCACGTCAAAGTGCAAGTAGATAAATAGGTACCGTTCCGGCGGGAAGGTAAACAGTATTTCCGTGCGCTGCTCTGGTTCGCCAGAAGCGGCTCAGTCATGCTGGCCACATGACTCGGAAGCTGTACGCTGGCTCCCTTGGACAATAAAGCGAGATGAGCACCGCAACCCCAGAGTCGCCACGACTGGACCTAATGGTCAGGGGTCCCTTTACCTTTTTTAAAGCAGGGCAAGTCAGCAACAGAATAGCAAATGAAACTTATTTGTGCAAATTCAGTTTTGCTTAAATCCTATTAACTTAAACCAGGTCAACACAGCTTGTCATGCTTCAGACCAGCCATCATTTATTGCGCTGGTAATTTATTTTTTTGCCGCCTGCCTTAGATGGGTAAACAGCCAGCAAGTCAGAACACATGTTGGTGGATTGCAAGATAATTCAGGCCTGATTTGCCCAGGTGGCTAAAGCTACAGTTCTGATTATAAAGTGGCCATCTTTAATCACAGTCTGAAACTTGATTGTGCTAAATTTGAAGCCGTGTTCTGGGTTGATATGTACATTTATGGGAGCATTTCACATCCCTACCCCTTCATGCTAATGCTGATGTACTTGATTGCAACTTGAGATTTGAGTCACAGATTGATATGTCTGTGTGCTTTTTCTTGGCACTAGAATGTGTGGTACTCATACCTGTGGAAAAGAAACTGAGCCCATTTTTATCTTGAAAAAAGATATCCTGAGAGCTAGCGTAGCATATCGGTTAAGAATATAAATTGGGAGTTTTTAATGAAATCTCAGTCCACCCATGAATGGTATTGAGCAAGCCATTTGTTGTCTCGGCCCTTCCACCTGTTATATAGGCATGTCTCACAGGTTTTTAATAATTAGATAATGTATGTGAAGTATTTAGAAAAAAAGCACTTATGTAAGTACTGAATTGTGGTGGACATTGGGTGATATTTGCATGCTCCATTTTTTCCATAAAACATTCTTGTTTTGTAGGTAATAAGATTCCATGGTGGCACTCTACCCGTGTACATAATTTCTAATATTCTTCTTGCTTATGGAAGACAGTTAAGGTCCCTAATTTCAACAGGTAACATTTCGTGAAAAGATTTTTAAGCGCAGGTTTGTTTATTATTATAAAACTAGAAAACAGAGTTTCATTGTACATTTCATTTGTAGTTCAGCAATTGTTTTGTTACCTTTTTTTAAAAAAACACTGAGATTTGTTGTAAAGTGGTTGATAATCTCGTAGATACTGATAGGAATCTGGGGAGGGAAGCTATTAACTGGCAAGAATAAACAATAGTTATTGTATAGCTTATCGACTTGAATGTATTTTAAAGCAAACGCTTTACAATGCTAAATAGAGCTTTTAAAAGTCAGTACATTTTTAAAGCTTGAGTTATATTTGATTTCTCAAATCATTAGAGAAATATCCACCAAGTTATTTGCCCTTTAGGGCAGGAGCTTCATTTTGGTCAGACCTGCAAGCTGGGGGGAAAACACATTTAAATATATTCATGGAACTGAGAATTCTGTGTCACAAATAATCAGTGTCTAAAACTGAATACAACTATTACTGTAAATAATTTCTGTCGGTCTGTTTCCCCACACCACCAGCGCATTAGTATTGACATTATATGACAAATAGAAGTTTTACTGCAGTGGAATTAGCATTTAACAATGGTTATAATATATCCTGAATTTTGGAACATTTATGATTTTTCTGTTAATATTTGAATTTACTGGCCACATCTGATTCTTGTTATACGTTTTTCTTGTTCTAGGTCATTGCACAGATTTTGTACCTGCACTTACTAAAGCAGCCAGGCCCTATAAAGTAGAACCAATAGTGAATATTGTTAAATTCTTGTTGGGGTAAGTTCCTTGCTGGTATATTTTTCCATTACACCATGGAATTCTTCATGCAGCAATAAAGGTCCTCATCAGTAACATACATACTAAAAAAATATAGCATTTGAAATTAGGATTAATTATAAATTTTTGATAAGCAAGTAAAGCAAACAACTATAATCTTGTGTTTTCTCCCCCCATAGGCTTAACTGGCTTAAGGGAATCTGGGATATATTATCCTTGCCAGAATTAGATGCTGTTACACTGAACAACCAGAACTTGTGGTTTCCTTTTGTATCTCTAATCCTCTTTATGTTTGGAACCGGCATAGCCTATTGGTGTGGCAAACTCTTCAGTTCATTTCTAAGGATCTCATCCTCATTGCATGTAGCTTTGGCCAGGTAAAAAAACCAACTGCTCTTATTTTATGTGGGTGAAATGATAAAATATGAAAATGTAATGCCTACTTATTAAACAGTGGTTATACTAAACCTGGGGATAGTTCTTAACTAGCTGAGAGAATAGGTTAACTTTCATGGGGACTGTAGAACATTGTACAATATTTTACTAGCTGTTAGTGGCATCTTTGTGAGATGGTTCTAAGTGTTGAACTACTAATAAGCCGAGTTAACCCGGCTGTAAGGGCAATTTGGTTAACTTGCATTTAAAGAGAGGTTTTTCTGCATAAGGTAGAACCTTATCGAGTGCTACCGAAGGATACTAAATGGTCAGAGGTTAATAGTTGGGTACTTGTTTAGTCCAGGACATCATTCACAAACTGACCATTGCCAGTTTGTAATTTTCCTTTCCAGTTGAAATGCCATTCTTTTTCAATCAAATTCTGAACAGGGCATAAAAGCGTTTTTATTTCATGAAGGAATAAACCATTTATTACATTTCTGTTCTAGTTCTGCAGTGGTTTTCTTCCATTTTTGTTCCTTGGCCTAATCATATCAGATTGAGTTTATTATCCTTCTTTTATTTTTTTAAAGGTTAGATAGGATAGATATCATTTGTGGGCTTAAAGAGGTCTTTGATTTTGCTTTCAATTTTAGTTCTTGGAAATTGGAGCAAGTTTCTGCACTTATACTTATTGTACCAGGCAGAATGAAACATGCAGCTGCCAAAATTCATGGCCCTTGACTTGATTAAACTTGATTTTTCCTTTTTCTTTCCGTCAAATTACTCTTTTTAAATTCTTGGATTGTACGGTTGATCTTTCTATTTAGGACTCCTCTTTTTCAAAGTAACTTTGCTCATCTTATCCGAGCAAAGTAAAAAGTAATCATGCTTTAATTTAGACTTTGACCCAGAAAGCCACAGAATGCTTGATTCCTATCTCAGGTTTTGTCCAAGAAACATTTTTTTTCTAGAAACTGCCCCCCCCCCCCCGCAAGAAGCTAAACCATTCCAGTGTGTTTGTGCTGTTATAATTCTCTAGTACTAACATCTGCTTTGGGAAATATACATAATTGAAAAACAGACTGGATTCACTAAACTTCAATGTACAAAAGAGATATTTGGTAATACTGTAACTCCTTTTCCTGAAACGTGAAATGTTTATTTGCATGTTTAGGGGTAACGTTATTTTCAGAAAACCAGGATGTGGCATCTTTAAGTAGTATTCATAAATACCAAAACTGTTAGTTTAAAAAAGAAATGGAAGAGAAAGAATACGAAAAACAGCAAATTCGGGACTCTGTGAAATGAATTGACCCTCATTGTTATGGATTTTGGTAAGCCTCCAGACGCAGCTGCATTATAGTGTAGTGCCAGAGTGAAATTGTAACTTTTCCCTACGGACACGAGGACACCCTCTGAAGGGCAATGTGTACCTCCTTTAGCTTGAGCCAGGAAAATGTCTATTGCAGAGGTTCTAAACTTTGGTTAGCACAAATCGTAGTTTGGCAAGGTGTCTGAGCTGATCCATTATACTTTATACATGATTAATGTTTGGCTGCTCAGGGTGTGAGCGGGCGGGTGTGGGGGATTCCCTGGTCCTGAATGGGGTAACTGTGTCCCTGAAGGACCAGGTGTGCAGCCTGGGAGTCATTTTGGACTCACAGCTGTCCATGGAGGCGCAGGTTAATTCTGTGTCCAGGGCAGCTGTCTACCAGCTCCACCTGGTACGCAGGCTAAGACCCTATCTGCCCACGGACTGTCTCGCCAGAGTGGTGCATGCTTTAGTTATCTCCCGCTTGGACTACTGCAACACGCTCTACGTGGGGCTACCTTTGAAGGTGACCCGGAAACTGCAATTAATCCAGAATGCGGCAGCTAGACTGGTGACTGGGAGTGGCCGCCGGGACCACATAACACCGGTTCTGAGAGATCTGCATTGGCTCCCAGTACGTTTCCGAGCACAATTCAAAGTGTTGGTGCTGACCTTTAAAGCCCTAAACGGCCTCGGTCCTGTATACCTGAAGGAGCGTCTCCACCCCCATCGTTCAGCCCCCACTGAGATCCAGCGCTGAGGGCCTTCTGGTGGTTCCCTCATTGCGAGAATTGAGGTTACAGGGAACCAGACAGAGGGCCTTCTCAGTAGATTTGCAGGAAATAAGCAGCTATCCTATCTTTAAAAGACATCTGAAGGCAGCCCTGTTCAGGAAATTTTTAATATTTAACGCTGTACTGTTTTTAACATTTGATTGGGAGCCACCCAGAGTGGCTGGGGAAACTCAGCCAGATGGGCGGGGTATAAATAAATAATAATCATATTCTGTTGCATTGTGCGAAGTATGAGCAGGCCAGGGCTGAACTGATACTACCCTTGCTGGTGCCTTTCCCGGGAAAATCAGAGGCTCACTATGTCAGGTTCCTACTGGAAGACCGGACAAAAGCTAGAACGTTGGCAGTGGCAAAGTTTTTATCGGTGGTGGCAAGAACAAACGAGCCCTATATTCTAAACAAAGTGCTTGATTAACCTGGAGGTAGGCTGTATGAACTCTGTATTGATTTGTATTGTAATGTTTTGTTGGGTCTCTGGACCGTAATAAAGATTGTTGTTGTTTTCCTCCAAATAAATAACAACAACAACAACAACAACAACAACAACAACAACAGTTATTGTTATTAATAATAATAATAATAATAATAATAATAATAATAATAATTTTGTGTGAATTAAATTATGATTGTTTGCATTTGCCAGACCCTCTCGACTTCCACCAGAGCCCAGTTTGATTACTCGAAGAAGGTTGTGCGTAGCTGTTTGCATGTTTTTCCTTAGCTGGACTACATGTGGAGCGTTGGCTATATTAATGACATATGCTCATTACACCTTCAAGGTATTTAACCAGCATGTGGCAAATACAGTGTGTGGATAAAATGCTTTTAAAGTTTTTAAATCATAGGTTGGTTTGGGCAGTCTTCTTATAGGTTTGGTGCTGAGTGTGATGTGGCGTGGAAAATGAGAGGAAAAGACCGTGCTTGCCCTGCCTCAAAGTCATCCAGCTATCCCTGTTTTTGGTGCACATAAAATCCAACACATTTTGCTCAGATTTCTTGGTTGAATACTGTATTTTTCACTCCATAAGGCACACCAGACCATAGGGCGCACCTAGTTTTTAGAGGGGGAAATCAAGAAAAAAAATCTTATTTCCACACCGACGCTTCTCGCTCTCCAGGCTTCAGCGAAAGCAATGCGAAGCCTCCAGAGCGTGGAGGGAGCGCTCCCTCTGCGCTTCGGAAGCCTCGTGTTGCTATCGCTGAAGCCAAGGAGCCTGCATTCGCTCCATAGGACACACACACATTCCCCCTTAATTTTTGGAGGGGGAAAAGTGCGTCCTATAGAGCAAAAAATACGGTACTTTTTTTATTGTTACCGCCCCCCTGGCCTTCTGTGCCAACTGAAAACCTACTTCAGAGGGTTGGGGAACCCTTCAGAACAACATGGGAGGTTGCCCTTCCCTCGTAGTATGAAAGAACGAGAAAGGAATTGTGTTTTAGTTGGATTTTGCAGAATTGGCAAAGTTGACAGCTAAAATAAGAGAACCCTAGTGACAAAGGTTTTGTGGAAGAGTGGAAACCCTTTTCAGATTATTTAAAGAAATATTATTATATGATGGGCACGCGAGCAGGATTGGGACTATGAGCAACAGAAGAGAGTAAAGAGAACAGTAGTTTCGTTAAGGGTTAAGAGATAGAAGAAAGGGCGTGACAGAGGGAGAGAAACAAACACCATGGAGAAGGGGGTGGGAAGTAAAAGAAAAAAAGTTTTTATTATGTACTGAACTGTATGTGTGAAATTTTTGAAAACTTGATTAAAAAACTTTAAAAAGGGAATTATGTTTTAGTCTCGGTGATGAAGATAAGTTGCACTTACAAGTTGATACACTGCAGTTCAAAAAGACTTTTTTTTTAACAGGTTATTAAACTGCATTCAAATGTCAGAACAGAACTAAGTGTCCTTGATACGGTAGGTTTGTTCAGTTATCAATTTAAAACATTGGAAGTTAATTTAAACCAACAGTAAAAGAAACTTTAAACCATCTCAAAATTTACATGTCTGGATAGGCTTGCCTAAACAAAAATAGTTTTGGCATTTAATGTTTTCAAATGTTTGTGTTCCCCCTCTTCTACCTTTTGTTCCCTTTGTGCTTTGCCTTTTGTCTGGTACATCACTAGGGAGTGGGCATGCAGGAAATATTGGTGTGTTCCCCCATGGAACTGCAATGATGGCTACACTGGCATCATGGCAGCGTTGGGAAAGGAAAGGGCGATAGTATATCTTGGCTACATTGCTACTCAAGCCAGTGTAGTGTAGGGTCTCCCAAACTTGGGCCTCTAGCTGTTGTTGGACTACAACTCCCATCATCCCTAAGCTAGCAGGAAAAGTGGCCAGGGATGGTGGGGATTGTAGTCCAAAAACAGCTGGAGAGACCCAAGTTTGAGGAACCCTGGTGTAGTGGTTAGAGTTCTGGATTAGGACCTGGGAGACCAGGTCCTAATCCAGAATTATAAAGGATTATAAAGAAAAAGGATTTGATGAAAATAAATCAAAGTTTGAACTAGAGATATTAAGTAATAATTATAAAATTTTGTCTAAAATGTATAAATTGCTGCTTGAATGGCATTTGAAGGATGAGGAGGTAAAAGTCGGTTATGATTCATTGGACTAAAGATTTTGGGTATAATATACAGCTGAATGATTGGGAAAAATTATGGAAAGAAGGTTTAAAGCTTACTGCATGCAATGCCTTAAAAGAAAATGTGATGAAAATGATGTATAGATGGTATATTACACCTGTTAAATTAGCTAAAATGTATAAAGTTAGCAATAAATGTTGGAAATGTAAAGAAAAAGAAGGAACATTTTGTCACATGTGGTGGGAATGTAAAAAAGTGAAAAGCTTCTGGGAAATGATATATAATGAGATGAAAAAAATGTTGAAATATACATTCATAAAGAAACCAGAAGCATTTTTACTAGGCATGGTAGGAAGTGATATAAATAGAAAAGAATGTAAGCTGTTTTTATATGCAACGACGGCAGCAAGAATATTATTGGCACAAAAATGGAAGCAAGAAGAATTACCGACGAAAGAAGAATGGAGGATGAAATTAATGGACTATGCAGAATTAGACAAACTAACAGGAAGGATCCAAAATCTGCGGGACCAGAAATTCACAGAAGACTGGTGTAAATTTACAGACTATTTGAAAAGTAATAGTGATGATCAAAATACGTTTGTAGGTTTGCAAGAAGTTTTGTGAGGTGAATTATTGGAACTATTGCAAAAATGGATATAGGGGAGGATGATTAGTTAAGATAATTAAAGGCAAGATGAATTTAAGAAATGCATAAGAAGTGGTTAAAACGGGGGATCATCAGAGGTGCTGATGGAAGTCCAAAAAAAGATTGTATAAGTGGTGAAGCTTTGTGGTATGTATTATAATTCATATGTTAAAATTAATAAAAATTATTATTAAAAAAAGAGAACGCTAAAAAAAAAGGGTTGAAATCCTGAGTCAGCCGTGAAGCCCACTGGGTGACCTTTGGCCAGCCAGTCTCTCTCAGCCTCACAGAGTTGTTGGTGAGGGTAAAATGGAGACAGGGAGGGTGCGTATCCCACCTTGAGCTCTTTGGAGAAAGGTGGGATATAAATTAAATAAATAGCACTGCTTGATATTTTTTTACCTTCCCCATGAAGCACCTTTTAAGTTCGCCGTTAAACTTTTTATCAACCTATTAATGCCTACACTTGTATTTTATAGTGCCCAAAGAACTCGGAACAAGGCTCTGCTTGTTCCAAAAGAGAAACAGAAAAGAGCTGTGCATCATCAGCAGATGGCCTTTCAGAAGCAGCAGCGGCAACATCATCACCTACGGGCAGCGCAGCCGTTGACAGCGTTGTAGACAGTCTTAAGATGCACGTCACCGTCCTCAACTTGCTCACGTTGATTGTGCTGCTCAGTTGCCCGTCTTTCATTTACTGGCTGAAGAATCTCAGGTAACCGCCAGAAGAACTTGCAGGTTTTATACAAGAATCCACGACGGGTTGGTTTCAAACTCAGCTACTCCATCCAAAGGCATTGATTTTAAAACTGGGGAAGCTCATAGCAGCATCAGTATATGAAGTTTGTTGTATTATCTTTTACTGCGTTGCATATTGTTTCTAGTTCCTTCCCATGCCATAAAATCTATTTCTGCTTGTGTAATCATTTAGAATCATAGAATTGGAAGGAACTCCGAGGGGCATCTAGGCCATGGGTAGGCAAACTAAGGCCCGGGGGCCGGATCCAGCCCAATCGCCTTCTAAATCCAGCCTGCGGACGGTCTGGTAATCAGCGTGTTTTTACATGAGTAGAATGTGTCCTTTTATTTAAAATGCATCTCTGGGTTATTTGTGGGGCATAGGAATTCGTTCATTTATTTTATTTTTTTCAAAATATAGTCGTCGTCCCCACAAGGTCTAAGGGACAGTGGACTGGCCCCCTGCTGAAAAAGTTTGCTGACCCCTGATCTAGGCCAACTAAATCATACATGAGAGATGACCATCCATCTCCTGCTTATGGCGCTTGGGGGGGAATTGTCATCGCGCCACTCCTTGGTGTGTGGAGTACCTCAGGGTGCGATACTCTCCCCGATGCTTTTTAACATCTTTATGCGTCCCCTCGCCCAGCTTGTCTGGAATTTTGGGCTGGGTTGCCATCAGTATGCCGATGACACCCAACTCTATCTGTTGATGGATGGCCATCCTGACTCGGCCCCAGACACACTGACCAGATGTTTGGAAGCTGTGGCTGGATGGTTACGTGGAAGCCGGTTGAAGTTAAATCCTTTGAAGACAGAGGTCCTCTGGCTGGGACGGGACGATATGGGATTGGGGGCAACTCCCATCTCTTGCGGGGTGCAATTAGTGCCAGCACCGTCCGTTAAGAGTTTGGGTGTAATCTTCGATACCTCCCTCTCTATGGAGGCGCAGATTACAGCTATAACAAAGGCGGCATTTTTTCATCTCCGCCAAGCTAAGCAGTTGGCCCCTTATCTCTCTCGCCCTGACCTAGCCACTGTGATCCACGCGACGGTCACCTCCAGAATGGATTATTGTAACTCGCTCTACGTGGGGCTGCCCTTGAGACTGACCAGAAACTCCAGCGGGTGCAGAATGCTGCAGCAAGACTCCTTATGGGGTCCTCGCTGCGAGATCACATTCATCCGGTACTATACCAGCTGCACTGGCTCCCGGTGGAGTACAGGATCAGGTTTAAGGTGCTGGTTTTAACCTTTAAAGCCCTATACGGCCTAGGACCCTCGTACCTACGGGACCACCTCTCCTGGTATGCCCCACAGAGGAACCTACGGTCTGCAAATAAAAACATCTCGAAGGTCCCAGGCCTCAGAAAGGTTAGGCTGGCCTCAACTAGAGCCAGGGCTTTCTCGGCTGCGGCTCCAATCTGGTGGAACGCTCTGTCACAAGAGACTAGGGCCCTGCGGGACCTGACATCTTTCCGCAAGGCCTGCAAGACAGAGTTGTTCCACCAGGCCTTTGGTCAGGGCCCAGCCTGACTCCCTCCTCTGGCAACCTGCACAGAATTTTGCTCAGTGGTTGCCATTAATTTGATTTTAATTAATTTTTATAATGAAATGTTTTTAGAATGTTGGATTATTTGATTGTTTGATTATTTGATTGTTGTTAGCCGCCCTGAGCCCGGCTTCGGCTGGGGAGGGCGGGATATAAATAAAATTTATTATTATTATTATTATTATTATTAATTATTGTTTATTATCTACCACTTGTGTATACAATATTCTGTTGCTGCTACTTTGTGTTTCCTTTGCAAAATTTGATTTTCAGTTTATTACCATGCTCTTTGTTTTTTCTCCCCCAAATAGGTACCATATCAAGCTTGATCCTGATCCATGTAGATCAACTGCTTTTATGCTCATAGCCATTTTGGGTATACTCATGGACGCAAGCACTACAAAAGTTAAAACAAGGTACCTTAGTTCATTATCTTCATTTCCCCCACAGTTTTGGTGTTTGAAGGTGCAGTTTGGGGGGTGTGTGTGTGTGTGTTTTAAAACAAAACAATCACAATTATTTTAGTCACATACAGTACAAGCCTTTAAGAGCATCTTCTGCCTGTTCCCACCCTGCCCACTATGTATTATCAGGATCACTTAGCAGTGCTTCCCAGACTTGGGTCTCCAGCTGTTTTTGGATTACAGTTCCCATCATCCCTGACCACTGAGTCCTGCTAGCTAGGGATGATGGGAGTTTTGTGTTTTCAAGCTGTTTCCTTACTCTTTACTGTTCGGTGGGTGTGATTCAGAGAGGCTTCTCAAAGTGGGAGTGTCAGGGAAGATGTCTTCTGCCAATTTCTCCCCTGCAAGCCCCACATGTTATTATGGGGCATGCACCCCTGACTCTGCAAACCAAAAACAAGCCATGGTTGCAGCTCACCACTTTTTTGGAGTGAGACAAACCACAAGCCTATGTTTGTGCCTAATGCTAAGCTGAACTGTGGCTTAGCTCTGGGTAGTGTGGCAACAGCAGGACCCAGGGAAGAGCAAATAAGCTGTGACTTTCTCTTCTAGCACCAAAAGGCTTGCACATTCACGATAAACCATAGTTTGGGTTACTGTTACGTGCCAGGCCCTGAGTGCCCCCCCTACACCCCCATTTTCAGGGATGATGATGGTTCAGGTCAACGCTTGCCATGTTAAGCCTCCATTTAAATGAGACTGCAATATTGAAATGTCAGGCTAGGATATGCCAGAAGGCTGGGTGGTTCAGTCCGAGTCTTTCTTTTCTTTTTTGATTTTTTATGTGTTTATTAAAAGTACATTCAGTGCATGGGAGTAGCCAAGGGGGGGGGGAGGGGGGCAGCTGCCCCCCAATCAATAAAAATACATAGCAAGCAGAGGTTCTGCCCCCGTCTAACAAATGGTCTGCTCCCCCCCCAAACAAAAATCTTGGCTACACTGTGAATCAGTGCCTGTTTTCAAGTCTTCAAGTAGTTCATGCAGGTCAGTTACATTCAGTTTGAGACGTTCTGTTATGGGGTTGCTGGGAGAAGAAGTGGGGAGACAGAGGGCTGAGGAAATAGGGGGGAAATAAACTTTCTCCCCGCCCCCCATAATATATGAGCGGACCTTTTGTGTCCGCCCCGTGTGGGCAGGTATCTTAATTTTGCTGGCGGAACGAAAGATCAGACGGCCCAGCAGATGGTTGGTTGCAGTTGATGGGTTGCCGTGCGCTTTGTTTATGTAATATGCAGAAGTACGAGATACTCCCTGGTATTTTCCTGGGAATATCTGCACTCTTCATTATGCCACACAGCTTGCAGCCTTAATAACGGCAGAATTGTTTTACCTTGTTTCCCCTTTCTCCACAGTAAACTGCTGAAGATTGCTGCACATCTCCCACTTCCTTTGTCTGTTGCCGCCGTGGTGTTTGCACCAATGCACTTAGACAGAATGCCATACTTTGTAATCGTTCCTCTTTTTCTTCACGCGTTATGCTGCATTGTGTAAAGACTTTAGTTTACCAAAGCACCAAGCACACCAGGGAGGGAGTTGAACCAAGGATAATCTGGAACAACATGAAAATATCATAAACATTATCTTCTGTCCGTGGCAGAAGTGAAAACAACACTGGGCACGTGTTGTGAAGGTTGATCCAGTTAGAAAGCAGAGGGTTTTGTACCTTACTGTTAAAAAAAAAAATCCTTGTAGAAACTTACAGTTGCTTTATTTTTGTGGTGTTGGAGCAGGGTTTTGGGGTTTTTTAAAAACACAAATGTGCACTTGTGTGTCCCATATGCTCTTCGGGATGAAACACCTTTACTGTTGGCAAAATCCATAACCGATAGGACAATCCGAAAGTTCTTTTTCCGTTAACGGCAGCTGAAGTTATGTTTTGTCCTTCCTTGGGTCTGTACTAAGCTACAATGCCGATGCTGCTTGACTTGGTGACAAATCAAAAACTATTTCACAGCTTCCATGTTTGTGAGATTATTGAAAGTGGTTGTGGCCCAGTACATCAATTTATATTCAACGTAACATAGTTTACTAAGTACCATATTTGTTGCTCTATAAGACTCACTTTTTTCCTCCTAAAAAGTAAGGGGAAATGTGTGTGCGTCTTATGGAGCGAATGCAGGCTGCACAGCTATCCCAGAAGCCAGAACAGCAAGAGGGGTCTCTGCTTTCGCTGCGCAGCGATCCCTCTTGGTGTTCTGGCTTCTGAGATTCAGAATATTTTTTTTCTTGTTTTCCTCCTCCAAAAACTAGGTGCGTCTTGTGGTCTGGTGCGTCTTATAGAGCGAAAAATACGGTATATCAGCAGATGTGTATGCTCTTTGTACTGTTACACTGCAGTGTGAAGCTCAGGGCAGATTTTCGGGTGACTTTCTGTACATAGAGATTCATGCTAGTGTACATGGAAACATGTAGACAGTTACACGGATACCTTCTTTAGCAATACTTTGTGTTGGGAATAACACACCCATATGAGCTTCCCAATATGTGCATATGCTCAAGACCAAAATATATATCTGTGCAGCTATTTAAATGTGAGTGTTTTAGTAAGGCACTTCTGGCTTCAGTAATCATCATCACAATCATACGGCTTCCAGCCGAACAAAAACACAGCAAAACATCACACATTAAAATTTCCCGATACAGGACTGCCTTCACAGGTCACGATGGGGAGTTGGAGACACTCCTTCAGGGCCAAGGCCATTTAGGGCTTTAAATGTCAGCATCAACACTTTGAATTGGAAGCCAATATAGAAGCTCAGATGACTAGGAGATGCTTCCCACATATATAGGCAGTTTCCTTGGAGGGCAATGAAATCCCGTACCATGTAAGCAATTTCTCTGCCTCCAGATCGTATCAGTCACCCACAATATTAGCTTTAATTCTACTATATTGAGCTTGTTTTCTCTCGTCCATAACAAAAGGCCCCCAGAAAGCCGTCAGCCTGAAATCTGGACTACCTCCAGTGGTTTCATACAGACATTATTAAAACAAAATGGACCCCGGAGGTACTTGGTGAGATAATGTATTACTGATAAGTTACTCAACACCATGGCGGTAATGGGAATCACTTGAAGGCAGAACTACACATTGGCACTCCCATCTCAACAAGTAATCGGTGGATATGAGAAGCAAGTTTTTATCTCTATGTACAAAGAAGTTTTAAAAGAATCTGCCTTTGGGCCTAACTATTGAGTGGCAAATACTGATCACCTATATAACCATTTATAAAGGAGCAGCACGTTTTCTGGTACCTTCTGGTGAAATGTACCGGGTATTAATCCAACAGCAAACGTTGCTCCTCTTGCATTGCACCATCACCTTGGGGAAAAACTGCAGTCGTTTTGCAAATGTAGCCACTTACCTGCAAGCATAGCTGGTCGGCCTACCTGCGTAGACACTTGTATATCTCGTTATTTATTTCTGGTGCATCCATTGCCTTGAGACCTGAGTGCTGATCTTACACGATGGCTCGCTTCCTCTCCCTTTTGTAATCGGGGAAGAGAGCCATTCCTCTGAACCAAGTTAACAGTGTACACATGTCTGTCTTGCCTTTAACCAGTTTGTACCATTCCTGCCTGAAGTGCCTCAGTTAATTCTGGCTTGTGTGTGTGTGTGTGTGTGTGTGTGTGTGTGTGTATATATATATATATATATATATATATATTCAGTTTTCTTGGATGCAAAACCTCTGGATTTAAAAAGAAATTCTTTTAACTGTAGAACTGGTACCGCAAGCCTGCTAACAAGTTTAGTACTTAAAAGCTGTTGTATGAACCATGAAGAGCTTTATAACTAGAACAAGTATTTTAAAACACTTCATCTAGTTTTACGGTTTCAGTATCTTTACATAATTTTTATCCTATAAAAATTATATCCTTGCTACTCTTAAGAGATAAGGCCTTCGGGCAAACAGTACTCTTATTTCTTGAGATCTGATTTCCAGCTGATTACATGGAATTTAACTTGGTGTGCAAGTGACAAAAATTGAGTTGTTGGGGTACTCTGTGCACCTGCCCCTTGTTAGCTGGGTTACTTAATAGGCTGTGCTAGGAGTTAATCCTGATTGCTAAGTAGGGCTTCTTGCTTGCCATAGCTGGCGATGTGAAGAGAAGCTACAAGGCCTCCTGTGCCTCTTAATAGCTGTATGCTAGGGAGAATTTTGGCAGAGGCTTTTGCTCTCCCGTCAAAGTACTGCTCTGATAGAAAAGACGCTTGCCAAATGTTCTGTTGTATCAAGGGCACCACAGTGCTCTTCAAAGCCACGTGTTGGGCTGGGTACTTGGAAGCCTACTGCTTCCAGTCACGATGCTGACAAGAGCTTCTCCTTCATAACAGGTCCAGGTGCTTCTGAATTACCTGGCTTCGCTTCACAACTTTCATGCTGCAGTTGGGGCAGGGGCAAAGCCATGCCCAGTTCCTAATTAGGTCATAACGGCACTGAACATAAGTTTGTCTGTGAAATGGGTGAGTTGACTGCTCTTTGAATTAACTTCGTATATGCTGTGTGGGTTATGCGTAGTTCAGATACGTAAGTCTTTTTAATTACTTTTTCTATGCGAATCAGTTCGTTTGTAGTAACAGATTCTGCGGTGTTGCTTTTGCAATTTGGGTCTCTGACGTCGTTTGCTTTTTTTGCACTTGGGACCGTTTTCTCCAACCCATAAATAACACACATGCCCATTTTGGGCTTTTTTATTTGGGATTGCTGCTCTTTGTGAATTGAAAGACACCCGGTAGCACAAGCCTGTCCAAGGAGTTCAGTGTGGTTTACTCCCAGATAAGTCTGCAGGTGTGCATAAGGCATAGCTGTCAACCGTCCCTTATTTGGCGGGAAAGTCCCTTATCCCAGCGCTGTGTCCCGCTGCTGTCCCTTATTGATGATGTCCCTTAAATTTCCCGGGTTTCAAAGGAAGCAGCTAATCTCCCTCCCTCCCTGCCGGCCAGGGAGGAGGGAGGCTCCAACTGTGTTGCTTGGCTGCATTGCTCACCCAATAAGGAGTCTAAGAACGACTGGGGGGTGGAGCTTGCATGCTTTGTGCCGATCAAATTGGCTGTGTTGCCTGGGGACTCGCCTTTGCTCAGCGCTTCCCAGCCGAGAGGTGATGGTGGTTTTCCTTGCTGCATCCCCTTTGCCGGGTTGCTGCGCTGTGGGAACCACCGCTTGAGGCTTTGTTTGGCTGCTGGTTGACTAAAATCCCTTATTTTGGCTGCTGATCCCTTATTTTTGAGGCTGCTGGTCCCTTATTTTCAAATCTGTAAGTTGACAGCTATGGCATAAGGTTGCTATCCTACACAGCACTGGGTAGTGAAGGCCCGGACTAGGTGAGTCCTTACGAGGCCATTTAAAGTGACCCGCCAGTCCCTATCTTCCTTCCCACTGCATCACATGGCTGAGAGGAGAGCCTTAAATCTCTGCACCAAGCCCAACACTGATTGGGAACGAGTGTGATGGGTGCCTGCATCTACATTTGTGTTTCTGCTCTCTGTACGTGGCGATACATGTGTAAGTGCAGAGCATGTACTTTGGCAACGGCCACCGTTGTTGGCGTGTGGCCCTCGAGGGTGGGCCCAACCTTAAAGTGGCCCTCGGCCAAAAAAAATCCGCCTCTGCTTATACGAACTACCGAGGGAGTAAGTCCCGTGGAACATCACACACTTCTGAATAGACATGCATAGTGTTGTACTGTGAAAGGAATACGGAAATATTGCGACTGAGTATTTTGTTTAAATGAAAACATCACTGAACTTTAAGCCACATCCAAAGTAGCAGGTGTCTGTCTGGTTTCCCCCCTACTGCCGCCATTGCTACAATTTAAGAAAATGCTCCCCTGAAAACATTTGAATTGCTTTTTATACGTCTTACAGATTCAGAAAGCAGTTTGGAGATTATGAACGATAGCTGCCTAAAGACGCAATGGTGGGGGTTTATTCCCCCCTTCCCTTTGAACTGTTAGGTATGGGAAGTAAAAAGTGGTGGGGATTTTTTTGAGGCCAACCAAGAAGGCCTATCATCCACAACTTTGCATAACTAGTTCCTTTGCCCCAAAGAGGTACTTCTTGACTTAGGTTTCTCAGAAAGCAACCCCTTTTCCCCCACCGCTGCATACCAAACCATTTTTGAAACTTGGGGAGAGGCTTTCAAAAATAAGTTTATGGTGGTTTGAAGCCCTGCTGTTCAAAGGAAGGATGCCTGAGTTCTTAAACATTCCCAGAATAGTTCTTTGGATCCTAGCCTAGGAATCTTTTTTTTTAAATTATTATTATTATTATTATTGATCAAGTTTGAGAATATTGCTTTGCCATTAGATTATATGCCTCAAAAAATGATTTGTTACCTCCACAAAGATGCTATGTATATCTAAGTTCTGATCACAAATTCTGCTCTGGTGCCTGCGAATAAATATCAGAAGTACATGGAAACCATTTTCTGATGATGAAATCACTTTAAGCAAAGTGATGACTTGCTTGCGCACTTGAACCTCAATGTCATTTTACGACGCGAGCATTTCATAAACTTCACTTCTTAAGATATGGTGTGTGTGCTCTGTACTATTGGTACAACAGTGCTTTGTCTGCTCGCTGCTGTATATGTTATGAACAACTTGAGAACTGTTAGCCACTAAGCAGCCTAAAAAGTTCATTTTGTAATTCATTTGTGTTTAATATGATAGATTCTTACTTAGTTTAGTATTAGATTTTTATATCCCTTTTTAGAAAAAAAATATATAGCTAGATCGCAACAGGAACTAGCATTCTCTATAATAACACTATAAAGTTTTCATTTCCTAAAAACTCATGTACTTTACTAAATTACCATCAATTAACATACCTCTGAATATTTTTGCCAATGAACTATGCTTGATAAATGGATCTGTACTTTTGAAGCAATATGGCAAGTGGATTCTTTATTCGTCTTTACAAGTGCCTGGTATTCTGATACCAGTCTGCGTAATAAGGATTTATGATAATTCAGATTATCTACAGGAAAACCTTCCTTATGAAGCATCTTGTTTATATACTTGATATAGAGTTTTACAGAGCACTTTCACGCATATCTGCTTAGAGGGATGCTCCATTAAGTTTAATAGAACTTAACTCACAAGTGAGCGCCTGTAGGATTTCAGTCTTAGCCCAATTTTACCAAAAGTTTAAATTCAAAACGGCAGCACTTTCCATATCCCAAATAATGCAAGTTATATAGGAGCAAATTCTACAGTATTTCAGTAATGTGTGAGGACTGTATGAAAGCCCACATACCCTGAGTCCCAATCCATAGAACCGACACATTCAGACACACTTTTTAAATAGCGGCTCCCCTCACTGTGCATGACATACTACTAAAACCAAGTAGCATTTTCATGCAGAACGGGGAGGCATTTATAAAGATGGAAAGTCAGAACTACAGCAGTTGTGTGTGAAGGTCCTGGAGCACACCTTATAAAGCTCTCTCAGTTGTAGCCATTATTTGACCAAAATGAGTTGGCTGTTCGTGTATTTAAGCAAGACACAAGGCTCAATTTAAGGATCTCGGCCCAATTCTGTGCATCCCTCCATGTAATACAGGCAAGCGGGTGCCATTACTTGTTGATGTGATACTTGAGGAATTGGCAACCTTGTCTAAAAGAATTGCTTGTTTTAGAATCTCACTAAAATGTCACAGTAGGCCTTTGCAACATGTAATCCACCAGCCACATATGGCTGCTTTATTAGGAGCTTGCAAAATTTACTGGTTATGACGCCGGCCTTGTGATAGCAAAAAACCGGGGTGGGAGGAAGTAGTAGCAGGAGCAACAACTGACAAGCTGTGGCGTATAGGTCTTTGTTGAGTTTGGACCCGCGTCTTGCTCTTAAACTAACAATGCTGATAAACCTGATGCGATTTGTATGAAGAAATAGCTCCACTTCAGTGTGTGGATTCAGAAGTGAAATATATGAGACTACTGTCCAAAACCCTAAAGAGTGAAACCGGATTTAAATTCCCACTTTTCCAGTCAGGCGCATGCCTTAAATTAACTAATTGCATTTGTAACTATCTGTAGCACTAGACTGAAATGAGCCCAGTGAATATATTGTGCCACCGTTTGGTAATAGGAAACAGGCACTTCATAAATGCCCTGATACATTATCAAAGTTGGGTCACCCTGTTTCAACACTTGGTTATGGGCATGGTCACTTCAGTGCACATACAGACCTACCACGCCCCAAATGTGTTGTTCCTCCAGTGGGTTTTCTGTAGATGGAGTCAATCCATACATGTATTTCATGGTATGTGCAAATTTGCCCCGTCCCCCCAGCATTGAAAACATTGATGGCTAACATAAACAGGAGGTCTGTGTTTATATCTGAAAGGCACAGCTCTCTCGAGGGAAGCAGTTAAACTTCTGAGTCAGTATTGCACAAAAGATGTGTTCCGTTATCACAGTGAGCTATGGTTTATTGTGAAATGAACAAGCCCAGGCAAGTCTTAAGTCTCCTATCGCCCTCCTTTAGTGCAATCACAAGTAGGTGATTGAAAGCTTTCACTTTGTCCAAATCCAACAAACCACAGTTAATCTTAACGATCCTTTGTTTGCAAATAAATCAGCTTCGTAGCACATGGTTTGAAGTTGGCCTGTTTCAAACAAGCCATAGCTTAAGCTCCTCATAGCTTGCTGGGTTCAGATGAGATCGTAAATTGCAGTTTATCAAAAATGAACACAAAGGCTTCCTCAGCTGCACCAGAAGAGGAAAAGAGCACAGAAGCCCACGGCTAATTATTTCTATACTGTCTTTCAATCAATAATAAAACAGTTAAAGTGCCAATACAAAAAGAAAAGCGTAAAACAAGACTAAAATTGCATCTTAAAAGTTCTGAAAGGAAGAAGGCCTTTGCTTGTTGCCAAATGGACAATTAAGTAGGTGAACCTCTGAGGAGATCATCCCATAAACAGGGGAACCTTACTGAGATTGCCCACCTCAGATGGCATGGGCATCTACACGATTGTTGCCAAATACTGCTTTAAAATCTTATGTTTAACCTTTCATGTTCTTCACAGACTTTGTTAACAGCTGTGTTCTGGGGGGAAAGTGGGGTGTATTTTTAAAACCCTCTTATTGCAAATAGTTCCTAAAGTTTAAATGCATTTGTGTTGGATTCTTCTTCATCAGTTTGCTTCCAACATTTCTTTAAAATACTAAGCTTATTTATTCTCTTCAGTTGTCTCCTTTCTCTATAAAACAATCCCTTTCAGTGTTTCAAGGACATTTCTTCTAAGCATCTTTTTTAAAGTAGATACTTACTAAAGATGTGTGTGTTCATTCTTATATCTGAAATAATTAAAAGAAATGAATGGAACAACAACAAAAAAACACTTTTGCCAAACTATCATATCATTCCATTTTATTAACTTGATCATTTTCAGTACAAGAATGAATTAAAGATGTATGGTTATTTAGTGGAGTATCCAGGAAAGAGTTGTGGAAGAGATGATCTTGAAACATTTTGATGATAATTTCAGTTTTAAAAAGCTGACGTGATTCCTTTCAAAATTATTTTCCCATACAATTTAAAGACAACCATTGGCTTGGAAGCAGCAATGTTCTTGTGTGACCAGTGGTGTCTTCTACTTGTGTAAGAGCCAAGCTCCATTTCACACCTCCAAAATGTAGGATTTGAAACTTGTGGGGATATCAAAGCAGTATAATTTTTCAAATTTATATTGGGAGTGGGAGAGTTGGTATGAATGTTGATGGAATTGGGCATAGGCACGATCAGTTTGACTGATGTGCGCCTGACTCTGTTGATGAACCTACATGAAATGGTAATGAACACCTTTTGCACTAGTGGAAAACTGCACATGCGCTTTGACACTGATTTTGGGAGTGAACCGTTCATGTGTTCCATAATAGGCTTACTTCTACTGTATACATAAACATTCATTTTTTAAGATGTGCATACATTATATAAAATTTTGTACAATCTATTACGACAAAACATTCATGCTCTCTTCGTACTGTATAGTGATACTTGTCATAAATTATACTGTTTTTATTTGAAAAGTGTCATTCAACTGACCATATGCTGTCGTCTGAATATTATTAACTGTATTTCTACTTTGCTCAAGTGCTTTTGGGTGTCATAATGTACATTTTTTGCCTTCAGTCTTTGCTCAGGTACTTTGTGTTGGAGCATTTGGGTGCTTTTCTTTTTATCATATGTGGTATTTTGTGTCATGAGGAAATAAAATACCGAAACGGAAAGAAGTGTGTTAACAGCATTGTTAAGCTATTTTATTTATAAGTTTCTATAGCACACCATAAACAAAGCATCTAGTTGGTGAACATGGCACATTCATAAAGTAGCATACAAATATTTAATCAGCATTTAGACAGTATTACACAGTAACAGATAATTGAGCCATGCAATACGATTGCATCTTACGTGTGTAACTTGCACAGTCTCAGCCATACATAGTTGAAGGCCGCGGGTTAAAATCTGACAAGTTAAATGCAAGCGAGGCAAGGAGCTTTAAAGCTCTTTCTGTGCTGGGCAAACCTAGAGCAAAAATAGCTTTCAAGCTTTCTGCTTTGCTTGTGGGAGAACAAAGCCCTATTGGTGTGCAGGCTTAGTTCCAGTTCACCCCTACCAAAAAGGAACTACCATATTTTTCGCTCTATAAGACACACCAGACCACAAGACGCACCTAGTTTTTGGAGGAGGAAAACAAGAAAAAAAATATTCTGAATCTCAGAAGCCAGAACAGCAAGAGGGATCGCTGCGCAGCGAAAGCAGCAATCCCTCTTGCTGTTCTGGCTTCTGGGATAGCTGCGCAGCCTGCGTTCGCTCCATAAGATGCACACACATTTCCCCTTTTTAGGAGGGAAAAAGTGAGTCTTATAGAGCAAAAAATACGGTAATTCCATTCCAGTTCAATTCACAATTCATTAATGTGGTCCTCCACATTTTTTCACTGCCTTCAGCATGTTACAAGCTGCTCTGCTAAACTATAAAATATCAAGACGACCATGGGTCGGCAAACTAAGGCCCAGATCCGTTCCAATAGCCGCCTAAATCCGGCCTACGGGAGGTCCGGGAATCAGCGTGGATCTGATCGTTTGGGCTGCACCAGCACACGTGTTCTTTCCCTTGTGGCGCTGGCACCTCCTCCCTCCCTCCTGGCTTCTCCCCACCCTGCGGAGGAAGGGTGCTGGGCTTTGATTGGTGCCAGCAAATACAATATGTGCAGTGGGCATAGGAATTCATTCATTTCCCCCCTTCAAAATATAGTCCGGCCCCCCCAAAAGGTCTGAGGGACAGTGAACCAGCCCCCTGCTGAAAACGTTTGAGGATCCCTGAAGAAGACATCATTGCACACTTAGGGTGCTATTCACCTAATGAACTTTGTCAGCAGGTGTCCTAGGCAAGGATTTCTGCTTGTGCAGTGAGGCTCACTTCCTCACCTCCCAACTCCTGTGCACCCTTTAAAGGTAAAGGGACCCCTGACCGTTAGGGGGGTTGCGGCGCTCATCTCGCTTTATTGGCTGAGGGAGCCGGCGTACAGCTTCCGGGTCATGTGGCCAGCATGACTAAGCCGCTTCTGGCGAACCAGAACAGCGCACGGAAATGCCGTTTACCTTCCCGCCGGAGCGGTACCTATTTATCTACTTGCACTTTGATTTGCTTTCGAACTGCTAGGTTGGCAGGAGCAGGGACCGAGCAACGGGCGCTCACCCCGTCAAGGAGATTCGAACCACTGACCTTCTGATCGGCAAGTCCTAGGCTCTGTGGTTTAACCCACAGCGCCACCCGCGTCCCTTTATGCTCCCTGGAATTGGTTCCAGGAAGTCAGGAGAACCCCCAGAAGCAAGTGGAAATCTTTGAACAGACAAAACATTTGTAATAGTGTGACATTGAATTCCAGTGTGAACAATTGTTTTATTTATTTTACTCAACAATCTTTAAGCTTAAACATCATCGATAGGTAAAAATGGTAAATGCAGTAGCAACAATCAAACACAAGAGTTGATGAAACCCCTTTATATATATATATTCAAACTGAGTTTATTTAAAAATTGCCCAAAGTTCCACTGCAAAAGGAACTTCATTTGCAATCAGTTCACCTTGACAACTATCAAGTGTGAGTCAGAGATTTTGGAAATAATTCTGAAGACCACATCAATTACCATTTCTACTTGGAGTCTACTATCCTGCAGAAAACTCATTCAAATATGCTTTTACATCTTCAGCTTTCTCATTCAAACCTCTGAAATTAAAATGTTCCTTATTCACCGCCCCCCAAACACCTCTGTATGATTGTATAATAAATCTCAGTCTTCTTTCTGTTGACAATTACCTTGCTCCAAAATTGTGAAAGCCATATTTATGTTTTCTGTCTTCTACTGCTTTTTCAGTTACATTTTCTTTTTTTAAAAAAAAAAATTATCCATATTTATTCTCAGACTATAAATTGATTCTCCGATATTGCCAGTCTGTACCCCAGTCTGTTTTCTGCCGCCTTAATCGTTGTGACTGTATCTTGCTTTAAAAAATAATTTTCAAAACTCTGAAATTCCCAAGAAATTAATTTCCTCGTATTTTCGCTAGTGTTAATCTGTTTCCATATCTCCTGTTACTTTTCAAATATGTCATCTTGCCATCTTTATTTTTCCGGGGGAAGCAAATCTGTTGTGTTGTTGCTTTCTCCTTCTACTCATTCCTTGCAGCATTCAAGCAGAAAACAGCAAATGTTGTCTGTCCCCTTTCTTTCCCTTCTCGCACAGGAATGGTGGGATGATAGCGTTAATCAGCAAGGCAAGCAATGAAAATAAGGGGCAGGAGAAAACCCACACAGTGTCCTGGTTTACTCTTCTCAGCTCTGTGTGTCCCAGTCTCCTCCAGCCATTTCTTGAGGGCCACCTTCTGGTGGTCTGGACAGAAGCAGTAAAATGTGTCCCCCTTTCCCAGAGGGATGGTGGGATTACATTTACCCAGCCAGCGTGGTGATGAAAAATGCTGCCAGGAAGCCACATTGGAGCTGATGGGGCAGAAGGCAAGGAGCCCGACAGTAGGTGGCGCCAGAGCCCAACGAAAGGCAGAGCCAGATGATTCTAGTTTTGTCCGCATCCTCCACTACACGAAGTCCTACAGTGGCAACACAAAGGAGAGGTAAGCTTGACAGGAAGTACCATCATTGGATTAAATGTACACAAGAAGACAGGCAGGTGGCTGCTGGCTAAGGTTGAGATTAGTTGGACAGTTCTTGCCCTAATAGACCAGCCATCTCTGGGCCTCAACTGAGCATAAATGATGGATATCTGCCCCTCTTCTCTCCAGAGGGATAGTGGGGCTACCTGGATCTAGCAAGCAAGGGATGCTTTTTGTTCTTGCCCCTATGCACATCAGGCTTTTTCCAGAAAGCAACTCTGAACGTGACCCAGGAGGAGGAAGCAGCAGCAGCATCCAATATGCTAAAAGGTAAGGTCCAGTCATGGCCGACTCTGGGGTTGCGGTGCTTATCTCGCTTTACTGGCCGAGGGAGCCGGTGTACAGCTTCCGGGTGATGTGGCCAGCATGACTAAGCCGCTTCTGGCGAACCAGAGCAGCGCACGGAAACACTGTTTACCTTCCCGCCAGAGCGGTACCTATTTATCTACTTGCACGTTGACGTGCTTTCGAACTGCTAGGTTGGCAGGAGCAGGGACCGAGCAACGGGAGCTCACCCCATCGCAGGGATTCGAACCGCTGACCTTCTGATCGGCAAGTCCTAGGCTCTGTGGTTTAACCCACAGAATGCCCACAGAATGACGAGGTTTGGACACCTCCCACAGAAGGGATGAAACACTCGCAAGCCAAAAGATGAAAGAGAAAAATCGTGCTCTCACCTCTTCCCAAAAGGAAGCTGTTCCATCTGTCCAGAGGGAAGAAAATCCATCTCCGTGGAGAATAGGGGAAATGTTTTTTTTTCTTTTAAGCGAGCTCTGGAGATCCTGTGAAACCCAAAAGCTCTGGCCCCACATAGCCACCTGGAGAAAACATAAGGAAGAAAGGGAGGGAGGGAGGGAGAAAGGAAGGGGGGAGGGGGACAGAAAGTGGAGAGATGTGGGCGGTTGTTTTACAACTGTACGTAATCATCAAGATCCTCCATCAGCACGTCACCTGAGTGGAAACGAAGAGAAGGCAGATTGAATTATACCAGCTTCATTTGACTTAGGAAAATGTTTGGGAGGGGTCCGTATAGATCATCAACATCACCCCACCCCTTCAAGGAGATCACAAATGGTAAATTAGGTGGAGAGAGAATGATTGGCCCAAGGTCACCCACAGACTTGACTGGAGGTTTGAACCCGGCTCTCGTTGGTTCTAGTCCAAACCTCTAACCAGTTGGCCACTGTGGATTGGTGCTAAAATGTGGACGCATCGGTTATGGGTTGATGTTAGCAGGCATGCATTTTTATGCACACTTTACCTGAGTGCATACCTTTTAGTACACATTGCGTGGTGTGTTAGGAATTTTGAGGTCTTAGATATATGGTAATGTTCATAACCGCACATACATAGATCAGCACAGGAAGACCGACCTGAAGCCATTTTGATTCCTAAACTGAGCAAATGTTTTCTCTGCAAGGTCAAAGTGGAAAAGCCTCCCCATTGTCTTTTCCTTCACAAATCCTGTCTTAAGGGTATGTCTGTGTTTGAATAGGGTATGAGCCTGTGACATGGCCCAGGAACTAAGTATTTATCATTACAAAAGATTGGCCAGGCTCCCCAGGCAATCCAATCAAGTAACCTGCCAGACAGGAGAAAAACAACATTCAAATTTCTGTTTAGACCGCCTTTTCTGTGATGTATGTATGATGTTTCTGGGGGTGGTCTTGATCTACAGGGTGGCAATTTCAAAAGTCTTTATAAGCCATTTTTCTGGGTTCCTCCTCTCTCCTGCGGGTGAGGGGAGCACCCTGTTGCAACAGATCAATAAAGATCAAGCTTACTAGCTGCTTTGCTTCTCAATATTCTCTGGTTGGCCTCTGTTATTTTCTCCTACCAATAGGGAACCTATGTAAGGACTCTATATGGGCTCTTGGATACCCCATAAGGGGAAAGGGCAGTTTTTATTTACAACAGTGGCCAGAAAATGGCACTGCAAAGTTTGGAGAAACTGAATTTCAACTGTTTTGAAAAGTGTGAATTAGATAGATTCGCCTTTAATTGCACACCGAATCTAATTCCTCCCCTATCCGGCTCACACACAATACAACAATAAATTTAGGCAATTTGTGTCTTAAGAGACTGGTTGAAGCTGTGGATAGTGGTCTTTTATAAGTAGATAATTACAGCTTGTAATTATTCCATATCTTTGGTAGTGTTCCCCGTAACTGGAAATAGACATTACCTTTGCTTGCAGAGAGGCTTTGTACCGCCACAGGCAACTCATTGCAAACTCGAAATTTGTGGAGCTGATGCCATATTTTTTTCTTTACTTGTTTTTCCTGGAGAGATTGAGGGGTGAGGGGAATCCCAAAACAGTCAGAAGTCTTTTTTTTTTCATCCTGAAAGAAGATTTGTCCTTTATAATATACTTTTTCACAGAAAGCTTAATTTAGTAACTCACCTCCACATCCATTAGTTCTTCTGCATTCCCAAGGATAGAATAAACAAGGAGGATCCCTGCTTCACTGACCCGCCGGTCCGGACTATAAATAGCTAACAAAGCTGTTCTTAGAAAGGATCTTCTTTGTTGTTCATTGAAGAACGTCCCAAACACCTAAAAGCAAAGAAACCAAAATGAAGCAATCTTTGGATTGCTGCATGTTCATTGAATGATCCCTGCTTCTTCTTTCCCTCTCTCTATTATCACAACTTTGACATCCTTGAGACAGGATGTTGTCCCGTCTGCCCATGATGCTGTCAAGGACTGCATTGCAATCATATCTCCCAATGTGACTCTTCACACAATTCTGCCAACAACCCCTTAAGCTGATCCTGGTGTTTCCTGGAGGCAGAGAAGGGTAAAAGAAAGCAACCCACATTTCTCAGGTAGAGCAAGAAACCACGTGAGTGGTTTCATATTGAAAGGGGCTTCTAGCATCGAAGGGACACCTTTACCTCTCCAACTTTCATCATGTTTATGTAAGAGAGCATCTTCTTCTCTTCTTGGTACCTCCTGCACCAGAGTTCTTTGGCATTATTCATCCGTATCCCTGACAGTAAGACACCAGGAGTTAAAAGCTTTGTAATTCCATACTTTAAGGTTTGGGGCAGGGATGGGAAACCTGTGGTCCTTCAAGTATTGTGTGTTTTTTTTTAATATAATTTTTATTAGGTTTTTTTTAAAACATATCATTTTCAAGAGTAATTAAACATACTTTTACATCTTATTCAAATTTTTGGCTTCCATCAATCCTGTCTGAAAATTTTCCAATCTAACCTCTCAGTATGCATTTCTTATCTTCCCTATTACATTTCAAACTCATAACCAATATCTCTATCTTTTTCTACTTTGTAACACTTCGCATAGTTCTCCTTACAAAACGTCTTGTAGTCCTACTAGCGTAATTTGTTGATTACAGTTGCTCCTCAAATAATTCATATACTTCTTCCAATCTTCTGTAAATCTCTGGTCCTTCAGGTTTCGAATCCTTCCTGTCATTTTGTCCAATTCTGCATAGTCCATTAATTTTGTCGTCTTCAAGTATTGTTGAGCTACATGTTGCGACTGACCACTGGGCATGCTGGCTGGGGTTCCTGGGGATAGGACTCTTTAACAATATCTGGAAGAGCCACAGGCTCCCCATTTCTGGGTTTAGGGCTTTTCAGACATAATTTATTCTGATGGCTTTGGAAACATTTTTTAGACTGGTGAGATTATATGTTAACATCCAGCTGGTTCCTTAAAATTCTATTTTTTATTGTATTTTTTATGAGCAGTAGTCAACAAAGTAGTCCCATTAGAACAAGGATGTCTTGTTGCGCAACAGGACTTCCTCCTCTCTCTCTCGTTCCTGTACACCCCTTGTGCCCTCCCCAGTCTCCTCCGGAGCATTAGGGAAGCCCCCAGAAACAGATTTAGGGGGCACACAGGTAGAGGAGAAGGTGAGGAAGTCCTGTAGTGCAGGCAGAAGACTCTGCCAGAGCACAACTACGTACTTTGATGGATACCTGTTCTTACAATTTGTTCACCACCTTGGTCAAGATTATAAATATTTAAATGAACGAATGAAAACGAATTTAGGCCTTTGTGTTTCCTTTGGATGATATTCCATAACTTTTTTTATGAAGATGTTTGCAAGATCCACCTCGAGAATTCCCTCCAAGGGAATTTCTCTGGCAACCTCACGTCTCATTCTGGTATCAGCCTCTGAGGCAAGACTCAAGAAACGAAGGTCAAATTCTGGCTTATATGGAGGAATGTCAAATGCTCTTGCATGCTGATCTCCCACCATCTTTGCTCAAAGGGTGGGCTCTCTTACTGGCAAAGGGGGGAGAGTATAACATTGTGAAATACAACTGAACAAGACAACAGCTTCTTTCTTCCCCGCTGAGTCAACTTTGCGGGAAATGCACCATTACCAGAGAGTCAACATGAGACTCAACTGATATTAATGGGAAAACACACTATGAACTGAGACCAGAGGTTCTAATCATATTTCACTAGCGCGTAAAACTAAGGTGTTTAATGTATTCCATCATATTTAAGCATGGAACTGTTGTTGCAACTTTTCCAGCTTACTTGCCTTTCTGGTGCAGGAGCAGCTCGTAGAGACGGAAGATACTCTCCTTGGCATGTCGGCTGACTGCTGCTTGGGGGTCCCCAATACAAATTGCCAGCTCTGCCACATGGTGCCCCAGTTCTGGGAGTTTGCAAGTAGCCTAGCAAGAAGGAAAACCAGAGAGATTTTTGTTCCCCACTTCTCTGTCAGATCCTCTCTATCTTTAATGTGTACGCCTCACCTCAAAATCTAAGCGCTTCTCAGAAACTCTTAAAATAATACTTTGCATCTCCAAAATGGGCAGACTAGGTCATAGCTGTCAACTTACAGATTTGAAAATAAGGGACCAGCAGCCTCGAAAATAAGGGATCAGCAGCCAAAATAAGGGATTTTCAGAGCACAGGTATGTTCAACTTCTGAGCCCCTCCGAGCCAAAGGCAGAAAGCCCAGCCAGCAGCCAAACGAAGCCTCAAGCGGTGGTCCCCACAGCGCAGCAACCCAGCAAAGGGGATGCAGCAAGGAAAACCACCGTTGCCTCTCCACTGGGAAGCGCTGAGCAAAGGCGAGTCCCCAAGCAACACGGCCGATTTGATCGGCACAAGGCATGCAAGCTCCACCCACCAGTTGTTCTTAGACTCCTTATTGGGTGAGCAATGCAGCCAAGCAACACAATTGGAGCCTCCCTCCTCCCTGGCCGGGAGGGAGGGAGAGGAGCTGCTTCCTTTGAAACCCGGGAAATTTAAGGGACATCATCAATAAGGGACAGCAGCGGGACATGGCGCTGGGATAAGGGACTTTCCCGCCAAATAAGGGATGGTTGACAGCTATGGACTAGGATAAACAGATGCGTCCAGAGAACATAGCCTCGTCTATGTCCTTTGGATGGGACTCTGAGAAGATGGATGTAGGGCCTCTGTGTATTTTGCCAGAACAGCAAATCCACACAGTTCAAGCCAAAAGAGGACCCCCAATGCACCTATCAACTAGGAATGCCAGGAAGAACCCAGTGGTGTGGATGGGAGCAGAGAGGTAAAAAGGTAAAGGACCCCTGGGATAGTTAAGTCCAGTCAAATTCGATTATGGGGTGTGGCACCCATCTCAGCTTTCAGGCCGAGGGAGCCGGCGTTTGTCCACAGACAGCTTTCCGGGTCGTGGCCAGCAGGACTAAACCGCTTCTGGCACAACGGGACACTGTGACGGAAACCAGAGCGCACAGAAATGCAGTTTGCTTTCCCGTCGGAGCGGTACCTATTTATCTACTTGCACTGGCATGCTTTCAAACTGCTAGGTTGGCAGGAGCTGGGACAGAGCAATGGGAACTCACCCCATTGTGGGGATTCGAACCACCGAGCTTCTGATCGACAAGCTCAAGAGGCTCAGTGGTTTAGACCCCAGCACCACCCGTATCCCTGCGAGATACAGGCTATCACTCAAAGGGACCCAAGAAGAGCATGCTGGTCTCATGCTAACAAAGCCATTCCTAGCTGCCGCCACCCCTTCAATTATTGGCTTTCCCCTCTCCTATTCCTCTAAGACTAAGATATTGAAAATAACATTCAGCTCTCAATATGAATTGGCTCTGGAGGGCGGGATAAATCTAAAAATCAGTTGTAGCCAACAAAGCCCAGCTCTCACATTTGCTCCCTAGAGCAAAAGGGGGCAGCATATGAGGTCACACTTACATCAAAATCTGGCATAAGGACAGCAAAACGTAGGAGCGCAGCACTGCTTTTGATAGCTCTGATTCTCTCCACTTTGTATTTCGAGTGTATCCAAAAATGGATGTGCTGCAGGAGGAAGCAACACCTCAGGAATATTGCACTGGTACAACGTCTCATGCAACCCTTTTGCTCAAAACAAAGAAAGCAGCAGTGATCCATAATCCAAAATCCACAAGCAGTGGGGTTTTTTGTTTTGTTTTTAGGACCAACCAAAATGTTGGAAGGTTGTGCATCTGACACATGAGTTCTCCTAGGATGAATTGTTCTGCTTCATAGATATGCCTTAGTTCAGGAATGGGCAGGAAGTAGATCAGGATCTACTGTTTTATCTCTGGACGATTTGTGGTGGACTTACAATGCTTCGTGCCTGATGAATAACGTGGCATTTTAGCTTGGATGTACCCTATTAGCATGAAATATACTTGATGTCGAGAGTGGATTTCATGCTCTTTATTCAGCTCATAGTGGTGAGGAGGAATGAAAGTTCCCCCAGGTTGTCTGCTTTATATACATTATTTACACAATGGGCCCCATGTGATTGGCTAATTCTGGGATTCACCTGTAGGCCAATCACTTCCACCTGGAGCTGGATTGGGTGGCTCCTGAGGACCAATCAGACTGCTGCATTCTGAATCCTATTGTTCTAGGACCAATCAGACTGTTGCATTTTGGATCCTATTCAACTCAGTACATAACATAGCATGTGGCCACATATGCCAGGGATAAGGCCTGACAGAATCCTCCTAAACCCACTAATTTTCTGTGTTCAAGCATTTTTTAAAAATAAATATTATAGGAGAGCAGCTATTTGGTTTTCTGAGGCGGGGCAGCAGATAGTGCTGTCCTACTCCTCAGTCAAGGTAGAAAAGAACGAGCGCCCTTCCCTGGCAATAAAAATAGAATAATCTTAATTGTTAATTTAATGTGCCATTAAGGTAAACTGGGGAATATGCCAATAGCATTGATTTTGAGGAGATATGGAGGGTGTTTGTAGAATTAGTACTGTTAAAACGGAAAGGGGTGTTGAAATTTTGGGAGGTGGGATAGTTACAATGGAATGGTCTCAGTGGTTGGGTGCACATTTTTATTCTCATTTATGAATGGTTATTACTTTGTGAAAATAAAATAATAATAAATAAACATAATAGAATAAAAATAAATTGAAAGACTATTCGTTGCCATTCTGTGAAGGCCAAAGCCAGCTGCCTGAGGCAGCTACTTCACTCTGCCTAATGGCAGGGCCAGCTCTGCTAGGGTATAATCTCTCAGCTGCACCCTGAAGCTTAACCACTATTTGATTCTATGAGTGTGTAAGTGGCTCCGAGTGCCCAAGGGAGAAAATAATACCTCCTAATAGACTGGACTGGGAGATATTAGTCTACTTGGTCGTTTCTCGCCTGAATCTTTGTTTTGAAACCTGTCTTGGTGCAGTCAGTTATTCATGGGCCTGGAAATCACAATATTATGCCCAAACTCTGCCAATGGAGGAAACCCTACAATAATGCATGGTGGGTGATTTTGCAGACCAACTGTTGCTTAGGTTGCGATATCTCCCTACCAGGCCTTCCTTTGCCGCAATTTCTCTTTGACGCACTTACTTTTAAGATCCTCAGCAGATGCTTGGTGGTCGGATCCTCTGCTAATAATGACCTGAGCAGGATTTCGAGTGTCGCTGAAGTTGTTCTATACAGCGCCTGGAAGAAAAGGGAAATCCCTGCGTGAGAGCTGGATTTTCTCCCCAACAAAGCATGCCTGCAAATAGGCTTAATCACAGAGCCGTTGAGGTCTGGCCATCAAAGGGAGAACCTCTCACTAGAAGTGGTTCCACAGATAACACACTGTTATCGTTCAGCCTGGACACTGTGGTCCAGCGCCAAGGGCCTTCTGGCGGTTCCCTCATTGCGAGAAGTGAGGTTACAGGGAACCAGACAGAGGGCCTTCTCGGTAGTGGCACCCGCCCTGTGGAACGCCCTCCCTTCAGATGTCAAGATAATAAGCTACTGTCTTCTCTTTAAAAGACATCTGAAGGCAGCCCTTTTAGGGAAGTTTTTAATATTTAATGCTGTATTGTTTTTAACACTTGATTGGAAGCCGCCCAGAGTGGCTGGGGAAACTCAGCCAGATGGGCGGGTATAAATAATTTATGATGATGATGATGATGATGATGATGTGAGCTATAACCAAGACCCACTTTCTAGCCTCTTTGTGCCTTGTTGAGGGGCACAGAACTTTGCCCGATGCACCCCGAAGGCAAACTACGAGGGATTCAAATAAGATAAGGAATCAGAGCACACATTTAAAGAAGACTGGGCAATGTTTATTGAATATATGGCTGAAAATTGTGCACATGTGAAAACGCTGGTAGCGTTAAGATAAATTCAACAGTGCAAGTAAGTTTGATGAATGCAATATTGGAATACTGAATGGTTTGGATTATGTAAAATATGCAGGGATGTACCCCAGAACCAAACTGAACCACAGAAGGAGAAGAAGGGAAGACACTCATGTAAGATTGTTTAAAGAAGAACAAATCCCTACCAGAGAGGAATGGCAAAACTGACCGGAAAACTCAGGGAACAAGACAACAAAAAGGATTTATTTACTGGGAACTTTTTAAAATTTACTTAGGAGATCACTGCAAGCGGATGAAAACATGAGCAGCATTTTAATCACACTTGTATTGTAACAACTACTATGGACAATATGGACAGATATAATGGATTGATATAATATGCAGTTGAAAATGTTGACATTAGGACCCATGGAGGGGATGGTGGGGGTCGTGAGAGCTATATGGATATTTGGTTTTGTTATAAATTTATATTTGTAAAATTAAATAAAAATGATTTCAAAAAAATATTGTTTAAAGGAATATTTTAAAATGTAAATTAGAAAATTAATAAAAATTATTATTAACAAATGAATAAGATAAGGAATCAAGTATGTATTTGACATAGTACTGTAAAGGTAAAGGTAAGGGTACCCCTGACTGTTAGGTCCAGTCGCGGACGACTCTGGGGTTGTGCGCTCATCTCGCTCTACAGGCCGAGGGAGCCGACGTACAGCTTCCAGGTCATGTGGCCAGCATGACTAAGCCGCTTCTGGCGAACCAGAGCAGCGCACGGAAACGCCGTTTACCTTCCCGCCAGAGCGGTACCTATTTATCTACTTGCACTTTGACGTGCTTTCAAACTGCTAGATTGGCAGGAGCAGGGACCGAGCAACGGGAGCTCACCCCGTCGCGGGGATTCGAACTGCCGACCTAGGCTTTGTGGTTTAGACCACAGTGCCACCCGCGTCCCCTGACATAGTACTGTAGGGGTCACTAATTTGGGGGGGCATGTGGGCGCAAACGTGAATAGGAGTAACAACTGTGGGAACAACACATACTGCAGCCTATTCTATTGGGTACAATAGAATGCTTCTTTCAAGTCTAATTTCAATAAGAGGCCGAGGAGATGGCCCTGTGGGTGCCAGGGAATGCCATACTGGCAACCCCATGGTTCGTGGGTTCAACAAGAATTTACCTACATAAGAGCATCTAGGCCAGTATCCTTGTGCTCACAGTGGCCAACCAGATGCCTGTGGGAACCAGGGAGCAGAACATGAGCACAAGAGCACTCTTCCCCTTTCCAGCAGTTGGTATTTGGAAGCATGGCGGCCTCCCAAGTGGGGAGGCAGAGCTCAGCCGTCACGGCTGGCAGCAGTTTGACAGCCCTCTTCTCTGTGAATTTATCCAATCCTCTTTCAAAGCCATCCAAGGTGGTGGCCCACCGCTGCCTACCTGTTTGGTGGCACCCCCAGTCCCAATGTCCATCGTGAAAACCCCATGCATAGCCAACCGCAAGACACACGACTCCAGTTCTGGATCAAGTGGAGGCTTGATTTTACTGGTGGGGTGGAGGAAAAAGTATTAGATTATGCACTGCCAGAATTTCCTAATCTCCCGCAGGGAGGCTCCTCCTGGGACTTGAGAAGCACAGGACTTCAGATCCCAAACGCCAGGATGTGCACTGAGGACGGAAGGAGACCAGGCTCCCCTCCTTGGGCTTGGAGACTATATTTCCCAAGGTGTGGAGAAAACAAATGCCTTCTAAGATCTGTGTGGGCACTTCCAAGGGGAGTCAGTTCCTCCTCTCTGGAGCCTCTCAGAGTACCAGCCTCCCCACTTCTTTTGAAGGAGGTGAGGACAGGTGACCCCACCTAGGCCCGAAGTCACCCCAGGCCTCAAAACCAAATTTCCCCTTTCTCTCTTCTAAAAACCCACAGCTTCAGCTTTTCTCTGCTCTTCTCTGCTTTCTCACAAGATGCTGCTGCATAGGCAATTCTGGGCTGCATCAATAGGAGTATAGCATCTAGATCAAGGGAAGTAATAGTGCCACTGTAGTCTGCTCTGGTCAGACCTCACCTGGAGTACTGTGTCCAGTTCTGGGCACCACAGTTCAAGAAGGACACTGACAAACTGGAACGTGTCCAGAGGAGGGCAACCAAAATGGTCAAAGGCCTGGAAACGATGCCTTATGAGGAACGGCTAAGGGAGCTGGGCATGTTTAGCCTGGAGAAGAGGAGGTTAAGGGGTGATATGATAGCCATGTTCAAATATATAAAAGGATGTCACATAGAAAAGGGAGAAAGGTTGTTTTCTGCTGCTCCAGAGAAGTGGACACAGAGCAATGGATCCAAATTACAAGAAAGAAGATTCCACCTAAACATTAGGAAGAACTTCCTGACAGTAAGAGCTGTTTGACAGTGGAATTTGCTGCCAAGGAGTGTGGTGGAGTCTCCTTCTTTGGAGGTCTTTAAGCAGAGGCTTGACAACCATATGTCAGGAGTGCTCTGATGGTGTTTCCTGCTTGGCAGAGGGTTGGACTCGATGGCCCTTGTGGTCTCTTCCAACTCTATGATTCTATGATTCTATTTTTATCAGCACAAGAAAGCTTCAAAAAGCTAATGAATAGGCTCTGTCAATGCCAAGAATAAGCAGGCCTGGGAACTGAGTCTTATCTCACCCAGTTGCAACAAATCGTGGACACGCTGAAACACAAGGCTCCTCAACCCCCTTGGCTTCTCAACCCCCTTTCCTGGGAAGGGCACCAAGAGTCCCAAGACAGGAGCTTTCTTTTCATGCTCAGGGAAACTCATGAGGCAAGACTCCTGAGGAGGGGGAGAAGGGGGAGGGAACTAGAGGGGAATATATGCTCTGTGCAAATGGCTGTGAACTCGTGCTAAGCTTGTGGGTTATCACGCTTGCTCCTTCTACCAGCCCAGATGGTAGCAATAAAGCTCTTTCTCTGGATCAACCCTTGAGTGTCTGCTTGACTCCCACTTCCCTCTCCCGGGCGCAATGCTCTTCCAATCCATGGGCAAAGCCTGAAAAGGCTACACTTTCAGCCATTTCTGTTTAGAAAGTCTTTGACCTATTGTATCCGATTGTCTAGGCTACTCCCGGGCCGTTTACCGTGTGGCATCTGCTTTCCTGGAAATACATTATTTTCTACCCTCATTCATCACAAATACAACGGTCTTCGCACGCGCTAATTGCTTCTTAGTAGGATCAGGATCAGGAATCCCTGGTCTTCAAGAGGCATACCTCAAGTTGTAAATGGCCACCATGCAGCACGGTAGAACTGATGTGGGCACAGAGTGAACCGGGAGCTTCTCCATCACCACCTGGAAGAGACCAAGGGCCAGAACAGAGCAGGTGAATGACCTCTTTCCACAGATTTCAATGGGGCACTCTCATCCCAAATGGTTTCATCTAAGCACTTTCTCATTCACGAGCCCGTTACCAGTATACTCCCATTTTGTCCCCGCACCTCTGTCTTGTCTCACGACCCGTATTAGCCCAACAGGCAAGCAAAAACCTGCATTCCTTTCTGGCCATTTACCCAAAGCACCCATAAAGCATCAGATGCTCCCTTTACAAAGAGGGTCCCTAGACTCTCCACCTCCTTTCCCTGGAAAATCTCCTGCCTGGATCTAAGCCTGCCGTCGAGAATTCCTCATTTCCCTGCTTTCCTCTGTGCATTTTAGCAGACTTAAGGATATAGAAACTCTCTCTGTTTCTCCCTTCCAACCATCTGATCTTTCATCTCCCTCCCCCCCCCCATCAATGCAGGAATGCTGCTGAATAGCCTTAGAGTCACTTTAGGCCTCCCCACTTTTTAAATTCATTTTAATAATTTATACCCCATCTTTCTATCAAATTATTCTCAAGGCAACTTAGAAGCAAAATGACCTCTCTCACACACACCATTTTGTCACCCACCCACCACTCATTTTCTTTTTTCTTTTTAAATCATTTTTATTGATTTTCCAATAAAAACAGCCAATTAACATATCCATATCATAATCCATCCTTTATGAGTGAGAGAGAGGGCTGAATGGATGTCTAGCAACTCCCCTTCTAGGTCCCAAAGGGGGGGATTGTGTGGTCTCCAGGAAGGCTGATCGATCGCCAGATAACTTATATCTGTGGAATACAGTTCATTTACATTGCAATATTGCAAACAGTATGCTCAACAATTTACAGTAACAACTTAACAACGTGGAAGTTACTACGCCATTAAATTTCAAACGAAAGGCTTGGACAACAGCCCGGAGTGGAATGATTTAACAACTTGGGAGTTGCTGAGTCATTAAACTTCAGACGATAGACTTGGACAATAGTCCGGATTGGAAGATTGGAATAAAGTCAGGAAAAGCTGTGCTGGTAAATAGACAGTTGAAAGAAATATATATACACAAATAAAGCTGTACTCAATGGATGAAAGGATATATGATTTCTGACATGATTGAGAATCACATAGCCAGGGACGGAGAACTTTAAAGTGTTAAGATCGGAATGCGGAGAATATGAAAACAACAAGAGGCGGCAGGAACGGAGATATTGGAGATACACTTCAGAGGTCCAGACTATGGGGAGCCCGAAAAAAAAATTCATAATTAATAATTTGGACTGTAATTTGGTCGGTTTTTTATTTTAGTTTATTGTTTTTAATTGGCTCATTTTCCACCCCTCTTTTCTGGGATGGTTTTCAGAAACATGGCTGTGCTTTGTCTTCTTCTTCTTTGAATAGAAACCTCTTTGGGGAAGTCCTAGCTTTGTTTTCCCACCTTCAGAACTTGAGGGGAATGCTTCACCATCCAAATAAAGACTGGGCCAGCTCTGCCATACTGATTAACTGTCTGTCCTCTGTCAGGAACAGAGCCAAGAGTGGCACAGAGTAGAGGTTTCCCTAACAGCCAACTCAATTTCCCCCAGCCACCTATTACCCCAGAAGGACTTGTTGCTGAAACATGGGTTTCAGACACAGAGACAAATGCAAATACAGAGAAATACAGAGACAAGGGAGTCCCAAGCAAGCTTAGCAAGGAGGTCCTCTGCATAACACCTTGGGGAAGGAATTACAACTGCATGCCCGTAGGGTGTTTTCAAGTGGATTTGGTGACCCTATTCCAAATGGTTTCATAGTCCTTCCGCACTTTATTTCCACAGAACTAACCCCAAATCCAGACCTCGTGCCTCTCATCTACTGGCTATCTGCCACCTCCTTACTGGATTTCTGCACCTCACTTACCACGACAGCCTCTGTTAATTCGTCTTTGGTGTACAGAAGTTTCAGTTTGTTCCGTCGTTTATGCTGTGTAGCGATGCATAAAGCGGAGATGGCGCTGAGGAAACTAATGTCCCCGTTCTCATCCTGTTTGCTCTGTAAGTTGAGAGAGAACCGGGGCTATTAGGAGAGGGCATTATCGCGCCTTTCTTGATGTGTCCTAGACATCCTTCCTGGTTGGCTCGGAATGAGAACTGAACTGCAGAATTAACCCACCTATTTCACAACTGCTCAGAGACGCTACAAAACTAGAAAGTGATGAGCTCAGAAGAGGGTAACTGGGATCTTGCGTTCCCACTTTGTAGCGAAAACAGTTCATTCCTTTTTTATGGTTATAGCTACACAACCCTCCATGAGAAAGAAAATAAGTCTGTGTCACTGTGCATTCCTTGGGAGGCCAGATCTGCAGCCCCTGTGGATCCTGCCACCTGAGGCAGTCGCCTCATCTTGCCTGACGGGTGGGCCGGCCCTGTATCTTCCTATGTTTCTGCCCAGTGGAAGAGTGACTAGTGGGGTGCCACAGGGTTCTGTCTTGGGCCCGGTCTTATTCAACATCTTTATCAATGACTTGGATGATGGACTCAAGGGTATCCTGATCAAATTTGCAGATGACACCAAATTGGGAGGGGTGGCTAACACCCCAGAGGACAGGATCACACTTCAAAACGACCTTGACAGATTAGAGAACTGGGCCAAAACAAACAAGATGAATTTTAACAGGGAGAAATGTAAAGTATTGCACTTGGGCAAAAAAATGAGAGGCACAAATACAAGATGGGGACACCTGGCTTGAGAGCAGTATATGTGAAAAGGATCTAGGAGTCTTGGTTGACCACAAACTTGACATGAGCCAACAGTGTGACGCGGCAGCTAAAAAGCCAATGCAATTCTGGGCTGCATCAATAGGAGTATAGCATCTAGATCAAGGGAAGTAATAGTGCCACTATATTCTGCTCTGGTCAGACCTCACCTGGAGTACTGTGTCCAGTTCTGGGCACCACAGTTCAAGAAGGACATTGACAAACTGGAACGTGTCCAGAGGAGGGCAACCAAAATGGTCAAAGGCCTGGAAACGATGCCTTATGAGGAACGGCTAAGAGAGCTGGGCATGTTTAGCCTGGAGAAGAGGAGGTTAAGGGGTGATATGATAGCCATGTTCAAATATATAAAAGGATGTCACATAGAGGAGGGAGAAAGGTTGTTTTCTGCTGCTCCAGAGAAGCGGACACGGAGCAATGGATCCAAACTACAAGAAAGAAGATTCCACCTAAATATTAGGAAGAACTTCCTGACAGTAAGAGCTGTTCGACAGTGGAATTTGCTGCCAAGGAGTGTGGTGGAGTCTCCTTCTTTGGAGGTCTTTAAGCAGAGGCTTGACAACCATATGTCAGGAGTGCTCTGATGGTGTTTCCTGCTTGCCAGGGGGTTGGACTCGATGGCCCTTGTGGTCTCTTCCAACTCTATGATTCTATGATTCCTACTGTGGCTAGATTTATTTTCTCCTGCTTGGTGGATGCCCCACTGCTGCCTGGGACTCTTGACCTTCCCGCATGGGTCCAAGCCTGCCCCTGTGGAGCCTGCTCACCCTCCCTCCCTCTGTGCATCTCGGCAAACTCAAGGCTAGGTAAAAGCTCTCTCTTTCACTCATCCTCCCTCCTGCCCCATCTTTCTGGTCACTTCTCACCCAAACCCCCTATTCTCATCCTCTCTGGGTGTGGCTGTTTCACTCTCTCCCTTCTGGGAGAACCTTCAGTAAGGTGAATGTAATCTTGTATACTATTTCCTTTTAGCAAGTACTCCTTTCCTGGTTAAGTCCTCAGATCTCGGCTCCGTTATCTGTCCCAGGAATCTTGTGCACATGCTCCACTACCCAGTCACAAGACTCTACATTACTGGTGATGTGTTTGTGTTCATTTGGCCAAAACATGCTTGTTTCTGGGCCAGCTCTACCAGACTTGACAACAACCTGGCAAGGATATTACAGTAAGAGCTGCTACTAGCATCCAACTTACCATATTTTTCGCTCTATAGGACACACCCGGCCATAGGACGCACCTTGTTTTAGAGGGGGAGAACAAGAAAAAAAAATTATCCCCCTCTCTGCACAGCTCCCCTTCAGCGAAGTGGCAGGAGAAACGGAGCCCCTTCCATTTCTCCTCCCGCATAGCTGAAGGGGCGCTGCGCCTTAGCTGAAGGGGCACCTACCCTTCAGCGAAAGGAAACTGAAGCCTCCAGAGCGTGGCAAGAGCTCCCACTGCGCTCCGGAGGCTTCAGGTGGCTATCTGGAGACCTTGCTCTCCAGATAGCCTCGGGTTCCTTTTGCCTTTGGGTTCCTTTTGCTGATGTCTGGAGAGCAAGACTCTCCTGGCTTCAGCGAAAGGAACCCGAAGCCTCCGGAGCGCAGCAGGAACTCCCGCTGCGCTCCGGAAGCTTCAGGCAGCTATCTTTGAAGCCCGGAGAGCAAGAGGGGTCGGTGCGCACCATGTGCAGGAAGCATCATGTACTGAGGGGTCTTGTACCTTGTCTTCCTCCTCCATGCGCTTGAGGATGATGTTGACGGCATCACCATCTAGTTCAATGCTGTCATTCACATCCGACCCGTTGGAAGTAGATGAAAAGACAGAGGAGGTGGAGAAGTGGTTGAGGCTTGTTGATGTTGAATCTAGGAATTGAGAGGGGTAAACAGAGAACAGGAAGGCATATTAGTATCTCCTACCGTCTTATTAGTATATCCTACCTTCTTGAAATGGGACGCAGGTGGCACTGTGGGTTAAACCACAGAGCCTAGGGCTTGGCGATCAGAAGGTTGGCGGTTTGAATCCCCGCAACGGGGTGAGCTCCTGTTGCTCAGTCCCTGCGTCTGCCAACCTAGCAGTTCGAAAGCACATCAAAGTGCAAATAGATAAATAGGTACTGCTCTGGCGGGAAGGTAAACAGCGTTTCCGTGCGCTGCTCTGGTTCGCCAGAAGCGGCTTAGTCATGCTGGCCACATGACCTGGAAGCTGCACGCCGGCTCCCTCGGCCAATAAAGCGAGATGAGTGCTGCAACCCCAGAGTCAGTCACAACTGGACCCTTTACCTTTACCTTCTTGAAAGAGACCTAGCTTCTTCTCGTTGAATAATTTGCACATTCTTGACAACACCCTAAGCCTCTGGCATCTTCATAAAATCCTCCACCTCACCCACCCTAGGGATGGGTGAATCCATTTCAGTTTCTCTCAGTTTCTCATTTTTCTAATCCTAAATTCAGTTCCCCAAATTTCCACACCAGTTTGCAAATTTTGTTTTTAAAGTCCTCGGGGAAATTTGTTAACATTATAGTGCAAATTTCTCCTAATATAGTTGTACCTTGGTTCTCGAACAGAATGCGTTCCATGAGTTTGTTAGACTTCCAGAACTGTTTGATAACCAAGACGCGACTTCCAGTTGGCTGCAAGAGCATCCTGCAGCCAATCAGAAGCTGCAGAAGCCACACCAGACGTTCAGTTTCTGAAAATCGTTTGAAAACCTGAACACTCACTTCCAGTTTTCAGTTGTTCGGGAGCTGAAACGTACAAGTTCCAAGGCGGAAACCAAGGTATGAAGTAGACACATCTTTTTAAAGCAAGTTACTGTAACACAATAGATTTGTATCTTATCTCTACTAATATATACACTTGTATACATACTTTATCCTAGTACATGCATTTTTGTACACTTTACTGCAAAATTCAGAGAAGTGTTAATTTCAAAAGATGGTTGTGTTCCAGTTCACATATTGTTTCATAAAGTGTGAATTAGGCAGAAGAAGAAGAGTTTGGATTTGATATCCCGCTTTATCACTACCCGAAGGAGTCTCAAAGCGGCTAACATTCTCCTTTCCCTTCCTCCCCCACAACAAACACTCTGTGAGGTGAGTGGGGCTGAGAGACTTCAGAGAAGTGTGACTCACCCAAGGTCACCCAGCAAGTGCATGTGGAGGCGCGGAGACGCGAACCCAGCTCACCAGACTACGAGTCTATTGCTCTTAACCACTACACCACACTGGCTCCTCCTAGGTAATTCCATTTCTCCTCCAACCCTCTCCTCCCGTGCAGAATCCCTCTCAAGAACCCAGGGCATCTCCTCACCTAAAACAGTGGACAAGCTCCTTGACTCTTGCTTAGGTTCCAGAACCTTACATTCTTGGGACCAGACCTTTTGGGTTCCACAACAGCTCCAGAACGTGCTTAGTTTATCCCAATTCCTCAGCGTGATAGAGTTCTTTCTCCTGGACAGATGGAACCATTTCAGCTTGGGAAGGGAAGAGAACGCAACTTCGCCCGCACTGCTTTCCTTATGGCTATAGAAATGTTTAAACCTCCGGTCCTGGGGCTTGGCATTCGATGAAGCTGCAGCATCCTGGCTGTCGCTTCCTCCTTTCCCCAGATCTTGTTTGGAGTTGCTCTTTGAAAACAGCTTCTGCAGCTTTGACAGCCTTTTTTTTTTTTTTAAAGATATTTATTAGAGTTTAAGAATTACAAAAAAAGACAAAGAAAAAAAGAAATACAAGCAATGAACAGTTACAAAACCTCAAAAACAAAAGAAAATACAATAAAACAAAACATCAACAGTACATCAAAACATTAAAAAAGAAAAAACAGAAACATTTAAAAAACACAAACCTTTAAAAAAATAGAAGGGAAAATAGAAAAACAAAACAAAACAAAAAAAGACCTCGTATTTTCATATCCTTATCTTTCATTTGCTTATTTCCTCGACTTCCTCATACCTCCTTTTTTGTATTCTAGTTCAAATAATTGTTCCAGCAAGTCCTTTCCCTCTTTCTCAAATTTAGTTCCATAATTTATCTTAACGCAATTTAACCTTAAGTTTTGCACCTTTACCCGTTGTCAATCTATTCATACTTAATTCTTTATAACATTTCTGCTAAAGTCATATAACTTCTTTCCAGCATCCTTCTAACATTCATTAAGCTTTGACAGCCTAAAACAGAGTGGGAGAAGATAGGCTGGCAGTATCCTCCTACTCAACACGCCTGGACTGAACCGGGGCCACATGTGCTTGCTATCATAGGCAAATAGGCTATCTTGTGAAGGAAGTGCTTGAAGGTTTAGATCAGGGCAGGGGGAAGCTAATACACTGTTGGACTACAACTCCCATCATCCCTGGTTGTGCTGGCTGGGGATGATGGGAGTTGGAGTCCAAGGACATCTGGAAGGCACTGTGGTGGTAAACATGGTTATGATTATTGACTATTTGCTATCGCTAGCTATGCTGTGCACAGAACCTGCATTGCCTGGGGAGAAAGGAGCTCCTCTCAGACTGCCCTAGACAAAGCTGGAACCAGAAGGCAGAATCAGCTAAGAAATCCAACTTACATTTCCCCCCCTCACACACTCAGCCACACACACTCTCTCTGTCTCAATACAGAAATGTTAGAAGCGGTCACAAAATGGCCAACAGAAGCATGAAGCTTCTCTCTTGCCAAATCACCTTTGCTCACCTGACATGTTCATGAGGCGCGTAGGGTGTGTCACAATGACCTTAGCAACCTAGCAACTGCGGCCATTGTTCCTCTGACATTACATTCATTGATACAGTGAGGGGGGAAAGTATTTGATCCCCTGCAAAAATTGCCCGTCTTGCTCCTCGTGCCCACAACGACAATGACCATGTCCAGGTATCAGTGTCCTTACATGGTAGGTTACAGCCCTAGCTTGTCCAAGAGTCATTGAACTAGCAGAGTGTGAAACACCCAGAAACCCAGAAAGACATAAGTCTGAGTTTGATACATCTTCCTTGAGATAACACTGAGAGCACATCAACCACACAAACACAAAGCTATGCATGGCAGGTGCACATGAAAATACATCTCCTCCTCAATGTACCATCCATTCCATGCTTTTGTTACTAACCTCTGCAAAAGCAACACTGTCTTTAGTGACTTTCTTTCCTGTGTGATAGCTAGCTAGGTAAGAGTGTAAGTCATACGATCAAACAGGCAGGTCAAATCCTGTATGTCCATTTTGCCAAGAGGACCAAAATAAAATAAGCCAGATTTTTATTATAACTACCCACACCTAACCCCTGGCACTTTTATTTATTTATTTCATAAAATTTAGGTACTGGGTTGATTGGAACAAAAATGGCAACCGCCACAAAGTGGTATACAAGGGGTTTCCCTCGCCACGAAGGTCTAGAAATGTGCTTATTCTCAATATAAGCATTAAGCGCTGGCTCCCCCTGCTACTTCTGTACTCCAATTTACCTCTCTGCAAACCCCCAAGTAGATGTGTCCTTGCAAAAAATATTTGTTAGGTTGGAGAATGAACTTGCACTTTAAAAAAACTTTCAGGAGTTGCCCCATTGCTGTTGGTCGACTAGAAAAACAGAACAAAAACTCCACAATTTGTTTGAAAATGAATTTGGCACATTACATGTAGATGTAGCAGAGGTGCCCATTTATGATGTTTGACTGTAAGCGCATTTGGTAAATGAGCTCTCGCTAGTGAAGTATATACTTCAGGTTTTCATTAAATATAATTGAGCTATTTTTCTAGAAAAGAGAGGTGCTGGAACTCACCACAAACCCTTGTTCTCTTAGAATGGTCATGGCCCCCACTAGGCTCCTGCGAGTTCCTGTGGAAAAGAAACCCTGGTTGTTGCAGTAAAGTGATTTATTCCCCCCCCCCAGGACAAGACGCCAATACAACTCCTAGGTACACCTCTGTGCTTGGTTGCACTGTACATTTTTTATTGAACTTTCTGTTTTACATTTTAGAACATTCATTTAAACAACCTTGAAATATTATTTATTATTAATATTAATACCCACCCATCTGGCTGGGTTTCCCCAGCTACCCTCCTTCTCTTTCCATGGTTCATTTTGCATAACATAAATCGCAGCATATTTTATATAAACTAAACCACAGTGTGTGACATATCTGTCCAGGTCAGGTCATTTCTGCCCAGGGGAAAAAGGTGGCCATTCTCTTGGGGAAGGGGAAGAAATGGAGGCAGTGAGAGATTTTACTTTCTTGGGTTCCATGATCACTGCTGATGGTGACAGAAGTCACGAAATTAAAATACGCCTGCTTCTTGGGAGAAAAGCAATGACAAACCTAGACAGAATCTCAAAAAGCAGAGACATCACCTTGCCAACAAAGGTCCGTAAAGTTAAAGCTATGGTTTTCCCAGTAGTGATGTATGGAAGTGAGAACTGTACCCTAAAGAAGGTTGATGGCCAAAGAATGGGTGCTTTTGAATTATGGTGCTGGAGGAGACTCTTGAGAGTCCCATGGACTGCAAGAAGATCAAACCTATCCATTCTGAAGGAAATCAGCCCTGAGTGCTCACTGGAAGGACAGGTCCTGAAGATGAGGCTACAACACTTTGGGCACCTCTTGAGAAGAGAAGACTCCCTGGAAAAGACCCTGATGCTGGGAAAGATGGAGGGCACAAGGAGAAGAGGATGACAGAGGATGAGATGGATGGACAGTGTTCTCGAAGCTACCAGCATGAGTTTAACCAAACTGCGGGAGGCAGTGGAAGACAGGAGTGCCTGGCATGCTCTGGTCCATGGGGTCATGAAGAGTTGGACACGACTAAACAACAACAATAGAGCTGTCCATGGCTTGACCATCCTTGCCTCTCTATCCGTATTGCCCCTTCACTCCTCCTCCTAGCCTTAGTAACTCAGTTGTCTCCTGCCCTCTGAAACAAGTCAGTGTGGTGTAGTGGTTAGAGTATCAGTCTAGGACCTGGGAGACCAAGGTTCAAATCCCAATGACGATCAGTCGGTGAACTTGGGCCAGTCACTACCTCTTGGCTTAACCCTACCTCACAGGGTTGCTGTAAGGCGCTGGGGCAGTGGAGAAGCATGTGTGTCACCTTCAACTCTTTGAAGGAAAGGTTGGGATATACAGTCATACCTCGGGTTGAAGTAGCTTCAGGTTAAGTATTTTCGGGTTGCGCTCCGTGGTGACCTGGAAGTAACAGAGCATGTTAGGTGCTTCTGTGCATGCACAGACGCTGAAAATGAGACTCCAATACTTTGGCCACCTCATGAGAAGAGAAGACTCCCTGGAAAAGACCCTGAAGTTGGGAAAGATGGAGGTCACAAGGAGAAGGGGAGAACAGAGGGCGAGATGGTTGGACAGTGTTCTTGAAGCTACCAGCATGAGTCTGACCAAGCTGCGGGAGGCAGTGGAAGACAGGAGTGCCTGGCGTGCTCTGGTCCATGGGGTCACGAAGAGTCGGACATGACTAAACGACTAAACAACAACAACAAATTTAACTTTCATCCCACCATGAATGGGGCCAAGAACTTAACAACCAGCAGAGCTGACTTAGAATAGATAGATGGCAACCCAGCCAGATCAGTGAGGTATTAATTCTTCTTCTTCTTCTTCTTCTTCTTCTTCTTCTTCACTGTCACCCTTAACGTCTACCAGCATTGATAGCCCTGTTTATGGCTGACTGTGAAGAGAAGGCATTTTGCAAAAATCTTCATAAGAGTAGCACGACTAAACAACAACAAAATCACGACGTGTAACATTTCTGCCCAGGTCAGGTCATTTCTGCCCGGGGGAAAAGGTGGCCATTCTCTTCCAAACACCAAGCTTCAGTAATATAAACGTTGATCACGATATGCTACTGACATTCCCACCCTCCCAGGGCAGAGAAAAAATGCCCTTTTCTCTCTTCCTAGCGCAGGTTTACAGAACTGCGTGAAACGACGGCCTTCACGTGCAATAGTGGCGCATGCGCAGACAGTCGCCGGCGTCCACGCCCACAGCGTCCTTCCTTGTTTCAGCCCGGACTATTTTCAGTGCCGGACCGTTTGGTCCCTCGCATTAAGAACTCCCCCAGAATCCTCGCTCTTTGCAGAAACAAGGCTTTCTGGATTGTTGCTTCCCTCGCTGCAAAAATGTCGGGGTTCAGCCCCGAACTTATCGAGTACCTGGAAGGGAAAATCTCCTTCGAGGAGTTTGAGAGGCGCAGGGAAGAGCGCAAAAGCCGAGAGAGGAAGGTGAGATTTCACGACACCCCCCCCCCCCCGCCATCTGCAGCTGAGGAGAAAGAAAGGGGTCCATTCCCTTCATGGCGCTCTCTTCTCGTGTTTTGGTTGGGGTGTGTGTTTTTTTGGCGGGGTGGACTCCTCGCTTCTATCTCCGAGTCCCCTCCCTCAATATTTGCAGCTATCGCGGGAACTTTTAAAATCACTCAAGGCAGACCGTCGTTTGCAAGCAAGCCTTGCAATAAAACCCCGCGAAAACACCGCCCCCCCAAAACCGGGTGTGGGGGGGGGGAGGGTGATGATGATGATTTTTTGGGTAAATTTATTTATTTGTGGGTTTTTCAAATTAAATTTTTACTATCACAAATCAACATAAAATATAGAAATAAGATTCCACATAATCTCCTGGACTTCCCTCTTCCCCTTTGTGGGTCCTATTGTTACTCATTTCCTTCTGCATCTTTTATAATGATCCAAATCTTTTGCATCTCCCTTATGTCCAAAATTCACCATTAAACTGCAAGTGTTATTCCAATCCCACGAACGGATTTTGGCTGTTTACAATAGTTTTTAAGATAGATTATAAATTTTCCCAAAATGCATTGTACCCATCATAATTTTTTTAATTATCTGCATTACAGATACAAAGTTGCACACTTGTAGTTTGGGAGAATGACTCCTGTTTTTATACTGGCAATCAAATCCCACTTCATCTGCTAGGAACGCACATTGAAAGGATTAGAAAAATACACTCACTCACAGCTCTGATTGCATTAAGTGCCTTGATTACAACCACCTGCTTTTTGCCCAGCTACCCACCCCAACTGGGTGATTTAATTTGAAGTATCTTATTTATCTGACTGCAAGCAAAGTGATAGCTTTTGGGTTCTGGCTTTTTAGGATAATATAACTGAATAGTAGGGAAACCTTGATAAAAGGCACTGTTTATGATACTCTGTATTAAGTGCAATACACGGGGTGGTGGACTGTGCTGATTTGTTTGTTGCAACTGAGTCTAGCAGAAAGTGAGCCTCCAGTTTTTCCCAGCCTAAGTGGGCAATGTAGTTTTAATTTTTAAAGTAGATAAAAAGTCGTAGTTGAACTGGTCTGCTGTGGGGGGTGGGGGGAGAATGAAAGGTAACTAGATATTCCCCATACAGATATACATATGAATAGCAATAATTCAATATGCTGAATAGACAAAATACACAACACACTATCCAGAAGCAAATATAGTATTCTAGGATCAAAAACTTTTGGTTAAGAGGGGAGGCAAGATGCTTACCAATTTATGTGTGTATCAAAGATAATGGACTGGATCTCAAGCATATGGGTTTTGTCTTGGAAACAGAAATCTGTATGGCAAGTCTCATGTTATTTTTTTCACATAGATTAAGGCAACTAGCTACACTAGTGTACCCAGTGCTTTTTTCTAAAAAACGTTTAGGGGTACTCTCATTTTCCTTCTCATATTGAAATACTGCCCCTCAATGAGGCCAAACTTGGATTCACAAAATGTTTAGGGGTATGCATACTCCTGTGTCCCCCCAGAAAAAAGTACTGAGTGTACAAGTTTTTAATGATATACAGTGGAGTAGAATAATGTGTGTTTAAAAATTTGTAGGGCTACATTCATACAACCGTCTTAAAGACTAGTGATACGTAAGCTTATATGATTTATTCTGGGGAGCAAAAAACCTCAGCAACTATACAATGAAAGAGGTGGAAAAGGGAAATGTGTATGTCTTACGCATATATATTTCCTGGAAGTAGTTCACTACAAATTTTTGTTCACAATTTCAATGGAACAATTTATTCCAGCGTGTGCAATGTAAACCTTTGATAAATGAGTTTCAATTTACCAGCAATTTTGAATAACAGTCCCTGATTCAATTGTACAATAGCAAACCAAATAATTGCCTACAATCAGTCCCATCACCTATGCAGGTAAATTGTTTTGGAACTGCATTCCATATTGACAGTAATGTTATAAAGTTCATATTTTCTCTTCATCGCATTTTGCCGATCTTTACAGGATGGAGAAAATGCACTTACTGAAGAAAATGTAGAAGATCCTGATGCTCCTTCTACATCTGCACAAGGACCATCTGTTGGACCTCAGGGTCACAATGAAGCAGAAGGTACATGTTAAACGTAATGTTTAACTGGAAGGATTTAAAGATGCCATACCTGCTCAGTGGTAGCTTTTAGGTGTAACATTAAGCATTGTTAAGCAAAATATTCAGTGTGCAAGCTCTCCTGCTCTGCTTCTCCTTTAGGCGAGCAGGAGAACAAACCTAGGAGCAGCTTGCTTAGACTAATGTACCAGCCAGTGCTTATGGTTTATTTTTCTCCAAGCAAATCATGATCCAAAGTCAAGGTTTGTTTTTGGCTTCCCTATAATGATTTGTGTGAGAGAAACAATGTTTGCTGGTACATGCTTTGTATACAAAAGCACCTAGGTTCAATCACTGCTGTTCAGTGTGTAGTAGAGAATACTTCTACGTGAACCCTTAACCAACAATGCCACAGCATTTGATGCTTCCAGGATATTCACTGATTTTCTTATAAGACTGGAGTGGGGGTGGGTCTTCTTAGGCTTGCTTTCAGGTGCCAAGTTGTCTTCAGCTACTGGTGAAGAAGGCGTTACTTGTTATTGGCTGTAGCCAAAAGTGATCCATAGAACCAGATTGTTTGGAGATTCAATCACAAAAGATCTTGTTACCGTACTTTTCTGTGTATAACACGCCCCCATGTATAACACGCCCCTATTTTTGAGGACTAAAAATTAAGAAAATGAGGAGAGATTAACCAGACTTGTTCAGCTTTTTTGCGGAAGATTGCAGAGAGTTGTTTTTTAGGGGGGGATTGTCAAAAATCACTCACCCGCCTGGCCAACGCTAACACTCACACACGTCGCAACAGCCTCCTAACATCTGTCACCTTGCTGGCAGAAGCAGCCTATTGCCCGCCCCTTGCTGCAGATACCAATAACACGCTGCAGACCATCTCCGGCTCACGGCATCAACCAATCCCATGTCCCCCCTTGGCACTACCCTTGTATAAGACGACCCCCTATTTTAAACATAATTTTTCAGTAAAAAAAACCTAGTCTTATACACGGAAAAGTACGGTCCGTTTTATGAAATAGATATTTGTTGGTTCAATCACTGTTTCTAGTAATTGGCTTCTCCATTATTTTCACTAACTTAGAAAATATATCAGTGGGCCCTTTGATCCCACTGTAATTATTGAAAAGGACTTAATGGCTCAGGCTGTATACAAATAATATTTTTCAAGCAAAGGGAGCAATTTCTTCCCAACTACTACCCATATTCCTAGCCCTGGCGTGGTAGGACCTACGCGAATGCAATGTGGCAATTTCCCCAAATACAGGCACTTCCAATAACTTGAGTCTGTGGAATTGATGGCAGCAGATTGTAGGAAGTGTCAGTTGCAGTCAATTTGTGCAACTTTAAAAAAACAAAAAACAAGAAAATGTTCTTAAATAGGGAAAGATTGGTGAGAGGAGGAGGTAATTTTGCATGATTTCTTATTGGAGAACATTGTAACCTTTTCTCCCTCCCAATCAGAAGAGACATCAGATGGAGTCAGCAAATCTGTCCATCGAGTTTTTGCTTCTATGATGGGAGAGAATGAAGAGGAAGAAGAGGATGAGGAAGAAGAGGATGAAGACGAAGAGATCTCTGAACAGCCTACAGCAGGAGATGTTTTTGCCCTGGAGATGGTGCTTAACAGAGAGACGAAGAAAATGATGAAGGCAAGTGTTTTCAGACTGAAGAACCTCCAGGGGACTTGGCTATTGCTGAAATGCAGGGGAGAAAGTTACACTTTGAAAGAGATACTCCAATTCAGCGAGAAATGTCCGCAAGAGATGAAAGGGGACTTCTCACACAACTGTTGTATATATTTTTGCCTTACTGGACATGTATTCTGATAGTCATTTCAGCTCCATAGAATTTGTTCTGTATTCTAAGGGGAATTCTCATTTCTCCCCCTGAAGTTACTAATTGTTGCGTATGACTCAGGTGTAGTCAGGCCACAGTATCTAATATTAATTTCCCAATGGAGGTTTTTTCATATACAGTGGTGCCTCGCAAGACGAAATTAATCCGTTCCGCGAGAGTCTTCGTCTAGCGGTTTTTTCGTCTTGCGAAGCAAGCCCATTGACGGATTAGCGCTATTAGCGCTATTAGCGGTTTAGCGGCTATTAAAGGCTTAAAGGCTTAGGGGATTAGCTGCTAAAAGGCTATTAAAGGCTATTAAAGGCTTAGCAGATTAGATAAAGGGGGAAAAGCGAAAACAAAATCTCAAGACTCGCAAGGTATTTTCGTCTTGCGAAGCAAGCCCATAGGGGAATTCGTCCTGCGAAGCAACTTCAAAACGGAAAACCCTTTCGTCTAGCGGTTTTTCCGTCTTGCGAGGCATTCGTCTTGCGGGGCACCACTGTAACATATCCCCTGAGCCTGATACGTTCACGTTTTAAGAAATGAATGCTGATTGCAGGAGTCTGATTAAGGTGGGGCTGGTGGTGGGGAGAATAACCCTAATTTTTTGTTTCATTTTCTGAAATACCAGACCAAAATACCAGAATTTAATCAATTTAAGGGATACTTTTGGTTCATGCGCTATTCTTATTAGGAAAAGAATAACGCACATATCATTGGAGAGCCAGTGTGGTGTAGTGGTTAAGAGCGGTAGTCTCGTAATCTGGGGAACCGGGTTCGCGTCTCCGCTCCTCCACATGCAGCTGCTGGGTGACCTTGGGCTAGTCACACTTCTCTGAAGTCTCTCAGCCCCACTCACCTCACAGAGTGTTTGTTGTGGGGGAGGAAGGGAAAGGAGAATGTTAGCTGCTTTGAGACTCCTTAAAGGGAGTGAAAGGCGGGATATCAAATCCAAACTCCTCTTCTTCTTCTTCATTGCAAGTTGCAACATAATGCAAGTTGAACTCTAGTTAATCTTTTTACTAGGAAAAACGTCCCCGCAGTAAATTGCCCCGTGCCCTTAGAGGCCTCATGGGTGAAGCAAACATCAGGTTTGCTCGAGGCGAGCACGAAGAAGCCATTCTGATGTGCATGGAAATCATAAGACAAGGTATTGTTTGGGGAGGGGTGTTGAGTGATGTTTTTGAACTGGCGACAACTTGAAAGGACCAATGAAATAAATTTAATACATAAAGTGCAGTGTATATGAGTGTAAACATTAGCAGCAGATACAGTGGTACCTTGGTTTAAGAACAGCTTAGTTTATGAACAACTTGGATTAAGAACGCTGCAAACCCGGAAGTAGGTGTTTTGGTTTGTCAGCTTTGCCTTGGAAGCAGAACATGTTCCGCTTCCTGTTGAGTGTAAATTGAGTCCCCCGCTGCTATGGGAAAGCACGCCTTGGGTTAAGAACGTTTTGGTTTAAGAACAGACTTCCGGAACGGATTAAGTTCTTAAACCAAGGTACCACTGTACTGTGTTTGGACATCTTTCTTTGTTTAGCATATATTGTATTGGCTTACCTAATTATATTGGTTAGGATCCAAGGAGATCGTCAGTAGCATGCTGTGAGCACCTACAGATAATCTAGGACTTTTCAATTTTATTTTCTGACTATAGCTTTCTATATTTAATTGGATACCTTTCCCAGAGATTACCTTAAGAAGAAACTGAGTTTAAAATCTCTAGTTGGTGTGTGTGCATTTTTTTTGGGGGGGGGCGAGTTTTCTGCACAACCTTACAAATTTTTAAATTGACTTTACACAGATTTCTTATATTCTTATATTCTTTAGTCATATATTCTAGGATAAGAAACAGGAACTGACTTAGGTTGTCTTGCCATATTATAATGCACCAGTCTGTGAACTACTTATTGTTAAAAACATTTTTATCCGACCTTTCAACCCATATGGTCTTCAGGTAGCTAACAACACTTATTTGAAACAAAATCACAATCTAAACAAAATCTGAAGCGACCGATAACTTTAAAACATTTCAAAAGGGAGCACAAAACAGCAAATTAAAATGTTGCTTTGAGATAAGGTAAACAAAATCTTTTCATCTGGTGCAAAAAAAGAGAAAATAATGTAAGCAAACAGGTTTGGGGAATGGTCGTCACAGGTAATTAACCACCTCTTCTCAAGGCTGGGCATCCAGAAGAGGAAATGCTGCAAAACAGCACCTGAGTGTAACAGCACTTAACTCCTCAGGGCCTCAGGTGATGATCTTAACAATTTGGTAGGCACCGTATTTTTTGCTCTATAACACGCACCAGACCATAAGACACACCTAGTTTTTGGAGGAGGAAAACAAAAAAAAAAATATTCTGAATCCCAAAAGCCAGAACAGCAAGAGGGATTGCTGTGCAGTGATCCCTCTTGCTGTTCTGGCTTCAGTGAAAGCAACGCAAAGCCTCTTCAGGGCAGCAGGAGGAACGCTCCCCCTGCCCTGAAGAGGTTTTGCGCAGCTATCCCAGAAACCAGAACAGCAAGAGGAATCGCTGCGCAGCAATCCCTCTTGCTGTTCTGGCTTCTGGGATAGCTGCGCAGCCTGCATTCACTCCATAAGACGCACACACATTTCCCTTTACTTTTTAGGAGGGAAAAAGTGTGTCTTATAGAGCGAAAAATATGGTATATATATATATATATATAAGACCTTCAGATACTTTCTGAGTCTCACACCTTGGCTTACAGGTCAAAACCAGCACTTTGAATTGCATTCAGAAACAAATTAGTAGACAAAGAATGTTTGAGCAGCTGCAGAATATGCTCAGTCCTGGTTGTATGTACTAATGTTATACAGAGAGATGAGTTTCTTTAAAATGCTAACATGTTTCTGTTTTTGATCTGAGCAGCGCCTCTTGCTTATGAACCATTCTCAACCCTCGCCATGATTTATGAAGACCAAGGAGACATGGAGAAATCTTTGCAGTTTGAATTGATTGCCGCTCACTTAAACCCCAGCGACACGGAAGAGTGGGTTAGGCTAGCTGAAATGTCTCTTGAGCAAGACAATATTAAGCAGGCTATCTTCTGCTATGGAAAAGGTAAAGAAATGGATTTTTAAGAAATAGAACATCCTTTAGTTGCATTTTCTTTTCTGCTATTGATTGTTTTGCATGACTGTATTTTTTGCTCTATAAGACGCACCAGACCATAAGACGCACCTAGTTTTTGGAGGAGGAAAACAAAAAAAAAAATATTCTGAATCCCAGAAGTCAGAACAGCAAGAGGGATTGCTGTGCAGCGAAAGCCGCGATCCCTCTTGCTGTTCCAGCTTCTGGGATAGCTGCGCAGCCTGCATTCGTCCCATAAGACACACACACATTTCCCCTTACTATTTAGGAGGGAAAAAGTGAGTCTTATAGAGCAAAAAATATGGTACTTACAACAGCAAGTTTATTAGCTGCTAGAATTTGGTTTCTGGCAGTGTTGTTGAACCTATTTTCACTGGCACACTCTGGATGATTCTCCTAATCCCTCTCGAATCAGATTTCGGGTTGTGTGGGGTGTGTGTGTGTGTGTGTGGAATGCACAAGTGAGATGGGGGTGGGGAGCCATGTCTCACAAGCAAGTCCTTTTCCAAGGCTTCTGCTGAGGGGTAAACCACACCCAATGTATTTATATTCAAGCTAGTTTAACAGCTTAGCTGGTTTAGCTAAGAAGTAACATGACACCATCAAATCATTCCTCTTGGTGTTCTGATAAAATGACCCATGAGAGCTAATCCTTGATAGCAACTTCATAATTTCAAGAACTACTGATAGGCTGCATGATAGTTTGAAACCACAACGTTACAGGAGCCAGAATCTAGTACTAAAAGGGTTTTAGAACTGATTCAAGAATTTGGTCAAGTGGCAGGATTTAAATTGAACAAGTCAAAAACTAAGGTTTTAGAGAAAAATTTAACACCGATCGAAAGAGAGAGGTTTCAGAATGAGACAGGTTTAACAGTGGTTAAGAAAGTTAAATACCTGGGGATTAACATGACAGCAAAAAATGGGAATCTATTTAAAGATAACTATGAAAAATGTTTAAAAAATGAAAAAAGATTTAGAAATTTGGTCAAATTTGAAGCTTTCACTGCTGGGCCGTATTGCTGCGATAAAAATGAATGTATTGCCTAGAATGTTGTTTTTGTTTCAAACTTTGCAAATTGTGGACAGAATGGATTGTTTCAAGAGGTGGCAGAAAGATATTTCTAGATTTGTCTGGCAGGGCAAGAAGCCCAGAATAAAATTTAAAATACTAACGGATGCAAAGGAAAGAGGTGGATTTGCCCTGCCAGACCTCAAACTTTACTATGAATCAGCAGCTTTTTGCTGGTTGAAAGAATGGCTACTTCTTGAAAACACTGACATTTTGGACTTAGAAGGTTTTAACAATGTATTTGGATGGCATGCATATCTATGGTACGATAAGGTCAAAGCACATAAAGCATTTAAAAACCACATTGTCAGGAAAGCGCTGTTTAATGTTTGGATAAGGTATAAGGATTTGTTAGAAAACAAAACCCCAAGGTGGCTGTCACCAATGGAAGCGAAAGCCTTGAAAAAGCTCAATATGGAGGTCAAATGGCCGAAATATTGGGAAATTTTGGAACAAGATGGAGATAGACTGAAATTGCAGAGCTTTGAAAAACTAAAAAACAAAGTGCGAGACTGGCTTCATTATTTTCAGATAATGGAGGCATTTAAATTGGACAAGAAAATTGGCTTCCAGGTGGAAAAATCAAAATTAGAAACTGAACTGTTAGAACCCAAAACTAAGAATTTGTCAAGAATGTATAACTTGCTGCTGAAATGGAACACTCAGGATGAAACGGTAAAATCGGCTATGATTAAATGGGCACAAGACGTTGGACATAATATAATGATGGCTGACTAGGAACAGTTGTTGACCACAGGTATGAAATTTACGGCATGTAATGCCCTAAGAGAGAATATTATGAAAATGATATACAGGTGGTACATAACCCCAGTCAAGCTTGCAAAAATCTATCATTTGCCCGATAATAAATGTTGGAAATGTAAAGAAACTGAAGGTACATTTTTCACCTTTGGTGGACGTGCCCAAAGATTAAGGCTTTCTGGGAAATGATATATAATGAATTAAAAAAGGTATTCAAATATACCTTCCCCAAGAAACCAGAGGCCTTTCTCCTGGGCATGGTCGGCCAAATGGTGATAAAAAAAGATAGAACTTTCTTTATGTATGCAACAACAGCAGCAAGAATACTCATTGCAAAGTATTGGAAGACACAAGAACTTCCCACGCTGGAGGAATGGCAGATGAAACTGATGGACTATATGGAACTGGCGGAAATGACTGGTAGAATCCGTGACCAGGGAGAAGAGTCGGTGGAGGAAGATTGGAAGAAATTCAAAGATTATTTACAGAAACACTGCAAAATTAAAGAATGCTAGAGTGATGTTGGATTGAAAATAAGTGGTTTCCAGCTGTACAGGATTCAAAGTTATAGATAGACTAAGATTAAAGATTAGGATCAAAGAATTTTAAGGAAATGGAAATTTGGTATTTAAGAGGTAAAATTTTAATGCTATATTATATTAAGATTAAAGATTGGGATTAAAAAAGTGGGAAAGAAATTGCTGGACAACCAATTTGGACTGGAATACAAAAGAGGGAGGTATGAGGAGGTCCAGAAAATAAGTAAATTTAAAAACGGAAATGGAAAAAAAAAAATGAAACCACAACGCATCTTCCCCAACGTTATACTGTATGCAACAATAATGTCTCACAACAAATATAACTGATCTGTAGAAAAGACTCTTAAAACCTGAAAAAGGATGCATGTACTTTTGTAAATCAAGAAAATCTTTAATCAAAATTATTTTAAAAAATAAACTTGACCGTGTTCTAGTGGGTCAGCATTCTTCTATAAACCTTTATTTCTAATTTTAAAAAAATGAAAAACAGCAAGAAAGATGATTATATTGATGCAAAGAGATGCAATATTACCTGTGTGAGAAAGAAAAAACACCTGCCATAAATTGCACTGGAGCCTAAGAATCCAGTCTTTTGCTGGATCAGACAAATCTGTCTGCCAAACCTAGAATTCTGTTTCCAGTGGAGACAAGTCCAAATGCCTTTGTGAGCTCACAGCATTTGATACACAGAGGTATAGCGCTTCTGCAAATTGGTGTTTCCACTTAGTAAATAATGAGAACAGTTTCTTCAGGCTGTAAAAGTCTGATTTTGTGTCTGTCTTGGCAGAGTTGTTAAAACTGTAGTAGTAGTAGTAAGAATAGTAATAGTAATAATAATAAAAAAATAATATTACTACGATTGTTTTGTTATGTTAGTTTTGGTATTATTATTATTATAATAATAATATTATTGAATATAATCATGCCTCTTCTTATTTTTATAGCTCTGAAGTATGACCCTACCAACGTGCGTTACTTGTGGGAGCGATCGAGTCTCTATGAGCAGCTGGGAGAACATAAACTGGCGATGGATGGCTACAGACGCATTTTAAATCTTCTAACTCCGTTTGATGGGGATCGCTTTATGCATCTGGCTAGGGATATGGCAAAGTAAGCATTTAGTCAAACATTTTATCAAAACATTTAGTCAAAAATATCTCATCGGTACTGCTGTCCCAAGAATGTGTGTGCTTCTTGAGGCAAACAAGGGTGACCCCAGTTTTTGGGATTGAGACACACCAGGAAGGCAGGAAAGAGGTGAAGGAAGAAAATAGCATTTGATAATGTATAAATGACAAGAGGGTGCAAGGGTGTTAGAACAGAATGGTTCTCTTTATTGTTTACATGTCAGATTTCTTGCACAATAGAACCCAAGGAATACATGAGATTCCCAGGTTGTCTCCCAGCCGGGCACTGACCAGAGATGGGCCGGCTTAGCTGACTGGGCCATGTACCCTAAAACCATGCCCTGATCCTTTGGCGTGGGGACAGTTTTATAGAAATGAGCTTTAAGGGGGACGGCTTTATACAGAAGGCTAATCCCACGCAAAAAGAAATGGATATTGCTGAAGTCATAACCATTAGATGGAAATTTGCAGAAATTAGTGAAATGCCAACTTCTCAGCTCATCAGCTCTTGACTGCTTGCAATAAAACTCCTGAGAGCCAGGGTGGCACTGGGGTTCCAGGGCATCTGGGGGTCAAGGGCTCAAACTTTCTGCCTGCCAGGAAGCTCAGTGGGCAATGCTGGACCTCTTGGTACATTTCAGCCCGAGCCTACCCCACAGGGTTGTACTGATGATAAAATAGGGGCAGGGGGTTAACAGCTTTGTTAGTTAATCAAATAATCTCAAGGCTAATTGCATGTAGGCAAGATACGTACATCGGAGAGGAATGAAAATGTGGTTTGGGAACCAGGAGCAGATGGTCACCACATTTCTTTTATTTTTATTTATCTATTCAATTTATACACCGCCCTATAAGGGACGCGGGTGGCGCGGTGGGTTAAACCACAGAGCCTAGGACTTGCTGATCAGCAGGTCAGCAGTTCGGATCCCTGCGACGGGGTGAGCTCCCGTTGCTCGGTCCCTGCTCCTGCCAACCTAGCAGTTCAAAAGAACTTCAACGTGCAAGTAGATAAATAGGTACTGCTCCGGCGGGAAGGTAAACAGTGTTTCCGTGCGCTGCTCTGGTTCTCTAGAAGCGGCTTAGTCATGCTGGCCACATGACCTGGAAGCTGTACACCAGCTCCCTCAGCCAATAAAGTGAGATGAGTGCCGCAACCCCAGAGTCGGTCACGACTGGACCTAATGATCAGGGGTCCCTTTACCTACTTTTAGGGACACAAACGGTAAAGATGGACACATTTTAACATTACTTCCATATACTTTGCATGAACACATGATAGGTCTTTTGGATTGGGGGGAATTTTGCTTTACGGCTTGCCTAGAAAATTCTCTTAACGACTTTATATGTTTTCTTTTAATTTTTAAAACAAATTATGACCTGCATTTAACTATATTACCGTACTGCCGTTTCCCATAGGAGCTATTACGAGGCCAATGACATCACTGCTGCTATTGAGATAATGGAAGAAGCCTTTGGTAAACACCAGAACCTCGTATCCATGGAAGATGTCAATATAGCTGCCGAGCTGTATATCTCTAACAAACAGTATGATAAAGCCTTGGCTGTAAGCATGTTAAATTAATTTCCTGTAAGGGCTAGCTGTGTTAGGCACATTGGAAGGGGCAAAATTTATAGCTGTCCTTGCATTTATACCCCACCTTTCTTGTGTCCTGGGGTCCAAGGCAGCTAGGTGGGCCTCCCAGGTGGCCAGTTATCCAGGTACTGGCCAGACTCATACTTGCATGGCTCCAGAAAATTGGTGGCCTTGCATTCCTTCAGACCATACCCCCACTTTTTTACGGTCTTGGGGTCACATTCGCACCATACCTTTCAAGCACTATTATACAACAGTCATGGAGAATCCGGAGTACTATAATTTGTTAAGCATGCTGGGAATTGTAGTTCTGAGAGGTCAGCGCTCATAACAAACTACAGTTCCCAGGATTCTCCAGGATGGTTGAAGCAGTATAATAGTGCTTTATGCATATGATGTGTATGTACCTGACACTCGCCATCCAAGATGCCGGGTAGCAAGCAATACGTTAAACAATTAATGCAATGTGTCCAAAATAAAACCAATTTACTATTGTAACCTCCTGTGCTGCCTTAACCGGGTGGCGGGTGGGTTAAACCACAGAGCTTTGGGCTTGCCGATCAGAAGGTCGGTGGTTCGAATCCCCGCGACGGGGTGAGGTAAACGGCGTTTCCGTGCGCTGCTCTGGTTCGCCAGAAGCGGCTTAGTCATGCTGGCCACATGACCCGGAAGCTGTACGCTGGCTCCCTCGGCCAATAAAGCAAGATGAGTGCCTTAACCCCAGAGTCAGCCACGACTGGACCTAATGGTCAGGGGTCCCCTTTACTGCCTTAACTCCTGACCATTAAAAACACGCTGAACAAAAATGGTTGCGAAGCCTCCAGAATATTCTTGAACTTTCGTAATTATGCAGATGAAGGAGTTGTACAATAGTCAAGAGGACCGCTTAACTTTGTGCCCTTGCTGGTGTTGGGAGAAATTTTTTAAAGGGTTGCTAGACTGGAGGTATCCCTCCCAGAAACCCCAAAGAGGCAGGCTCCAAGTGAAAAGATAGGCCTTTATTGAAATGCTAATACACTTTGGGAGAAATAAGGAGGAAGGCTGCAGAGAACCACATCCAAAGCAATATTTCTTATACACTTCCAGGTTGCATACATGATTTCTGTTCACCAATCTTGAGTTACGACCTGTTTTGGTTTACAGCCAGACCTCCGGAACGCATTATGGTTGTAAACCAAGGTACCACTGTACATATAATCATTTTTCAATTTCTTCCTTTATCAAGCCTGACTAATTTTCCTGTTCTTTAAACGTCTCCCTATATCCCTTTTCACCTGTCTGCAAAACAATTCAAGATAAATCACAATGGCCATGCCTGGCTGATTCTATCTTCATGCATACAATGGCCACCATAGATTATAACAGTTTATTCTTTTTAGAGTTCTGTGGTGGACATTCACCGCATGCAGTACCTAAAAGCAGCTAGTTCTGTTCTGTGAAAGATAGGCAGGTGCAGGCCTCTTCAGTTTAGCTAGGCGATAGGCTCCAAAGAAAATGGAATTGTCAAAACAGTAGCAGTTTGACGAAATCTCTGTTTTCTCCATCGTTGGCACAGCGTTCTTGGCTGAGCTTAGGGAAGGTTGCTGTCCTTTAGTTAGGGAAGGTTGCTGTCCTGAGCAGGGATCTAAGAACCATCTAAGAGAGGGGCTAGCAACCTTTTTTCCAGCCGTGGGCCGGTCCACCGTCCCTCAGACCATGTGGTGGGCCGGACTATTTTTTTTTGGGGGGGGGTTGAACAAATTCCTATGCCCCACAAATAACCCAGAGATGCATTTTATAATAATAATAATTAATAATAATAAAATATTTATACCCCGCCCTCCCCAGCCAAGGCTGGGCTCAGGGCGGCTAACAACCAATAATAAAAATGAGTTGAATGAATACAACTTAAAAACAAGATTAAAATACAACATAAATCATTAAAACAATTAAAATGCAGCCTCATCACAGGAGGAGAAAGGAAAAAGAAAGAGGGGAAGGGAATCAGGGAATCAAATTGACTCCAAGCCAAAGGCCAGGCGGAACAACTCTATCTTACAGGCCCTGCGGAAAGAAATCAGATCCTGCAGGGCCCTGGTCTCATGAGGCAGAGCGTTCCACCAGGCCGGAGCCAGTCTTGAAAAAACCCTGGCTCTGGGTGAGGCTAATCTAACTTCCTTAGGGCCCGGGACCTCTAGAGTGTTGCTATATATGGACCTTAAGGTCCTCCGTGGGGCATACCAAGAGAGGCGGTCCCGTAGGTACGAGGGTCCTAGGCCGTGAAGGGTTTAAAGGTCAAAACCAGCACCTTAAATCTGACCCTGTACTCCACCGGGAGCCAGTGGAGCTTGAAAAGCACTGGGTGAATATGCTCCCATGGCAGAGACCCCGTGAGGAGCCTCGCTGCAGCATTCTGCACCCACTGGAGTTTCTGGGACAGCTTCAAGGGCAGCCCCGCATAGAGCGAATTACAGTAGTCAAGCTTGGAGGTGACCGTCGCATGGATCACTGTGGCCAGGTCAGGGTGGGAAAGGTAAGGGACTAACTGCTTGATGCGGTGAAGGTGGAAAAATGTCGCCTTGGCTGTTGCTGTAACCTGCGCCTCCATAGAAAGGGAGGCGTCAAGGATTACACCCAAACTCTTAACGGAAGGCAATGGCACTAATTGGGCCCCTGCAAGAAAAGGGAGTTGGTCTCTCATCCCCATACCATCCTGACCCAGCCAGAGGACCTCTGTCTTCGAAGGATTTAGTTTCCTAAATTTATTTTAAATAAAAACACACATTCTACTCATGTAAAAACACCAGGCAGGCCCCACAAATAACCCAGAGATGCATTTTAAATAAAACGACGCATTCTACTCATGTAAAAACACGCAGATTCCCGGACCATCCGTGGGCCGGACTGAGAAGGTGATTGGGCCGCATCTGGCCCCCGGGCCTTAGGTTGCCTACCTCTGAACTTAAAATGTTCAAGGAAATGCATGGTATAGTCCTCTTTACTGCTATGTTTCTCCTGTAATCTCTGGCTTTGGTGGGGGGGGGGCAGAGAGGGGCAAGATTGCATAGCTCCAACATCCAACTTTTCTTGATTATGTGGTCATTTCAAACAGTGACTCCTCCACTTACATTCTGAGTTGGTATAGTCCTATGACAAGACTGTACCGTTAGTTGCCTCCAGCTGTGGTAGGCATTGTGGGGCAGTGCCACAGGGCCGCACTCCCAACAATGGCATCACTTCTGCTTATCAGAGGGAAGGGGAGGGGCGGGTGGCAACTAGGATAGGGCTGTCTGGTTTATCCATGGAACCCCCCCTTCCGAAGCATAGCTGTCAACTTACAGATTTGAAAATAAGGGACCAGCAGCCTCGAAAATAAGGGATCAGCAGCCAAAATAAGGGATTTTCAGAGCACAGGTATGTTCAGTTTCTGAGCCCCTCCGAGCCAAAGGTAGAAAGCCCAGCCAGCAGCCAAACGAAGCCTCAAGTGGTGGTTCCCACAGCGCAGCAACCCAGCAAAGGGGATGCAGCAAGGAAAACCACCGTCACCTCTCCGCTGGGAAGTGCTGAGCAGAGGCGAGTCCCCAGGCAACGTGGCCAATTTGATCGGCACAGGGCATGCAAGCTCCACCCCCCAGTCGTTCTTAGACTCCTTATTGGGTGAGCAACGCAGCCAAGCAACACAGTTGGAGCCTCCCTCCTCCCTGCCGGCCGGGGGGGGGGGGAGCTGCTTCCTTTGAAACCCGGGAAATTTAAGGGACATCATCAATAAGGGACAGCAGCGGGACATGGCGCTGGGATAAGGGACTTTCCCGCCAAATAAGGGACGGTTGACAGCTATGCCCCTTCCCCAAGCTCACTTACCCTTGTCCAGGTAAATTTCTGGTGGCCTTATGTTAAAAAGTCGGCCCCCCCTCCTATGCCTCCCACCGCCCCAGGAAAGCTGGTTTTATTTTCAAATGTCAATGATTGCTTTCTATTTTTTTAGGTCATTACAGATTTTTCAGGAATTGTACTGGAGAAGACAGAGGGACCAAACGATTCTTCAGAGAATCAAGGTACAGTATCGGTTCTTTCCTCAGTGAGCTCCACCAATATCTCCCCAAGTATTCTGTCACTAGATTCACAATGCCATGGCGTCGGTTCACATTTTGCCTTTATTTTTAAATGCCTTGGAAAACGAATGACTTGGCAGCACATCTGTACTGGAGCCAAAGATTCCTCTGGCCACTCTTTCCATCTGCTAGATGAAGCATTGTTATTTTTTGAGTAGGGGGGATGGAAATTGAATTGCAAGCCCAATTATATTATGGAGATATCCTGTTTATAGAGCAGTAGATCAGACCCTTATAGCATTTGCAGGAAAGAACTATTGGTTGGTTTGTTGTTTTCATTTGAAATTTTTATTTATTAGCTACCCTTCTGGATTTCAGTGTCCTTCAATTTCTGATATTTCCCTTTAACTAACTCAGTTGCCGCAAAACAGGCGTCACAATTTACCAGCTAAATGTGAGATCTGCTCCTGCGCTGCCTTCAGATACAAAACCTTGCCTTATGTAACTGGGATACTGACTTTCAGCTGCCATGGGATGGCGGGATAGATAGGAAATCCAGTTAATAATCATGTTATTAATAACGAATTTGAACTGTTTCTCCCCCTCCCCTCCATCCCAAATCAGTGTTTTGAGTGGACTTTGTCATGTACTCTAAGAGCAAAATCATTTTTAAATTGGTTATTTAACAAAGCATATATACTGCTTGGTTGTAGTAGAAACTCCAAGTGAAGGATTGGGGTAATCTGGAAATATAACCTAGGTCCCACTTGTAAACGATACCATGCTGGTTAGAAAAAAAACCTGCTATTATCTTCTAGTTGCAGAAAAGGTTACCTGTTCGATACCTGAGGGTGTTCCCATAGACATCACGGTGAAACTTATGGTATGTTTGGTGCACCTGAACATCTTGGAGCCTCTCAATGTAAGTCCAAAAGTGAATAAAGAAAAACAGAGAGAGGTTTTCTTGGGAGTCAGTGAGATTCCAATGAAGTTACAGTAAAGACAGGGGTGGGGTTGTTGTTTTTTTTGCTTCTATAAAAATATGATCTGGGATCCAAGGAGCAGCTTGGGCAAATTGTACTAGCTGTGCGGACAGTTTCTCATTTTAATGTTTTCTTTGTAAAGGTTATCCTCTTGCCAAATCACCCCCCCCCCCAAACTTCCCTCTGCTTTGCTAGCACTTTGTCATGGGGCATTCTGGGACTGCTTTTAAAAAGAGGAGAGGTCTAAAGTCCATTTGAGCTCATGAATTGGATTTTTAAAAAATGATTTGTAAGAGATTTTTTTTTAAAGGCGGGGGGCGGTGAGGTTCTGTCCATGAGCTATAATAATGCATAGCCTTTATAGCTTTGTAGTGTCAAGGGATATTAGCATGAGTGTTCTAGAATGTAAGCGATTCAGTCGACATTGGGAATATTTGCACCATATGCGCTGTGGCTCATTCCTAGTCCAGCTATACAAGTCTAAGCCATAGAAATGTGGTCAAAGCCTATCATTCAACCTCTGATCCATTTGCCGTTGTAGGAATCCAGCTCCCATTATTATTATTAATTTATTATTTATTGAATTTATATACCGCCCTGTACTCGGGACTCTCCAGATGATTCACAGAATAAAATCAAAATATAAAACCATGAAATACATAATAAAAATAAAAACAACAACCCAATAGCCGCTCCCCCCGCTCCGCACATTTTAAAAGGGCATAGGATGTAAAGGCCTGGTTAAAAAGGTTTTTGCCTGGCGCCTAAAGGTGTATAATGCAAGTGCCCGGCAAACTTCCCTGGGGAGAGCATTCCACAGACAGGGAGCCACTGCAGAGAAGGCCCCGTTCTCCTGTTGCCGCCCTCCGGGCCTCTTGAACTTTGGCCATGATGTCTGGGGGTGAAGGGAGTTTGTGTCCAACATCATTTTGGGGGAGCGTAGGTCCCCTGGCTCAAATCCCCCTCTTCCAGTATCATGGTTTCCTCTACAAGGGTTCTTTGGAAAGGCTTGAAGGATGTATTTCAAACAAAGTTACACTGGATAGTTTTCGAGAGGTCGGATCCTACAGGAATCCATCATCCTGCTTATGGAAAATCTCTGGAGAAAAGTGTGCATCTTGCCATACCCTAAAGCAGGCATAGGCAAACTGGGCCCTCCAGATGTTTTGGGACTACAACGCCCATCATCCCTAGCTAACAGGACCAGTGGTCAGGGATGATGGGCGTTGTAGTCCCAAAACATCTGGAGGGCCCAGTTTGCCTATGCCGGCCCTAAATCAGGGCTGTGGAACCTTTGTCTCTTCCGATGTTGTCGGACTCCAGTTCCCATTAGCCCCTGCTTTCATGGGAATGGTTAGGGATGATGGGAGTTGTAGTCCTGTAGCATCTGGAGGAACTGAAAGTTCCCCAGTCCTCCCCTAAATAATTAGGGTCCTTTCATGACATTTTAAAAAATTAGTTGGTTTTTAGGAGAATGGGATGCTTCAATTGGGATGTTTAGTCTGCATTTAATGTTTTCAATTAGAAATCCAGTTAATCGATCCTTTTATTATATATATTTTTGTATCTGTTTACGATGAATGTTTTCGTTTTGATTTTTTTGTGCTTGATTTTTGTTGTTGTCGTTCTGCCAGCTCCTATTGACCACACTAGTGGAGCAGAACCCTGAGGATATGGGAGATTTGTATCTCGATGTTGCAGAAGCCTTCCTTGATGTCGGAGAATACAATTCTGCACTCCCCCTTCTGAGTTCCCTGGTGTGCTCAGAAAGATACAATTTGGCAGTTGTTTGGCTCCGACATGCAGGTAATAACGCTGCTGAAATTGCTAGAAATCTCTTCTGACACACTAGATGGGTCGCATTTTGTAGTGGAAGATAAGGTGGCTGATTTTTTGGGGACCCTAATACTAGGGGTGCCGATTTCAGGGGTGGCAAGACTCACAGTGTGGCTGAAAGACCCCATCCTGGATAGATTCAAGTGTCTCTTGCAGAAAAGCAATTTCTTTAGGAGCATTCCTTTTAATACCTTATAATGATTAGATTTTATATACCGTATTTTTCGCTCTATAGGATGCACCAGATCACAAGACACACCTAGTTTTTGGAGGAGGAAAACAAGAAAAAAAACATTCTGAATCCCAGAAGCCAGAACAGCAAGAGGGATTGCTGCGCAGCAAAAGCAGCAATCCCTCTTGCTGTTCTGGCTTCTGGGTTAGCTGTGCAGCCTGCATTTGCTCCATAAGATGCACACACATTTTCCCTTACTTTTTAGGAGGGAAAAAGTGAGTCTTATAGAGCAAAAAATACGGTATTTATTAATCCTTATATTTATATGCCACTGGTCTCCTAAAAAAGCATCATAGCTGTTTACAACAGAATAAAAACATAAAACCAGAAACTAATAAAAGCTAAAAAAACAAGATAAGGTGCAAATCTGAATCGGATGTATGTTGGGAATGTAAGGAAACAAAAGGAACATTTTTTCATATGTGGTGGACATGCAAAATAGTTAGAGTATTGGGAAAGGATATATAATGAGATGACAAATGTTTTTAAAAAACATTTCCCCCCAAACCAGAGGCATTCCTTTTGGGAATGGTGCAGACATCAGAAGTACCCATATGTCAGAAAAAAATATTTTTGTATGTAACGATAGGAGCTTGGATTTTGCTAGCACCAAAATAGCGGGTGAGTGAGGACCCCATAAGGAGGATTGGCAACTTAAAATGATAAGAGTATGCAGAACTAGCGGGTCTAATGAATAAAGAGAGCGAGAAGATCAAGTATATAAAGAGGAGTGGGAAATCTTTGTGGAGTATTTGGAAAATAAATGTAAACAAGTGAAAACAAGCTAGCAGGACTAAGATAAATTCAACAGTGTAATGTAAATACAGAGAGAAATTGAATTAAATGGATACATAAGAATATGCAGGAGTGGAGGGAAATACAGTGGTACCTCGGGTTAAGAACTTGATTCGTTCTGGAGGTCCGTTCTTAACCTGAAACTGTTTTTAACCTGAAGCACCACTTTAGCTAATGGGGCCTCCCGCTGCCACCGCGCAATTTCTGTTCTGAGCAAAGTTCTTAACCCGAGGTACTTTTTCTGGGTTAGCGGAGTCTGTAACCTGAAGCGTCTGTAACCCGAGGTACCATTGTAATAAACGTTTGCTATCTGTACCACACCCATCTGGCTGGGTTGAGTGAGGCAGCAATTCTTTGCCTTCCTTTCCAGAGTGCCTGAAAGCCTTGGGCTACATCGATCGTGCGGCGGAGAGTTATGGCAGAGTTGTCGAACTCGCCCCTTTGCACCTGGATGCCAGGATCTCTCTTTCTACCCTTCAGCAGCAATTGGGCCGGCCTGAGAAAGCCTTGGAAGCACTTGAGCCCATGTATGACCCAGACACGCTGGCACAAGATGCCAACGCCGCTCAACAAGTAAGCGTTCGTCTGTCCTTTGCCCGCCTGCCTGCTTGTCTCTTACTTTAGCCCTGTTTAGGGAAGTTTTAAATATTTAATCCTGTATTGTTTTTAACACTCGATTGGAAGCCGCCCAAAGTGGCTGGGGAAACTCAGCCAGATGGGTGGGGTATAAATAATAAATTATTATTATTATTATTATTATTATTATTATTATTGCATTCCTATCTCAACCTACTCTCCAAGGAGCGCAACAAGGAGTAGTGGTTTGTCATTGAAATTCTACTCAATATTGATCCAGAGTAGATTCCAATGTAAAAACTTAAACACGTTGCAGGATTCCCCAAAAATAGACCAGAGACAATTGTATTCCATCCAGCAGAGCTTTACTGCTACTTGAGGGCAAATGGTCACCAATCCAATACATTCAGGATTGGCACTGTTCATAAGAAATCCAGTTGCAGCAGACTTAACTCAAACTTACAATAACCTTTAATAAGTCTAAACCTTAACACTGTATACAGAACACCACACCAGAAGGAAAAGAGATAGAAAATGTGAAACCTAGGCTCCTTCTGACCTATTTTTATAGTCAGCATGACCTTGACAGAAAGAGATAAGAGAACCAGTTTAAGCCAGCTGTGCTCAGCTTCTCTGAAGGAATAACCCAAACATCAGGAACCTTCTACTTGTTTCCTTCACACAGAGAAGCTTCCAGAAGTTTCCAGAACCCTCTTGAATTAAGTAGAATAGGAAGGATCCTCTGCACATCAGATCAATACTTTCTGTACTAAGAAATGCAAACTGACATGGTTCTGCTGCCACACCTCCATTTTATTCTCACCACAATCCCTGTGAGGTAGATTAGGTTGAGAGGCAGTGACTGGTCCATGGTTGCCTAGTGAGCTTCCTGGCTGAGTGGGGATTCAAACCCTGCTTTCCCAGGTCTGACACTCTGTCCACTGTACCAAACTCGTTTAATGTGCCTTCTAGGGGACTTAGAGTAGTTGTTGTTGTTCTTTATTAAATTTATATCCCGCCTTTCATCATAAGTCCTCAGGGCAGTTCACAGAGTAAAATACTGGATTAAAAATCAGTAAAGCAATAGAGCAAAACAATACCCAACCCACTTCCCACAGACAGATTTTAAAAGGCCAAAGGCCTGGTTTGAAGAGGAATGTTTTCACATGGCACCACAAAATATATAATGAATTCCCCAGGCGGATCTCCCTGGGGAGAGCATTCCCCAAATGGGGAGCCACTACAAAAAAGGCCCATTCTTGTGTTGCCACTCTCCAGACCTCCAGAGGCACACAAAGAAGAGGTTTCAGATTATGAATGCAGAATCCAGGACAGTTTAAATAGGTAGAGGTGGTCCTTTAGGTACTGAGGCCCTGAGCCGTTTAAGGCTTTATAGGTCAAAACCAGCACTTTGAATTGGCAACCAGCACTTTGAATTGGCAGCCGGTGCAGGATCGGTGTAATATGCTCAAACTGTCTTTGTCCCAGTGAGCAACCGGGCTGCTGAATTCTGCACAAGCTGAAGTTTCAGAACCATCTTCAAAGACAGCGCTGCCATAAGGAGGCTGGTTTAAATCCATGGACTCTGTTAGGCTGATTAGGTCACTTCCTTCCCACAGTGCCTGCGGCCCTTTTTATTTGGGGTGGTTTTCCAAGGGCTCAGAGGAAAGAACCTGATCTGCTGCTTGAGGCAGTTCATGTCAACCGCTTAACGTACGGAAGTGGTTGCCGTGGAGATCGGCTTGAGCTGCCTTCTGCATCTGCACAGTCGCCACGCACCCAGCAGTTCAGCATCTCCATGTGGACAGGCCAGCACTTCAGCCCTGCATGAGATTTGTTCAGCCAGGCAGCCAGAAGCACACAAAAGGGAACAATTGTAGACATCTGTTCCTACTTCCTGCATTGACACTGAGATTGTGATTTGAGAATTCTGATCTAGGCAGTCAGGCAGATTTTTGTGGTTTGCAGCCAACAGTCATTGCATCTCCTTATAGGAACAGAGCAAAATACAGTGGTGCCCCGCAAGACGAATGCCTCGCAAGACGGAAAACCCGCTAGACAAAAGGGTTTTCCTTTTTGGAGGTGCTTCGCAAAACGAATTTCCTATGTGCTTGCTTCGCAAGACGAAAATGTCTTGCGAGTTCCTGCGGGTTTTTTCCCCTCCCCCCCCCTTTTCCCAAGCCGCTAAACCGCTTATCAGCTGATCATTAAGCCGCTTATCAGCTTATTGTTAAGCCGCTTATCAGCTGATCGCTAAGCCGCTTATCAGCTGATCGTTAAGCCCCTTATCAGCTTATCGTTAAGCCGCTTAACAGCTGATCGCTAAACCGCTTATCAGCTGATCCGCTAAGCCCGCTAAGCCGCTAATACTGTAGCGCTAATCCACTAAACCCCTAATGGGCTTGCTTCGCAAGACGAAAAAACTCGCAAGATGAAGAGACTCGCGGAACGGATTCTTTTCGTCTTGCGAGGCACCACTGTACTAACCCTTTCCTTTCATTTTTACAAACCGCCTTGCTATTTCTTTTTGAAATGAAAGGTGGCAAATCCTTTTTTTAAAAAACAACGTTTTAATTTGATTTTACAGATATAAATTTATAACAAAACCAAATACATATCCATATAAAGAGATTTCTCGAGTCTCTCCCCCCTAACTCCTCCATGGGTCCTCTTGTCAACGTTTTCAACTGCATATTATTTCATAGTCTATATTTTATATCTATCCATATTGTCCATACTACTTGTTACATTACAAGTGAGATTAAAATCCTGCTAATGTTTTCATCTGCTTACAGGGGTCTCCTAAGTAAAATATAAATTTTCCCCAGTAAATAAATCCTTTTAATAGTAGCAAATATTATGAGCTTTCTTGTTTACATTGCTCTTCTGCGTTTAAATTATTTGGAAGATGCTGTGCTGTAATTCAGCTGTTTTCTTTTCTATATGGATAAATGCAGTGGCTGTTGCAAGTAAAAAGATCCTTCTCTTTCTGGTCCCTCAGTCATTGGGGGATGGAGGGGGACAAACTTCTTTCTAATGCCAGTAGTCTATTGTTAATGTTTGTAAAGTAATAGATGGAAGAGAGGACTTTGTGCGATCTAACTTTCTCCATGTGGCGCTCAGGAACTGAAACTGCTGCTTCATCGGTCGACGCTGCTGTACTCTCAAGGCAACACATATGGCTACGTTGATTCGTTGCTCACCATGTTAGCCATGCTGTTAAAGGTAAGCGAATTATTGCATCTCCTCTTTCACACGGCACACCTTGTCTAAAAACCCCCCTGCTAAGTACATGATATTAGGTGTATATGGACATGACAACTGGGAAATTGGCATTATTATTTTTAAAAGAACGTGTGCTGTGTTTGGTGACTGCCTTATAGACATTACCCCTTGTTTGGGCCCAGTTTTTTTGGTTTCATGCAACAGCAACCTGTGGATAATATTCAACTGTTGACAGCTATCTGATTCAATTACACCAGTTTTATTTATTTTACATAAACCTTATTTGGCAGCAGCAGAAATACTGGCACTTTTCAGCTTGAGTTTGGAACACTTTCACAAGTTAAAACGATTGTCTGTACCTAGCCATGAAATTGACTGCAGCATGGCTATTCAACTAACTTCCAATGTGCTCAACATCTTTAGACTCACCTTGACTGTCTTCCAGGTTGCCATGAACCGAGCTCAGGTGTGTTTAATATCTAGTTCCAAGTCTGGCGAAAGGCACCTCTATCTTATTAAAGTTTCGAGGGATAAAATATCTGACAACGATGATCAGGAAACTACTAACTGTGATGCAAAAGGTAACGGCAGTGTGTGTTTGTATGTGTTTTCATTTTTTTAAAAAGAGTCTTGTCCTAGAAAGCACTTTTGGCATGATAAAATTGCCTCTTGCCTCCTCCTCCTTGTATGGTGAAGGTAGGGAATCCGACCTCTGGTATATGAGGCTAGGCTATTTCTATCCTGTAATGTTCTGATTCTGTGTTGTTCTGGAGTTTTGCAGAGGTCTACATCTTTTAAATTGTGCATGTTTGTCAGATGTATATTTCTGCTCTTCAATTGCAAGAATGGATAACTACCTGGTAGTTCTGTCAACTGGGTTGGATGCCATTGTGAAGAAGGTTTTCTTCTTATTGACAAGCACGTTATGGAAACAATTGCCTATAGATTATTTCTGCCAACAGTAGGCTTGTCTCCTTCAGATAGTTTTATTTTTAGCTTTTATCGCCTTAGGTTTTATTTTTGTTTTCCGCCCTGAGAATGGTCATACTGAATGATGAGCTCTTGATGTTCTGAACGGATTAAGATATTGCTTATAATGCTATTACAGCAATATTTGTGGTGCTTACAAGCGTGCTGACGAAAGACGACTGGTGGAGCCTCCTTCTGAAGGCAATCTATGCTTTGTGCGATCTTTCTCGCTACAAGGAAGCAGAACTCCTAGTGGACTCCTCACTGGAATACTATTCGTTCTATGACGACAGGCAGAAGCGTAAAGAACTGGAATACTTTGGTCTCTCGGCTGCAATCCTGGACAAGAATTTCCGAAAAGCTTACAATTACATCAGGTGAGTCGCTCCGAAGGGCTTCATTGGGCTGAAGGTTGACTGCACAAAGAGCACTGCCTGTCTGGCATGCATCTGAACCAGACTCTTGCATTTACAGTGGTGCCTCGCAAGACGAAATTAATCTGTTCCACGAGTCTCTTCGTCTTGCGGTTTTTTCATCTTGCGAAGCACAGCTATTAGCGGCTTAGCAGCTATTAACGGCTTAGCGGCTGTTAGCGGCTTTAAGAAAAAGGAAACAAACTCGCAAGAACTCGCAAGACGTTTCATCTTGCGAAGCAAGCCCATAGGGAAATTCGTCTTGCGGAACGACTCAAAAAACGCAAAACCCTTTCGTCTAGCGAGTTTTTCATCTTGCGAGGCATTGGTCTTGCGGGGCACCACTGTAGTGATTAAAGAACGATTCCTTTGGTCACTGTGTGCAGTCTGACTGGTGTTTGCTTCCTCCATAGGATAATGGTCATGGAACATGTCAACAAACCTCAGCTTTGGAATATCTTCAACCAAATCACCATGCACTCGCAAGATGTGCGGCACCATCGCTTCTGCCTTCGGTTGATGCTGAAGAACCCTGACAATCACGCGCTCTGCGTCTTGAATGGCCACAATGCCTTCGTGTCTGGTAGCTTTAAGCATGCTCTTGGTAAGAGAACATTAGTATTGCTTGATAAACATCACAAATGCAACCTCTGATGAAGGTGTTTGATGTTGAACTTCTCCACCCTTCCTTTAGAATGCAGTGTTTCTCAAACTTAGTTCCCCAGACATGGTTGGACTACAACTCCCATCATCCATCCCTAGTTAGCAGGGCTGATCAAAGTTCTAGTCCAGGGGTCAGCGGACTTTTTTAGCAGACTGTCCCTCTGACCTTGTGGAGGGCTGGACTATATTTTGATTTTTTTTTTAAAAGAATGAATTCCTATCCCCCACAAATAACCCAGAGGTGCATTTTAAATAAAAGCACACATTCTACTCATGTAAGAACACCAGGCAGGCCCCACAAATTACCCAGAGGTGCATTTTAAATAAAAGGACACATTCTATTCATGTAAAAACAGGCTGATTCTTGGACCATCTGCGGGCCGGATTTAGAAGGCGATGGGGCCTTCTAAACATGCCTACCCATGTTCTAGTCCAACAAGAGCTGGGAACCCAGGTTTGAGGAACAATGCTTGAGAGAGAGATTGGGCTTAGATAATGTCCCTGATTAGGACACTGGAAGCCCTGCAGAAGGCTGCATGTCTGTGGGTATGCTCACGAAGCTCTTATCCACTCAGATCTGATGAGCATTGTCAAAACCGATTGCCTCTTAGGCAGATACCTGATAAACAAGACTCTAAACCAAAATAGCCTTTGCCATAATTAATCCGTTAGCTTTTTAAAGTGTCACACGACGCTGCGTGCTTTTGTTGCACAGCTACCGCTCTGAGTAGAGGTGAAAGGTGATGCTGGTTTGCTTTCATCATTTAGCTAAATAATTGTTAATGGTCATAGTGTAAAGCGGAGCCTATACAGTGGTGCCTCGCAAGATGAAATTAATTCATTCCGCAAGTTTTGTCGTCTTGCGATTTTTTCCGTCTTGCGAAGCACGGTGTCGGGAAAGTTTTGGAAAAGCTTCAAAAATCACCAAAGTCTTTAAAAACCTCAAAAAAGGCTACCACACCGCGTTCTATGAGTTGCTCCTCGAAGTCAAGTCGCAACTGTATTAACGGTGTTAAGAAAAAGGAAACAGACTTGCAAGATGTTTCCGTCTTGCAAAGCAAGCCCATAGCGAAAATCGTCTTGTGAAGCAGCTCAAAAAACAAAAAACCCTTTCGTCTAGCGAGTTTTTTGTCTTGCGAGGCATTCGTCTTGCGAGGTACCACTGTATGTGTGTGAACATTTGTGAAGAATCTATAGGGAGTTTTTAGTAAGTAAAAAAGCATAGCAACTTATGGTCAGGAATGAAAAGGAATTTGCTGTTCGTAACTCACGAGCTGTGCAAGTTGAACTGTAAGCAGAATGCAGGCGTCTCCCCACTTCTGTGTGATCAGCACATGCACTCCCACTGACAACAACGCGTGTTGTTTTTGGCGCCAAAAGGGGGCAGGTGTGGAGGCAGAATGGGCGGCCGGGAACAGAACCCCTGCGTAAGTAAGGATTCCACTGAATCTGATGCTTGAAAAAACAGTGTAATCCACATATGTAAGAAATCCATGGTTTGGATTACAGAGCTGTTATGTTCCCTTTGCCGCCTCCACCTCCTCCCTAGTAGGAGCCCTGCTGAAAAAGTTCCCCGATGGTTAGAGGTTCCTGCTGAATAGTGGGGTGGCGAAGGAAGATAGGGAAGAGGGGGTTCAGGCAAAGGCAACTTCAGTGAGCTGTGTTCTTTATGGAAGTATCCAAAAGCCTTTTTGTTCAGCATGTGGTTTTAATAAACAGTATTTCAAAGCCATTCGCTGTTTCCTCCTAGGGCAGTACGTACAAGCTTTCCGTAGCAATCCCAACGAGCCTCTCTATAGCCTTTGTATAGGCCTGACTTTCATCCACATGGCCTCTCAGAAGTATGTGTTAAAAAGGCACGCGCTTATAGTACAGGTGAGTTTATTTTTTTTTGGATTTTGATCCCACTCTTCCTCTTTTGTAGCACATGCTTACATAGCATGTTCTCATGCTATGATGTTTTATTGTGTTTTTAATATTCTGTTGGGAGCCGCCCAGGGTGGCTTAGGAAACCCAGCCAGATGGGCAGGGTATAAATAATAAATTTTATTATCTATCTATCTATCTATCTATCTATCTATCTATCTATCATGTTGAGTGGCAAGGGTTGAAATGGGTCTTATTATGGTTTCCCCTGAGTGCAGCTTACTCTGAAGTCATTATTGATCATTTTGTTACAGTTTTACACACACGTATGGCTATTCTCTCTGTTTAAATACTTGGTTTGCTGTGGAGAATATATGGGTTAGGTATATCGTGGGCAAATAGCCTCAAACATTTTGTGTCGTTTCACCTCTATACCATTTTTCTACCACAGCTATGAGCACCCAGAATGTATTTTCTGCTGGGATTTAGCAAACAGACCTGTGCAACCATAGGTCTCTTAACACACAAATTGTACTGGAATTACTAAAAACAAACCACTGTAGGCTTCGTTTTTCTTAACTACATAATAATTTTATTCTGCCTTTTCCCTATTCAAAACCAAAGCAGAATTTTCTTCCCTTATATTGATTTTATAACTCCTAAAAGCCCTAAGATTAAGGCTGCAGTTTTATTTTCACTTCCTTGGGAATGAATCTCATTGAACTCAGTGGGATTTACTTCCAAGTACAGAATACTTAGGACTGATATGTACACCGTTTTGAATATGTCAACAGGAACCTAACAAAATGTTGCTGCTGTTTAAGATTCCTAGCTTACTGCCTAAAGACTAAGTTAACATATATAGAGATGGAATGCAATCCAGTCCCAGTGAAACACTTCTTAAGTCCCACTGATTTTTAGGGGAGACGATTTGATGAACGTGAGCTTAACTCTCTCCCATTCCAGCTAACAAGAATGAAAACGTCTATGCCTTGACTGGATTGTATTCTACCTTTATACAGCTTGAAAACTATTTACCTGTTTGGATTTTTAGCCTTCTCTGAGTGGAATAGCTAACAGAACAAAATACTGTACATTATATCAAACTCTGGCCACTAAATCCTCACTTTGAGATCTTGTTGGTATGAGCAAAGGATTTTAAATGTTGCTGTGCAAGTCTGTTCTACTGCTTGTCTGTCACCTTGGCAGAGGAGTGTGTATTTTGCCTTCTCTTGTGTTTTCTTTAATCCAGTTCTGTTTGTTCCGTTGGTCTCTTACATTTGGATGTGGCCCACCCTTCTGGTTTTAAGTCTGAAATCACAGCGATAGTTAGGCACTCTTGGCTTCCTTGGTTACAGGGATAGGCTGAGATTCTTATGAGAAAATGGGCATGTTAAAAAAGAAGGGAGACTTTTAAAAAAATGGGCATGTTAAAAAAAGAAAATGGGCATGTTAAAAAAGAAGGGAGACTTGACAACTCAAGCGTTGTTAAGTGAATTTGGCCTGGTAATTATCATAATGGTTTTAAAGAACTCTTCCATGAGTTTTATTCTCCTACGTCGGAAGAAGTAACGTTTTGCCGGGGTTTTTTGCTTCGTTTTCCCAAACAAATTGGGACTGCAAGTAGTTACATATTAAGATTTGTGGCAGGATGCAGAGAGAAGAAACATATGTATTGGAATTGCCGCTTTGTGGGCTTTTTCCAAAAGACTCAATAAGCAAACAAAATGATCAGAATGCAATGTAAGATGGACTACAGATACAGGAGATAACATTGGGCAGGATCCAGGGTGAGGAGGTAGGGCGTGTGTTTTATCTTCCTAGGGCCACAGTCAATCTGCTTTCTTCAACTACTCATCCTTGTACTGTATGCTAGCATCTGACCATAGCTGCCAACCGTCCCTTATTTGGCGGGAAACTCCCTTATCCCAGCGCCGTTTCCCACTGCTGTCCCGGATTGATATCCCGTAAATTTCCCGGGTTTCAAAGGAAGCAGCTCCTCTCTCTCCCTCCCTGCCGGCCAGGGAGGAGGGAGGCTCCAACTGTGTTGCTTGGCTGCGTTGCTCACCCAATAAGGAGTCTAAGAATGACTGGGGGGTGGAGCTTGCATGCCTTGTGCCGATCAAATCAGCCATGTCACCTGGGGACTCGCCTTTGCTCAGCGCTTCCCAGTGGAGAGGTGATGATGGTTTTCCTTGCTGCATCCCCTTTGCCGGGTTGTTGTGCTGTGGGAACCACCGCTTGAGGCTTCGTTTGGCTGCTGGCCCCTTATTTTCGAGGCTGTTGGCCCCTTATTTTCAAATCTGTAAGTTGATAGCTATGCATCTGATCAAGTCCTAGTTTTGAGGATTGGGAGAATGGTGGACTTAAAAACAGCCGTCTGCTCATCCAGAAAGAATGGCCCTGGGAATCCTTTCGACTGCCATTGCAACCTGCTCTTGACTCTTTCAGATTATTTTAATCTTGGACGACATTTTTAAACAACATGGGAATGGCTGGTTTTAAAATTCCATTCTCATTCCAAGAACAGTCGTTCCTTGGTTTCGGAACAGCTTAGTTCCCGAACCTTTTGGCTCCTGAACACCGCAAACCCAGCAGTGACCTTTCCAGTTTGTGAACTGTTTTTGGAAGCTGAATGTCTGACGAGGCTTCCAATTGGCTGCAGGAGCTTCCTGCAGCCAATCAGAAGCCATGCTTTGGTTTCCGAACGTTTTGGAAGCTGAACGGATTCCGTTTGACTTCCAAGGTGCGGGTGTATTCGAAGCTGGGGCAAGAAATCTTATTGGGGGCAAAGGCGGCTCTACATTTGACTTGTTCCTTAGAATTTCTGGTTTTCACACGAGACCTTTCTCCCTCTCCCACCTTGTATACAGGGCTTCTCGTTCCTCCAGCAATATCTGAGCCTCCGTGGTTCCTGCCAAGAATCTTTTTACAACTTAGGCCGTGGCCTTCATCAGTTGGGATTGGTACATTTGGCAATTCACTATTACCAGAAGGCACTGGAGCTCCCCCCTCTGGTCCTAGAGGTAATGTATGGAAATCTTAGAAGGTAAAGGTACCCCTGCCCGTACGGGCCAGACATGTCCGACTCTGGGGTTGTGCGCCCATCTCACTCTATAGGCCGGGGGCCAGCGCTGTCCGGAGACACTTCCGGGTCACGTGGCCAGTGTGACAAAGCTGCATCTGGCGAGCCAGCACAGCACACGGAAACGCCGTTTACCTTCCTGCCTGAGCGGTACCTATTTATCTACTTGAACTGGCGTGCTTTCGAACTGCTAGGTTGGCAGGCGCTGGGACCGAACGACGGGAGTGCACCCGGCCCCACCTGCAGCACTGGCTTTGAAGATGGCAACCCGCCTCCTAAAACAGCACATAATTCCGATCATTGTTAAGTCTTGCATAAACGTATGAGGAATTAAGACAATACCGCCCTCCACCGACAGGAAATCTATTCTTGTATGCATTGAAAAGTTGACTTTTGCATCTCATGGAAGCTGCCGGGCTTCAGTTTGCATGTTGCACTGCTTTGAGATGAGTAGACCACTAGTCCCATCTGAAGTGGCCTTTATGTTGCTGCTGCTGGAAGGAAAGGGACAGTTGACATTTCCTATGAAAAATCCTGTCCTTCCATTTCCCTAGCAGGTTGTGCACTAAGGAGGAGCTTGCTGCTTCAGAACTTCATCCGCCACACAAAGACTCAGCTATGTTGCTGGGCTTTAAAAAATAAGTTTGACCATCTTGACACACAGTTTCAGAGTCATCCCAGGGGTTTGCTTGCGTACCACTTTATAATTTCTCGAGAAGTGTAGCAAATTCAAAATCTGTGTTAAAAAAGAGTATGCCTCCCAGCACTTGCCTTCTGAAAGAGGATTTGAGACCTTTCAGAATGCGAGCTTTGGCAGGCTGGAATGTCTGCGATGGAACTGCTGGGTTGTCATGTATGCAATATGTGACAAGTACCCCTTTTGTTGCGCTTGTTCAGGCAAGTTGTTTTTCTTCCCTCCACCAGGGAATAGAAGCAGACCAGACAGACTTGCGAAGGGATATTGCCTTCAATTTATCGCTCATCTACCAGAGCAGTGGAAATATTAGAATGGCTCGGAAAATGCTGTACACGTATGGAATTGTGTGAGGTGAAAGCCGGCATCGAAAACTGATTGAATGAACTAAGATGGATTACTTTCCTTGCTTTCGAGGAACCTGGAAATACGCTGCTGCCTTTCATGGATCTGAGGCTTTGTGACACCGGGCAAAACTATGCTTACAGATTTCTCCAGATTGGCTGAACGTGAAGCAGTCAAGTAGATGGTGCAAGTTTTCACAAAGAGGATCCCTGCTAAAGATTGAGCAGATCTGAGGCGTGACACTGACCCCAACCTGATCGGTGTGCTGGAACGTGCAGAGTTCCATACAAATTGTGAACTGAGTAAGTCGCACATCTTAACAGCCAAGCACACAGAATGTGGGACATTTTGCTCAGAATGTACAATTGGGAGAGAGCACGAGTAAACGAAATGTGCTAGATAACTCACCAGCAAAAAGGCTTCTACCTCTTCAGCTGCCTGCTTTCAAGGATATTTAAACATACATTAGTCCTCTGTGTCTGGAATACCCCATAATCAACGAACCTAGCAAAACCTTTGAATCCTTTTTCTGTGTGTGTGGTTGTCCAACAGTTCATTACTAAGGAGATTCTGAAGTTGCTGTATTGTTTGTTTGCATCCATGTGAACTTGTCTGTGAAATCTAACCATTTTCTTGCTTTTCTGAAACCGGAGAGACAGAGATGGTTTGAACTAAAGCTATACCTGCTCACCTTGAAGAAAGACCCATTGCGACTTATTTCTGAGCAGACTTATACGGGATTGTGCTGTAAGGTGCTAACTCTACCAAGCCGCGCTTGATTGCCAGTATACTGGAAAGACGTGTCTGTCTAGTTACCCTTCAGAAACACAATCAACAAGGCAGCCCTGTGTATAGAAGTTTTTAATATTTGATGTCTTAATGTGTTTCAGCTTGTTGGAAGCTGCCCAGAGTGACTGGGGCAACCCAGTCAGATGGGTGGCATATAAATATTTTTTTTATTATTAAGGGTATCCGCAACCATTCCTGTGCACAGGACTGCAGTCTTAAACTATGCAGTCACAAGCTCTCTCATTCCCTCCCCTGTCCTTTGCGTGCGCACGCGCGCGCACGCACACACACACACACACACACATATATATATATATATATATATATATATGTATATTGCTCTTATAAATGAGTTATTGGCTGCTTTAAAATAATTGTGGTTCCAGAAAGGAGTTAAAGCTTGTTTGATTAAATTCATACATTACTATATTTGCAACTGTCATTACTTCTCGTATACGCAACATCTCGTCCTACAGGTGAGCTCACCTCATCTTCGTGTATTGCAGCTTGAAGAGGAAGAAAAGGTTGTTCATCAGGGAGAGAAACACAGACTGTTGTAGAAAACAAGTAGTATGCTTTAATTTTTAAATACACACACACCCCTCCTCCCTACACACACACATCAGATTTATATATTTACACAGTAGTGGTCAAAAATAAGAGGAAAGATACCAGATGTACAGTAAATTCTTGCCCATGATTTAGGGTGGCTGTGAGGCTAGTTCTGCTTGGTACCCAACCTTCCTTTTGGAGGCCCAAGCAACTGTTCCTAGCTCTGTGAATTTGTCACCTGCCCCTTCCACTTTAACGATTCTAGAATAGAGTAATCACAGTTTGCATAATATTTCATCACCAATGATATACTGGATGGTTTTGTGCCTTTGGGTTTGCCTTACCTAATAGTTAATGAGCAGAGCAAGGCACCCACACCTCTTGATACTCAGGGAAGAGGATAAGGTTCAGTACATAGCAGGAATAGCCAACATAGTGCTGTTCAGATGTTTTACGCTACAGCTCCCATTATTCCTGCCCTGTCGTCCATGCCGCCTGAGATTGATGTGGATTCAAGCCCACCATCCTGACGACATCATATTTGCTCCCCCTGCAAGATACAGGTGCGGACTGTTATTGTCCGAGTTGTTATGTTAGAGGGAAAACATTTTCCGCAAGCACTGCACTTTTACAACAGCAGGAGATGTATGTTGAAGGGTAGCTTTGAGCAAGCACAAGTCCTATCCCATGGAACATGGCAAGCTGATGAAGGGAGACATAGACATTTCGGAAACCAGCATTGGTGCATTTAAATAATCTACGACACTGCCCCGTTTTAGGATTCAGCTCTGCTATTTTTCCAAAAGTCCCCAAGGCCTTTACCTACAGAGAAGCCTATCCTGTAGCAGTTACGCCCTCTGGGCTGCTTGTGCATGTGTTTGGCACAAGCTTGCCCCTCACTATGTATAGACATGTAATTGCAGAGACCCCAGGGGGAAGCATTTAGCAGGGTGGGGGGGCTGTAGAAACAGTTTTTTTAATAAAACAGTTTGAAAGTTCCCCAGAGGCATTATAAGAATCAGGAAGTTGAACCCAAAGATTTAGAGGATTCCTAGCTGCCAGTCAAGTTTGTATGTGTGTGTATATATATATACACTTTTTAAAAAGGACTTTTTCTTCATTCCTATAGAGCACAGCTAGTCACACAGGAGGTCTTCCTCTGCTAGCTTCAGGAAGGAGATGGATGCTCACATAATAGGTCCAGCCTTAGGCTCTGCCTAGGTATAGCATCACCGGCAGCCTGAGAAGTGGTGTTCACAGGTACAGGATTATACCTTGCAGCCTGGAACCTCCTGGCAAAGCAGCCCTTCACTTGTTCAGCTCACTTAGATATTTCCTCTTGATGAACTGCAGGTGGTTCTTGGTCTCCCAGCGCTTCAGGCATGCCTGAGAAGGAAGCTTGGTCGGCCTTTCCTGTTGACACATAGGATGCTTAGTCAGAGCAGCAAGTAACTCACAGAACATGCAAGAGAAAATATTGATGTAAGGCGAGCAGATCAGCCTTTTAGATTGATAGGGCCAGGTTGTAACTCTTGGCTAAGCCTAAAACACAAACCTCTAAGATCCACTAATCTAGTAAGCGGATGCCTTCATCTATCAGAGGAAAGTCAGTCCAGCAAGAAATATCTGGAACAGCCAGATAATCTGTTAAGTTCAGAACAGAGGTGAGTTTTCAGTGAGGGACTGTCTCTCATGGAGGATGAAGGCTGAAGGGTTTGAGGAAGAAAGCTGATAAAAGCTTCAACATCTACAATCCTTTGCATTTGTTATGATTATTCTTCCAGTTAAGGTACCCACATCCTTCCTCTTGGAAGGCACATGAAATGAAGGACACTGGCAGCCCACCTTAAGAAAGCTTCACCTGTTGGATTTCTTCCCCCAGACAGCTAGTATAATGAGCCATGAGTAAAAAAAGGGCGCTCTCTCATGAATTCTTCACACTGCCATTTTAAAAACGAACAAATCTTGAGGTCTCTTGGCACAGGCATAAAGACTGATTGCAACCATCTTCACAGCGCATAAAACTGAATTTTTACAGGCACTCCCAGTATATTACTACTCTCAGCAGCAGCACAAACAAGGGAACAAACCATTAGCGAGCTTGTGTCATGACACCTTTTTTGTCTGCGGAAGGTGTTCCCTTACTGACCTCTTTCTCATGCTCCTCACAGAAGTATTCTCCAAGGTTCTTCTGCCTGTTTTTCACCAGTTCACGCTGCAGACTATCGAACTTAGACTTGAACCAGTGGTGAGCTTCCTCAAGGTTAGCAGTTATCTGCAGCAGGGAAGGCATTCAAACTCAGTTACATTCCAACCTCATGGTCCAGGGATCCTTTGACACAAATCACCTTGTCAAAAGGTTTTACATCTTTGAACATCTTTCCGTAAAGACTAATCCATCAGGTTAATTCATCATGAGGTGCCTTCCTTGCTCCCAGTCATCAGTACAAGTCTGATAAGGATCAGACATATATTGTACCCCCCAAAACAGGATCGGATCCCGTTTTGTATTATTGTTATATAAAGCAAAATAAATGCTTATCATCTTTTAAGGACCCCTCTTACTGTACCTACCGAGCTCGGCCTCTTAAATATCTTGCTTGCAACTTAATTAACAAAACAATAATATCATTTATGAAAGCAAGACCATTAAATAGGTTTTGTGAAAACCAGAGTGCACATTTGTGGACACATTACAATGTTAGCACGCAAATGCGTAACTAATATTTTGTAATGTTAAGGTTAGGCATGACTGGGTAAAGTGAATATAGTTGTATGTAGAGTAGCCTAGAATACGAGAAATTGTGCACCCATCCTTTGCACAGTAAGGATTTAACAGCAGTGCTGTCATCTGAGGCACAACTCTTAGGAATGTGTCACCTCCAGCTGATTTGCAACAACATTCATACAAGTGTGTGTATATTTCATGTGAATTCCCCCTCGCATGCTCAGAATGTATGATAGCTCTACAGCTATCATACTGAACTCTCTTTTTCTTTGATACGGTTACACCTCTCGCTGCTCAGCTGCGATACTGTTGTGTTATACTGACACGACAATCCCTCTCCCTCTCTGATTCAATACTTACATGTTCTGACTCTTTGCTGGCTTCTTTCAATTTCTGTTCAGTCTCCTCTTTGCATTTCTTCAAGTGCCTGACTGTGTCTTCCAAAGCCTTGAATGTTACGGAAAAGTCAGAATGAAATTATTTGCCATTCTTCTGCAAAGCAGTTTGCTCTTAGGTCTAGATTCTTAACTGATGCCCCACACCCAACCTGGAAAACAGGAGCTCACTTCTATGGACCTCTTTGCTATGGGCTTCTTACAATGTACAGGTGAAACTCGGAAAATTAGAATATCGTGGAAAAGTTCAATTATTTCAGTAATTCAACTTAAAAGGTGAAACTAATATATGAGATAGACTCATGACATGCAAAGCGAGATATATCAAGCCTTTATTTGTTATAAATATGATCATGGCGTACAGCTGATGAAAACCCCAAATTAACAATCTCAGAAAATTAGAATATTAAATGAAATCAGCAAATAAGGATTGCAAATAGAGCAATATTGGACCTCTGAGAAGTAGAAGCATGCATATGTACTCAGTGCTTGGTTTGGGCCCCTTTTGCATCAATTTTTTTTTTTTATAAGATATTTATTAAGATTTTTTTAAAATATTACAATAAAAATGAAAAAAAAAATGACAAAAATACAAAATAAAAATAGTTAAAAACACACAGATTTTCCATTACTTATTTTCCTTTGACTTATTTCCCGGACCTCCTCATACCTCCCTTTTTTGTATTCCACTTCAATCTGTTGATTCAGCAAATCCTTTAAAAGTAATAATATTAAATTTTTACCTATTTATAACCCTTGTTCATATTCCCTTAAAGCATTACAGCTGGAAACCACTTAATTACTATCCAACATCATTCTAGCATTCATTAATTTTACAATATTTCTGTAGATAATCTTTGAATTTCTTCCAATCTTCTTCCACCGACCCCTTTTGCATCAATTACTGCCTCATTGCGGCGTGGCATGGATGCTATCAGCCAGTGGCACTGCTGAGGTGTTATGGAAGACCAGGATGCTTCAATAGCAGCCTTCAGCTCTTCTGCATTGCTCGGTCTCATATCTCTCATCTTTCTCTTGGCAATGCCCCATAGATACTCTATGGGGTTCAGGTCAGGCGAGTTTGCTGGCCAATCAAGAACACTAATCCCATGGGCACTGAACCAAGTTTTGGTACTTTTGGCAGTGTGGGCAGGTGCCAAAGTCCTGCTGGAAAATGAAGTCAGCATCCCCATAAAGCTCATCTGTGGAAGGAAACATGAAGTGCTCCAAAATCTCCTGGTAGACGGCTGCATTGACCCTGGACTTAATGAAGCACAGTGGACCAACACCAGCTGATGACATGGCTCCCCAAATCAACACTTCACACTGGACTTCAAGCATCTGGCATTGTGTGCCTCCCCATTCTTCCTCCAGACTCTGGGTCCTTGGTTTCCAAATGAGATGCAAAAGCTGCTCTCATCAGAAAAGAGATTTGCTTCCTTCCGCAGATGAGCTTTATGGGTATGCTGACTTCATTTTCCAGCAGGACTTTGGCACCTGCCCACACTGCCAAAAATACCAAAAGCTGGTTCAATGCCCATGGGATTACTGTACGCCATGATCATCACAATTATAACAAATAAAGGCTTGACATATCTCGCTTTGCATGCCATGAGTCTATCTCATATATTAGTTTTACCTTTTATGCTGGATTACTGAAATAAATGAACTTTTCCACGATATTCTAATTTTCCAAGTTTCACC